TTTCATGGCAATCCATCCAATTGTTGAGATATTTCAGTCTGGACCAAAGAGGTTGGACTGACAGCCCAATAATCCAACCATTTGCTAACCTGTATTAAGCGCCAAAAAGTGACGAGTAAAAGGTGAAAAACAGAGTTTGACATCTTTTCTGTTTCTACAAAGACACAATGACAGTGTGTTGTTAGGGAGACAAAGACATCCTGATGAAGACAAGATATTGGAAAACAGCTAGTGGATAAAGCATGGTGTACTGGAGATCATTGTGCAATGTGTTTTAATTTTAGTGGACTTGCCTTTAAGCTCACACTGGTCTACACATACCTGTGCACGCTCAAAGTAAGGAAAAGCAAGAGAAATACAGCCAGGCCAAAAAGGGCAGGGGGATAAAGGGTGTTTTGACGAGAGTGAGGGGTAAGAAGATGGGCACTTTGCCTCTTTTGCCAAACCGACTAGAGTGTGTTCTAACCAGCAGCAGGTGCACGACAAGTGGAGCTTATATTCAGGCCTTATATGAAGAGGTTCCTTTTTTAAAAACACCTCTATGGTCTCACTTTCATCTGGATTTGATGTTCCTTCACACCGATTATTAAAGCCTCAACAACAAACGAGATCTAAGCTTTAAGCTTCCATGCCCAGCTCGCTTGGCATATCAGCAGCTTCCACTGAACAGCTTGTTTCAGCTATCAAAGCATATAATTGTTGATTCACCCAACTGTTCATAAAATGGTCCATGAAATTGATAATAAAAAAAAGAATGTAGGTAGATACTTTTCTTCTGATGGCTCTGGATGGTCCATTTTATGGAACAAATGCAATGCCTGAAAGAGGGTAAAGGCAACAAGATATAACCACTTGTCAGAGCTCTCCAGCCCACTTAAAATGCTTTCCAACCAAGGCTTCCAGTAACTTTTTTTTTTTTTTAAACAGTTCCCAGTCCCAATATAATCAACGGTGTGTGGGGGCCCTGACCAGTCATAATCACCGTAGCAATGCATTGCTCAGAATTGCTTACTTTCAATAGTAGAGATGTGTGTTGTGGAAGCAGACAGCATTCATGTTATTGGGCTATGTAAGTTTCTAGTTCTTTGTAGGGCTGCAGCAAATAGTTTACATTCAAATTCCAAAATCAACATTCAACCTGGAGCAATGCTTTCTAAATTAATTTGCCATGCCCCAATCTCTGCTGTCAGCAGTTATAGCCCATGTCTGAACAGCTCCTGGTCTGTCTGCCTGTTGGGATTGAGAAGTATTCTGGGGTTGGTTCCTAATCATAGGTGATACTGTAGTGCTGTTACTGTGGCCTGGAAAGCAAACAGCTGACAAAGACATCCATGGCATGCAGAGACACGGTGAGAACCATTGTTGTGGGCAAATGGACAACTCCATTGGCTCAGTTCACTTGGACCGACTGTTTTTCATCGCCAATTGGAAAAAGAAAGTGGGTGGACTAGTATGTTTTATCAAGGTGCCATCTGTGTGTCTGCATGAGGGCTCTTCACCACCATCTGTGTGTTGACATCACACAGAGTTCTGTCCTGTACTGTGACTCTGGGAGACAGGGCCAGACGAGCAGGTGCCACCATGGTAAACTTGGCTTTCTCCTTATATGAAGATTTGGTAAATCTATTATAGGGTTGATAAACGCAAAAAACAAAAACTATTTTCCCAGTTGCAAAGAAATGAAAAATTGTGAGTAAACCTAAAAAATCCACTACACTCTTTCACAAGTTAAAAGGATTAAATACCCTTAAAAACACTCACATAAAAATGGGGTAATGCAGAGACAACCTAGGCACTTAAGATTTGAAAGACTATACAAAAAGTACATTTTCTCAGCTACAGCACACAGTGTTTGTGGTGGTGGTTCTCAAACGGTGGGAATATAACCAAGAATGAAAGCAACAAGCACACTTGTAATCCAGCCAAGGAGGCATTTTTGCCTTCTTTAAAAGGGGAGGGTCAGCTTCAACAAAATAACTGTGCACCTCCCAGTTTGTCTGAGTGCTGGATATTGAAGAGAGCTCAAGTTGCACACTAGCAAAGAAAGCTAACTAAAGCCTCCAGTGTTCCTGTGAGGGTCAATAGCAATTAGTCTTGGACATTTTACTTGCACAAATAAGGCGAGAGAGAAGAAAAAAAATTATCCATCTATAGCTCCATCTCTCTTGGCCCTAGCCCACACTGTTCTTTGATAGATTGCAAACTGTGGACTGAAAGTGTGATATTACACTTAAGTCTTGCAGATAAACAAGACATTTCCACATGTTAGCCAATCATCCAACTTCACCTATTGTTTATTATATTCAGTCTGCTTTAAGTAAGCTTCTTCTCTCAGACGTGAAGCTAGGCTCCATGGTGAGACTGCATGTCATTGACTATGTGCTTCAACATCTGTTGAGAAAAAACAAAAAACAAGCATTTTATATTCCTCTGCATTTCCAGAAACGTTCAACAATCATAGCCTCATCAATTTCCAACCAATCACAGAACCCGACCAGCTCAGACTGTGAAGTCTGAAACGCTGCCACTTCTCAGCACCAATTTGACCCCAACTGTTGCTAGCATGTTTTCCATTACAGCTCTATAAACCCTGTTCAAAGATGGCGAGAAATGTATTAGCAGAAAGGAAAATTGGCTGTGACATGAAATAAATGTGGAAATTATGGTCCCCTTCTGAGTCAGGGCTGTTATGTGTACACAGCCTTGTACCCATGTCTTTAAATCCAATTTAGTTAGCCATTATTTTTGCATTAAACACCCCCCCCCCCCCCCCTCAGAAGTGTTTGCTGTTTGTGGAGGTTCATTAACCTTACTGCACATAGATACAGAAGATGAGTGCATGTCTGTGTTTGTGTCTTGGTAAGAAAGAGAGAGAAGGAGAGGGGGCTGAACTTGACCTCAGTGCTTCAGGGCAGCCAATAATAACAGGTCTTTTTTTGTTGTTGTTGTTTACAAGTCAGACTCAAACTCCTTTTGGATGAGTCTGCACGGCCTCGAAAAATCTGACAGATGTGTTTCTTTTGGTATATGAAGCAAGTATCCTACAGGATACTGCATCTATTGTAGGATGAGCGTTGCACATGTTTCTTTGAAGCAGCTATTTAAGAATACGGTACTTAAACATAAAAGTACACAGTGGCAGTTACATAAGCAGGGAAAAGCAGAACGGCTGGAACACAGAATCAATACTCAACTCAAATGGACAATAGGGTCAGCAACTGTCTACACAGTCTACTTTCCAGTCAGCAGCAACATGCATGAACCTTGAAAGCTAGATAAAGAAGAAATGGTTTAAAGGGTCTACAGTGTAACTCTGTGTAAAAAGAGTTGGTGTCCAGTAAGTGGATTACTATTGTGAACACAGCACACTGCATTCCTCCCCGTCCTGATCCATTACATCTCCCTCTATTCTCCATTTATTCCCCTAACACAACACTATTTCCACATCAAGGGTGATTTTTAAAAGCACTTTTCAAACAAGCCCAAGCCAAACACCGCCACGTTAACCACATCCCACAAGAAATGTACAAATGTCACTATTTTTCCAGCTAACCTGAAAATGTCAACCAAAGTGTTCCTCAGCTGAAACTGGAGTGATCTGAATGTCAAGTGTGTTTATTTTCTCACATGGCATACAATACAAGTTTCAGTGTCACAATCTGAAAACATTTTCATAGTGCTGGCTGCCCTTGAGACAAGTGCCTCATTTACTATGGAGAACAGTACTATTCTGCGCAAGCAAAAAAATACTTAAAAAACCCAGCATACCGCACACTTCACACCAAGGCCCTTCAATCCCTTTATAAAATGTTTAAAAAAGAGAAGTATGATATTACTGTGGACTGAAAGTGTGATATCACACTTAAGTCTTGCAGATAAACAAGTAATTTCCCCATGTTAGCCAATCATCCAACTTCACCTATTGTTTATTATATTCAGTCTGCTTTAAGTAAGCTTCTTCTCTCAGACGTGAAGCTAGGCTCCATGGTGTGACTGCATGTCATTGACTATGTGCTTCAACATCTGTTGAGAACAAAGCGATCAGCCTTGACTCATTTGTCTATTGAAGCTCTGACCAAATAGGTTTAGCCTTTAAAATGATTTACACACCTAAAGTATACTAATAAATGCCATTTGTCCACTGGAAGTTTTACCAAAAACAAATAAGTGTCAGCTATTTTTCACAGCTAAGTAGTGTTAACAACACGGTCAAGACGATCAAAAGGGTTAAAGACCATGTACCAAATGGCCAACATTTTAAAGATTTTACTAGATTAAACTTTCTCTGATGATGTGCTGCATGACATAAGTGAAAAGTAACCCCACAATCTACACATGACACCATGAAAATCTCTTCTTGGAATACAAATAAGCAACCAGGAACATCGAAATGAGAAGCCCCATCTTCAAAAGAAAAAAAAAAAAGAAGGATATAATGGGGTCGTTAATTATGCAAGGAAGTGGCAAGAGTGCTGTGCATGAGTAAACACATATGCACATTTAGCCTTTGTAGCTTTACCTGCATTATGACGCTTTGCACGCATGCATTGTTTTGTGAAACTGAGTGAGGATAGTCAACTCAGCAGTGTGAACCAATCCGTGTTCGTTTCACCAAAAGGGAAACCCTTGCTTTCATGGGATACAACATCATGGGCGTATCCCATGTCTTTGGGCGCACACGAGACCACCAGTGAGCAGTGGGATAAGTAGTGAGCTTAAAGTAACAACATATTAAAGCTATTACACTGAAAATGCTTATATACACCTTCTAAATATGAAACGTACAGGAAAGGATCGTGTCAATCCTTATAACTTGTGAGGGAGCCTAGCTTGTTTAGACCGAAACGTTGGGCACTTTACAGCAAAGTTGGCTAATTAACTGGAGCCACAAACACGTTTTAACACATGGTAATGAGGAATGTCACTTCACTAAATGTTCTAAAAGTAGAAAATGTCTACAGATGTTGCTATAAAGGGTCACCACAGGTAAACGCACTCACCTGTCTGAGGGCTGCTACCACTTTTCTTTGATTTCACAGTTAACGTTAGCTTTGCGGCACACGGTGAAGTTGAGGTTGGTCTTTTCCTGTCTCACCGGTAAAATGCACCCTCCCACGTGAGTCAAACGCTTGCGAGAGGTGAGTGGCCCGGTTAATGCAGACAGAGCCGAAGTTAAAACAAAGGTGAAAAAAGCCAAGTGAGTACGCGACGGCGTCCCCGTGGTCTCTGTCTAGCTAAGAGTAGTCCCGTGTCACATCTTCAGTGACTCCGTGTTTTTTGTCCCCTCTGTGGCTGAAGCGTGGCTCCTCGTCTCTTTGTCGGCATCGATGCACACCGGCACTGAATAGTGGCAGGCGTCCGTGTCGGTCTTTTTATCTGCAGTCCTCCTGCACAGTGAGAGAGCGGCACCAGCTGACTTTACTCTCGGACAGTGCGTTCAGGTCACATCGAAAATAAACGTTGGACGCCTCCGCTGTGCTGTTGCTACATCCTAAAACCGTTCACGTCGTTTTGATTTACTGTAATTGCCAACAATTTAAGTATATTGACATGGCTTCAAATGTAATTGTCACATTTTCTCGTCAGTACTGAGAGACATCGAAGTCAAATGGTACTAAACAGCCATCATTGGGTTTCCCCAGTCGACAGTTACCATAATATCTGATGGCACCTGAACGCAACAACGTGCAAATATCTTTTAAGCCAAAGGGGCATTTTATCAAACTGGTTATTATCTTAACAGCATACCTAATAATCTTTATTGAGAGATGCAGTTTTATTATTAACCCAGGATTAAAGGTCATGAACAGCCATGTCTGCTTGAACGGTGGAGTGTTTTAGTTATGACACAAATTCCACCAGAGCAGGTTTATTTTTATTGAAACCAATCTTGTTTTTCTTACTTTTGTTTTGTTTTTTTTTCACCTTTTTAATCTCTCATGAAAATTAAGAAGGCTTTTCTTTGGCGTCAGATTACTCATTTGCATTGCATCTTTAAAAATATCCTTATTTTCTGTGATTGCTGTCCACTCTTTTTTGAGTGTTGAGGTTTACTTTCCAGTATCACTGGAGACCATTGCATCTGATACAATAACCTGCTGTTCAGACAAAGTCTCATTAATCCACCCGTAAAAAAAAAGTAAACAATCAAATCACCAAAGGGGACTTTCAGGTTCAGACTTTGTCAACTTTGATCGTGTTGACACATACCAGGTGACTCATTAAACAAAACCGATTTATTGATTTTTGCCACAAAAACAAAAGTCATACTAGAGACAGCGTGCATTGTCAGCAGTGCAGCAGTGTAATCGACCAACTGACACACATTGTGACACATTTATAATCATCCTAATTTGTCCAGTTAGCTGTATAGAAGTGTCACTAACAGTCCCACAGTGCTGGTGGTTGATGTCAATTGTAGACCTCTTGTATGGGGGAACAAATCAATTCAAATATGTTGGCCTCACAGAAGTTTTTACTTTTTTGCTTTTTGCAATATATATATATATATATGATTTATGGACAAAGTCACTCTGTGGGTTTGAACAGAGAGCAGTGAAGCCAGTTTTGGTTCTATGTACATGGCTACTTCCTGTTGGCATCAGGGTGTAGAGCAAAGGCAGAAACGCTGTAATTCTGGTAGCTGCACCATGCTGCTTTCGGCTGCGCCAACAAAAAGTCTTTTGGCTCAGCGTGTCTATCTGACTTGGATTGTGTCTATTTAATTAGCCCACCTACAAGGCTCACTTGCCAAACACCAACGTAGCGTCACCGATGGCCAAAAAGGTTTCTTAGATTTCCAGAGAGCTTTTTATCTAAACAAATGTCTATGGTTACATCTCTCATGTCGTGTTGTCATTTTGGGGCCTACATGGAACCCTCCATGCAGGCTCACTGTTTGAAATCATCAGCCCTGCAGTTACCTGGCATACTCCGGCCCCTCCTCACCATATATACCAGTTCACTTCCTTTGTTCCTTTTTAAAAAATGTTTTTCACATTTTAGTTTCTGTTACCTGGACCAGTAGCTGCCTACCTGCTTGTAAGCTACATCACCAAATAAATCACTGATCTGCCCCCGTTTCCCTGCATAACCCCTTGTGACAGAAAATATCAAGAAAAATTCTGCAGAGATACAGTTTAATCCTGAATGAAGTTGGGAAGCCAGACAGTGCCATGCTGTCCCAAAGCTAGCAACATTAATAAAATAATGAAATTTTTTTTTTTACAGTGACTCTAAAATGACTGATTTCCTGGAGACCTTGCCATCAGAGATCAGTACTTAAAAGTTAGAAAACCTTTTTTATAAGATGATCTGTTAAGTTAACTGTTAAGTTATTTCAAGAGATCCTGTTATCCTCATGTCATCAGGTTATTATATATCATGTTGGACAACTATCTCAGTTGCTGTTACATTTGTCTGCACCAAAGCTACACAGACAAAGTCCAGTATTTATTGTACCAGAGAACACAGTGAAACTTATTCAGACTCTGATGATCATCTTAGACAATGACTTGTGGTCAGCAGTCCTCTGCCATGTGAAATGATTCATCAGCAGTTACAGATACAGTGTTTGAAGCGTTCAGTGCTTTTTGTATCACATGCAGTTAATTGGTTAGCCTGAACTATATTCCCATGTCACATGGAGGAGGAGTTGTGGTTAAAAGGAGTTACAGTTCAGACTGATCACCAAGGAAACAGTCAGTGCAGTGATTTTGCCAGATACATTAGCATCATTCTGATAGAAATGAAGAGTTTGTGTGCACGCATGTGTGTAACTCTTAAGGCGGGTTGGATCAATCAGCGCTTGAACTCTGGCAATTAGTTGTTGAGATTATTTCCCCACCTTCACATCCATGCGGCCACTCATACAGACACACACGCGCCATCACATTGTCTCTCCATGAGCATCTCCAGGTGGGGAAGCAAAGGAAATGTTTCCCTCAGGAGGATTTCCTGTGACATATCGCTGTTTGATGCGGCTGATCTGGGCTTCCCTGCTCCTCTCTCCACAGGTTGGCATTAGTCAGCAGCTCCAGCTGCTGTGCTTTGTTATGAACTCCACCCATTTTAAAATGCCAACCTGCATCCAAAGGCAGGAAGGTGGGGTGGCTGGTAGGGGTCTCCTCTGCAGGTGGTGTTCTTTAATGCAGTAGGGTTGGGCAAAAAGTCTGTGAATGATGCTGTCTGAAAGGATACCAAACACGGCTGGTACAGGCAGGGAGAGGTGGAGGAAAGATGAAATGATGATAATACCTCTTGTTATGACTTTGAATGTGTGCTGGAATTTCACAGCAAGGTGCGATTTCTTCAGAGACCCCACCAAACAACATTGACATTCATATAATACTTTATAGATCTCTATCCCACAGGGACAAATGGTGGTACCTGGAGCTGTCCCATATTCAGTGAGCTTGTGAATGTTAGTTTGAGTGTTTTGATTTAAAATTTATTTCATTTTGAAGCACTGAAAATATGAAAACAGAAAAATGTGCCAGTGCCCCCTAAACAAAAAGTTAAAGTAACACTGTCTATAACTCCTCTTATTGATCAGCAGATCAGCTTGAGCTTATTTTTCATGCTTATCATTTTGTGAGTGTAAATCTGTGCTGTCTTGAAATGTTCTCCTGAAAAATGGGTGTATTTTATTTGGCTGCTTTGCACCCCATCTAGTGGTTGTTAGTCCACAATGCAATACTGTAGTAGATCAGATATGCTAATGTATATTGTGTCTGGCAAACAACTAAAAATAATTTCCAGTGGTTCTTCTAATTTGCAGACATTCAGTGATTATATTTTTGATCTGAAGCTTCTTCAAAAACTTCAAGGGTTGCTGGATGTCTTTGGTTTCTGTGCAAAATTCTTCTTTTTGCATTTTTTCTCATGCACATGGTGGAAGATAAAAAACATACCTACCAAAATAACTGAAATTAAAAAAACATCTCTAGAGTAAAGTAACACAAACTTGAATATAACCTAAATTAAGACTTTAATTAGTATGAGGACAACTTGGCCTTGGAGGAACCTTCCAAACGTTTGCCACTAGAGAGCGTGTTCAGTTGGTATTAAATCATTAGAAAGATTCATCTGAGTGCTGCTGCCTTGTGGTCATCAACTTAGATCCAGTTTAGATAGTTTGTTGCTCTGCAAAAAGCAGTGCTGGAAGTAGTACTCAGATCTTTTACTTAAGTACAAGTTGCAATGCCACAGTGTCGAAATACATGTTACAAGTAAAAGTCACGCATGAAAAATGTAAAGTATCAGCATCACAATATAGACAAATACTTAAAGCACAAAACGTAAAAGTACTCAATATTTACAATAATGTATATTACTGAATTATTGATGCATTAATCTGTGCATCTATTTAATGGATCAGCTGTTAAATGTGTGTAATTATTTACTATCCAGCAGCTTGTCACTCTCACCAAGGGATCAATGATGTCTTATCTTTATCCATAACGATACACAATTTATTTGTTTGCATTTTGTATTATTAATTTGAATCTACAAAGTAACTAGTAACTAAAGTTATCAAATGTAGTGGAGTAGAAGTGTAAGTAGCATAAAATGGAATATTTAAGTGAAGTACTAGTACCTCAAAATTGTATTTAAGGAAAGTGTTAGAGACATTTCTTAGTGGGCTTAATTGATGTAACAGGGAAAGATAAGAAGGTCTAGCTTGGAGTCATTAGCTGACCCACAAGTGTTCACTGACCTTCCAGCTCTAGTTATTTCTCACATGTAACTGTCCTTGTTAGGAAGACGACAGTTAGACTAATAAGGTAGAGACAGTAGCTCAGGCATCAGGCTAGCAGATATTGGTTTTCTTTGGGAATCTGTCATGGTTGAGTCTTACAAGAATTTTAACAAGAACTTACTGGCTCCACAAATTAGAGTAGGGGAGACCGGGTATGGTTGGGGAACACTTTTTGCTTCAGTAACTATAACTATATTTAGCTAGAGCAAATTTTTATACAAAGTACCTACATTTATTCACTACAAATGGCACCAATTCAATTCTCTACAAGAATATCACAGACCTCATGAGTTGATGTCAAATGCAATGTGTTCCCTTGTTACAACCTACCCCAATAGCGGGGTAGGTTGTAACACATGCTGGGGTAAGTTGTAACAATCACACAAAAGAATCAAAAATGGATGCCACACTACATGATATGTTTCTCTCTTGCTGTAACAGACTGTCTGATGACTCACGCGCATAAACAGCATGTGTATGTAAATTTATCTACAGAATAAACTTACTTAAAAGTATACTTAATAAATACTACTAAAATGTAATTAATTAAAGAACGTCTCTGTACATCCTTAGGTCTAACTAAAAAGAGGTGTGTGTGTGTCAGTGTGTGAATATTCATATTCAGAGCCACAGTCAGTGCTTGAAGTGGACCGATATTGACCGATACCAGCACTATTATATTTTACTCTTTGGCGTACCGCGACTTTTTCTTGCGCACATGCAGGTACTTGTCACAAGCTGTCCATTCACTTTTATGGAAAAGGTCGAATGACGATACACACGCCAACATGTGTACAACATGTGAATGGGGAGTACTGGTCACAGTGCAGATAAATTAATGCTGGTAACCCTGGAGTGCGGGTTTGGTTGGCCCAGACTACATAAGGCAATCTGGATAATATTAAAATCAAGAAAGTACCTAGTTTTATGTATCGTGGATGGTTGTAACACTTTTTAAAGTGTTACAACCCACCCCACCCCTGTCAGCCAATGTTTAGCTAGCTGTATTAGCATAGTGGTTTGAAATTAGAAAAAAATGCATCACATGTTGTTTGAGAAACTATATTTCAATCTAATATAAGTCAAACAATTCTATCTGCAATTGTATAGATACTAAAGAAAAAATAGTCTTGGTAAAAAACTTTACTTTTTTCCCTGTATATTCTGAATGCACCTCTTTCCAGATTTGATAACCACCATGCCCGATCGGGGAGGAAGCAGGAAAAAACTGAAATGATCACCTAACTCCTATCTTATCTCTATTTGGTGGAATTGGTGTTGTTACAACTCTCCCCATGTTACAACCACACCCGATGTCCCCTACAACTCAAGGATAGAAATATATTTGAATATAACGTAGCATTGGAGAAACCTTTAGAGCAATGGTGCTGGGCAATGTTGCTGTCAATGGTAATGAGTAAAGATTACTACCGTAATCCCCTTCCCCCACCACTCCGTCACCCGCCCCACCCCGCCGCTATCCGTTCAAAACATAGTCGGACTTGCCACCAGCAACATTGCTCAAATAATTCCCCCCTGTATCATCAGCTTAAGAGGACAACCTACAGGAACTAGGGGGAAGAGAGAAACATAAAAAGGGACCACAATATGTTATCCTTCAGATTTGGTGTTGGCATTCAATGTGTTCACATGTTGTGTGCTGGCACTGTATCTCTTCGCTGAATAAACCATGCCATGTTAAGTCTTCATCAGTCTCCGAAACTTCTTCTCACCTGAACCTGGCTCACAATATTTCTTCAACAGATAGTACTTGGATAAATGGACTTTCCAACACTGGCAACGAGTGACAAAAGTGAAAAAGATAAAGGGTTTTAACATGTGGCCAGTCTAATTGTTTTGATGGAAAATCATTAATTTGGCCACAGAATTAAATATTTAATATTTTGAATATATTTTAAACAAGACAGGTAGTTTTCACATGCTGGAGTAAGCTATAATAAATCAGCTCTCAGATGGAGTGTACTGTATTGTCTCTTAAGGAGAAGTACTTCAACTGATTTTTGGGTAGTAGTGGTCATTTAGCTGACACTTTTATCCAAAGCGACTTACAATTGCTAGTTATGTCAGAGGTCGCACGCCTCTGGACCAACTATGGGTTAAGTGTCTTGCTTAGGGACATTGGCGGATGTGTCACAGTGGGAATTGAATCAGGGTCTCCAACACCAAAGGCATGTGTCTTATGCACTGCGTCATCACCAACCACAATGGCGTTGCGTTACTTGTTGTAAACCGAGTTGTTTAATGCAGTTACTACACAGTTCACGCTTTTAAATTCCATGGTTTTCCTTTTGACCTCTGTGGTCAGTCTGTAAAGAGCAAGGGCTCTTAACTTTGCAGTTGATGTAAAATTCATTAAAAATATCTGTAGTCGTGACACATTGCATTCTGCGACTGCATATGATCAAGCAGCTCACTGCGCTCATAGACACAGAACTACAGAAAGTTACATCATACAGCAAGGCTGAAACATTTTTCAGCTCTTGCGTCATGGTCTTTTTGGCAGCTGTGCTCTGCTTCCTTTAGTGGAGTCTTTGTGTATCCAATAAAACTATTTAGTCGTGGCAGTATCAGTTTGCGACAGAATGGTGCGATTACAACCAGCACATATAGATATCATGTAACATAATCTTTAAAAGTATTAAGATACTTTGAGAAACTTCTGGAAACTTGAATGATGATGCAATTTTTTTGTTTTACTTCAGAGAATACTGCAGAAGAGAGAGACTCCAAACACTGATACATCTAGAAGAACTAAACAGAAAGAGAGGTGTTTAGAAAACCCCATCACAGTTGCAACAGTCAGCCAGATTCCTTTTTGTTTGAAGAACTAACAGCTGGTAAGACAGGAGAGTGGCTGAACTCTTCTGTTTGTTCACAACCCCCTTGTTGGTCTTCTTCTTCTACAGTAGCACCTTTAACTACAATGCTGAATCAGCAGCTGTTTGGTTTTGGTTTGGTTTCTTTCTATTCCTTACAAAATGTACCTATATAGCTTCATGAATAGCAAATTCTTCCAACTTCTAAAAATAACAATGATTACCATACATTCCCCAGTCAACACCTCTTAAATATTGATGAACCTGATCCCCAGACATCATGTATTATTTGATTCCAAACATGTAGACTGCACATGAACTCAGATTTAGTGAAGAAAAGCAGAAAGCAAAACCCTTAATGATTGATCCTCTTTTGGCAACACTAAGAGAAACATAACTGAGGATGCAGCGGATCAGGACTGGTGCTGTAGTTACTGTAATGATGTTCAGATGTTGAATGGCCTTCTGTCCTCAAATAGCACTTCCTTGCTGCACTTATGTAAGAGTCGCTCCACCCTCCTGCTCTTAAATCAGATTCTGCTGGAGAAAAAAAACGTGACAGATGTATGCCTGGTTCATGACTTTACGTTAAAAGCAATCTTCTGACAATCTTTTGATTTGCAGCTGGTGAAATATTGCATCATTTTGTGTTGTGCAAATTGCCTGTACACACTTCTCTTCCATATCTTAAATGCGAAAGTCCTACAGTATTTAAGATGTGGTGGTTCAGAAAAGTACTGGAAGCTTCTTTATACAGACACTTATACACACTCAGTGTATACTTACACAGTATAAAGTAGGTACAGTGAGTGGAACAACATTAAGAGGTAACACATAACTCATTCCAGGTGACCATTCCAACACTCATCCTTAAAGAAATGCATGCATGTGATAGGAGCCAAATCTGTAAAGCACACATGATAATGTAGTATCACAATCATGACTCTGCCTTGAGATTATATACTGCCCCCCTTAATGTCAAATGTACAATATTTTTTTACATTTCCTGCCCCTGTGAGCCTCCTTTTCGTATACAGAATGTCTGTGTGGGTATTCCAGGCCTTTGCCACACAAGGCAGACAATGAAAGTGTTGCTATTTTAAAGGAGATTATGTGTAGTAGGAGATTTGAACAGACTTGCTTGACCCACAAGGTGCTCTCACTCTGCACACGCTGAGGAATTTCAGTGTAAACTGTGGCTCCTGGGGCTTTTTCAGTATCACTCCCTGCAGGGAGTGAATGGTCTGCAAGCCTGCTCTTGTATCAAACCTTTCAAAGGAGAGTTAGGTGGGTGCCGTGTCCCCAAAATGTGATCATATTTGAAATGAGAGGGTTGTGGAGTTAGGATTTGTTGACTTTTTTTTCTCCTTCAAACTTTCGAAGAACTTTCTTGGCACCCTCCCCCAACACACAACAGTCACTGCAAACATAAAGGCCATTGACCAGTTGGCATGTCAGGACAATTTGCAGGGGGGCTGTAAAAGTGGAGGAATTTGGGGGTAGAGAGATTTATAAAATACCTTTGGTTGGAAAACAGTTTAATGATTCTGATGATTAATTTTCATACTGTATGTAATGCAATGCTATCTCTTGCTCTGTCCTTCCACAATTGAGACAAATGCTCCATTATTAATCTTTGACACCATGAAGTGGACATTAGTATCAATCTGATGTGTTTAGGAAAAGGCTTAACAGCTTTACACAAGTATTTATAACTTATTTTGTTAAAAATGTTCTTGCGCAGATTAAGAAAGGAGGCCCTGGTCAGAACACAGCAGTTTTTACTACAGTGGTCCTTTTTAACACCCCCATCCTTCAAGCACCCTGCAATCAGCAGCTGAGTTGGACAGACGTGGCACTGTGGTGGTGGGGGCAGGGCTGGAGATCTTGCAACTTCTTTGAACTATGGAAACTACTGAGCAAAGTTCTGGAAGTTTCCATTTGAAATTAGACTTCTGTATAACAAGTTTAATACACATAAAATAACTACTTTTCTTCAGGGAACTTTTGCAAAGAATGTGCCCATTCATTTATGTCTTGCCTGCTGAGAATGCAGAAGATTGATGTTCCAAAGAGGCTCATGAACTCAAAATTTCAACAACTGCATAAACAGCGTTAACATGCTACATATGTTTTCATGTATGAGAATCATTCAGTTCATGATAAAATATAATTTTTCTTCATCTTTTACATGTGATGAAACCAGCGTTAGAGATTGAGTCAGCAAGCAGCATGAGAACCGAGAGGCTGAGAAATATTTCTGTACATCAGCAGCTGAAACTGGCCATTTTAAAATGGGTGGAGTTTCTCCTTCCATTTCTGTCTGCAGCCACTGCTGGGAAAGTTTCAAAGCTGATCCTAGACCAGTGCTCGGTAGTTAACCTCAGCCAACCCCTCTCATTCCAGCCTGTGGTTTCAACAGGGACGTCCCAGTTCCCAACTTCCTAAGGAAAGGGAGACATCCTCATTTGCATATCCCATTCCCACTTCTGGAAAGTTCTTTCTCAGGATATATATTTGTAGGGCAGGAGAGTCTGTTACAGACAGCTTCTCGCAGGACGCAACTCAGACAAGAAGCCCAGCGAATCTGTGCCAGGTAAGGATTAGAAGATAACGGTCTTTGTTTCCAGGAAGGAATGTGGAGGGTGGAAGAGGTGGAACACGGCTGCTTTGTTTTTACTTTTAAAGTTACAGTGCAGTGTTTTCCCCATTTTAACCAGCTTTAAATATCTTCTATTTCTGACTGTTTGACCTGCGCATGTTATATTTTTAGTTTTTCTGAAGTGAAAAAACTAAATCTACGGCAGAGCTTAATGTTTTCATTTACAACTTATCCAAGCATGATGCTACTAAAACCTTTTGCCTCTTGTATATCACCACTTTCCCGACTATTTAAGTGCAATCAAATTAACTGAAAGAAAGTACTTCATATGCACCCAATCTGGCTTTCTGATCAACTTTAATCCATCATTTTTTCATGATGAGCGGTTCATATATGTCTTCTAGAAATGACTGCTGTTCCACTGTGGCACAGCTGATTGGATGATGACTGTGGCATTGGATGATCACAATTTTTTTTCTGCTTCACACTCAGCCAATGAAAAAAGCTCATAGGTCTGATTGTGAATGAGTTATTTCTAACATTTATAATAATTTATGTCTAAATGTTGAAAACTGGGAAATAAGATGAAGAAATTAGATGACACAGCATATGTCTCCACCAGAGCCTGTATAATGTTCTCTACTGCCTGCTCTACGGAGATTATTACATACACCTCTTGTCTTTCAGAATGAAAATCGCAGACATCAAAAGATCTGAAGGTATCTGAACATGATGCAAAGTCATTTCTGCTGTGTCACAAATTTACAAATACAGGGATGCAGACATATCATACATACATACCTCTGCAGACAGAATGGTGGAGAGGGAACAGAAACATGTTTAGAGATGCCACTGCAGCTGGATAATTACAGCATTTGGTCCTTTGTTTGAACTAAGGAAGTGATAGGATGAGTTAAATATAGCCTGCAGGCACACAATGCTTCTCAAAAGTATCAAAGATGCACTGCATGTACAGACAGTGAAACACAGTGATTTCTGACCCTTACTACTTCTAGCTAAAGAAAAAGTCATTAAAAAACAAAAGTGCAGACGTGCAACAGGCTGCATCAATTGCAATAAATGTAGAAAACAGAGGGGCATCATATTTCAGTGCTGAGTCAGAGCAGAGCTTCACTCTGAGTGGACGGCATCTCCAGCTGTACAGCTAAGCCTCAGTCGCTGCTGACGTGGCGAGGAACATGTCTGCCTAAAACTGGAGGCACTCCCAAACCTCAGTGTGGGCTGGGCCAACCCTGCCCTGCCACGAACAGATTCACCTCCCAATCTCTGAATTCCATATCAAACTCAATACACATGATTGATTTTAGGAAACCAGCCCAGGTTGATGTAATGTTAAACCTTTCCTTTTCTTTTGCTCCCTTTTCACAGGCTGCTACAGCTGCTTTCAGAGTCAGACAGGATGTGGATGACAAACGTCGTAGCCCTATGTCTGCTGGCCCTCGTGGCCTCTGCAGAGGACAAGAAGCTGAGCAGCCATGCCACCACGCTGGCTGATAACAGCGCCAATCTGGCCTTCAGGTCTGAAACCTTTGTATATATTGCTGCGATTACAATTAAGTGCATATTATGATGGTGGTACACCTGGTTTTTCTGTAGCATTTCAAGTAATCTTGTGATTTTGATTTAGCCTCTACCACAACATGGCAAAGGAGAAAGACACAGAGAACATCCTCATCTCTCCTGTGGTGGTGGCCTCCTCTCTGGGGATGGTGGCTCTTGGCAGCAAGGCCTCCACTGCCTCCCAGGTCAAAACAGTCCTCAGTGCTGACAAACTGAAGGATGAGCATCTGCATACAGGCCTGTCTGAGCTGCTGTCTGAGGTAAGTACAACAATATCCAATGCTGTATACTGAAGACTTTATTACAAACCTTAGTAAAATAACTTTTCAAACCTGCCTTCTTCATTTATTGTATTTTGATATACCACAAGACCACAAGAGGTCCTGCAAAATTACTGCAGACCCTCAGTACGTTCCATACATTGCTCATTGGTCAAAGTTCCCACGTTGCTCCTTCCCAGGTGAGCGATGCCAAGACACGCAACACTACCTGGAAGATCAACAACCGCCTCTATGGCCCCAGCTCTGTCACCTTTGCTGACGATTTTGTGAAGAACAGCAAGAAGCACTACAACTATGACCATTCAAAAATAAACTTCAGGGACAAGAGGAGCGCAGTGAACTCCATCAACGAGTGGGCTGCCAAGTCAACAGGTGGCAAGCTGCCTGAGGTCACCAAGGATGTGCAGAACCCAGATGGAGCCATGATTGTCAACGCCATGTTTTTCAAGCGTGAGTATAAGTACTGTCTTTTATTCAGATCTTGCTATGTTTTCATTTCTAATCATAACTGAAACACATGGAGATGTCAAAGGATTGTGCAGATGTGTAACTGAGTCCTCTATGTTTTGTCCCACAGCTCACTGGGATCAGAAATTCCATGATAAAATGGTAGACACACGTGCTTTCCTGGTTACCCGCTCATTCAGCATTTCGGTTCCTATGATGCATCGTACAGGTGAGTTTCTCCACCATCGCTGCTTCTGACCTTATCTTGTTATGTCTTCACAACTGATTCTTCCAACAAGAATGCAAGCAAGATATCTGATTTATCTGCTCTCCGCAGGTCTGTATGACTTCTATGAGGACACAGAGAACCGTATCTATGTGCTGAACATGCCTCTGGGCCAGAAGCAGGCCTCTATGATCTTTATCATGCCCTACCACCTGGAGTCCCTGGAACGCCTGGAGAAGCTCCTGACCAGGAAGCAGGTGGACACCTGGCTTAACAAGATGGAGAACAGAGCTGTGGCCATTTCCCTCCCGAAAGTCTCACTGGAAGTCAGCCACGACCTGCAGGTAAATGGTGGCAATTTGACGGGTTGATGGTTGTCAGAATGTAAAGTTACAGTATTTCAAAATCAACCAACATCCATTTAACTTGAGCTATCCTCTGTCTTATCTAGAAACATCTGGCTGAGCTCGGCTTGACCGAGGCCGTGGACAAAGCCAAGGCTGACTTGTCCAACATTTCTGGAAAGAAGGACCTCTACCTTTCGAACATCCTCCACGCGTCTGCCCTGGAGCTGGACATAGATGGAAACCCATACGACACCAGCATCTTTGGCACTGAAAAGCTGAGGAACCCCAAACTTTTCTACGTAGACCACCCCTTCATTTTCATGGTGAAGGACAACAAGACCAGCTCCATCATGTACATTGGCAGAGTGGTTAGACCTAAAGGAGACAAGATGCGCGATGAGCTATAATAATGTTGTGAATTGTGGTTGGTAGCTTTATTATTTGTGAAACAATGGCAGGAAACTGTGTATTTTATTTTTTTTTGGTATGACTGTTACCTCATGAGCACATTCCAATACACAATCTGTCGACTGTTATCAAACACACCAAACCTTTCCAGGGAACAATTCTGTAAAACGGACTCAGCCTTAAGCCCCCTTAGACTGAATAATGTTCTCAATTACAAATAAGTATTTTAGATTTCCTTTTAGAAACAAACAGCAGTTGGCACAGCAGACAACATGCTTATATTAAGTATGATCCTTTTTCCTTTACACCCTGTTATTGCAAGTATTGGTTCAGCTATGATCTCTGTGTGTTTTCTTGCATTATCTTTAATGTTTAAAGAAAAAAAGATAATTGCACAAGCTTGTTTTACAGGTCTGTGTCATTCCTTCCCTACAATCTTACAGATTCTTTTTTAAATGTTGCAATGTCCAGTCTGCACTGAATTGTTCCTCTGCATGAGCTGAGCTTGCAGAGGAAAGGTGGCAAATGTCTGGTGTTTAATTTATGTTCACTTGCCAGCCATACTGGGTCATTTTGTTGCTGTAGGTATTTTCCACAAAGCAGTTGTTGGAATCGTGTGATTATGTAATAATGTGTTCATTTTTCAATAAAAAAAGAAAATGATATTTTTGTCTGTTCTATTTTTGCAAAGCTTCTAAAAAACCATCCCAACACAGTCCTCTGGAGTGTTGAACAGGGCAATATGAACTCTCCAGAGTTAACAAGGAAAAGGATAACAATCTTTCCAGTTGGCTGGAATGTAGGGATTTGACAATGAGGGCAGTTTCCTTACATTGCTAATCTGCTGTAGACAACTATCCAGAGAATTTCGTGCTTGATTTCCCTCACCACCACCACCAGTCTAAAATAAAGTCAGTGCGATCTTTGTTGGGACGTCCCAAACAGAGAAAAAGCAGACTCTGCAGTGCAAAGACTGGAGTGCAGGGTTCTCATGGTGCGTGGGAAATGTAATCTCCTGCACAGAAAATAAAAAAGTTTAGCTGCAACGCAACGGTAGGTTGAGAAGAAAAGAATCAAAATCAGTACTTTTACTTACTTATAAGGACTTTCATACAGCCTAAGCATTATCCTGAGACTTGTTTTCATGTATTGTCAAAACAATAAAAAGCTTGCATACTTCTCTCTTACAAGAAATAAAAACCTTATGGATTTCTATGTCAGGGCTGTAGCGCCCACCTCTGGGTGCAAAGAGGAAAAGGACTGGCTACACTATGAGGAAGGCTAAACAATGAGGGTTTTACAAATCAATGTTTTAATTCCTTTACATACACCATTTAATTTGCATTTCAGTGATAATATACAAGACAAATCACAACATATAACTTACACAATATACATGTTTCTGACTGGCTCTGCTGTTCTGTTGTACATCAAGCATGAACTAAGCTGCTCCTATAGTAAACATTAATATGATGAAATGCTGGGCATTATTATAAAAGTAATTAATAATTGGCCGAGGTTCGGTTGAGAGATGACGTCATATTTGGGGTCTGGATCAAAAACATCCTTTCACAGTTCAATTTTGTTTTTATTGTCTGCTCAGATTTTCCCTTATTCCCACATGCCGTTTGAAATAAACTGCAGTGAACATGCTGCATGCTTATGTTGTACTCAAAAAAGCACTCTGTCGATAAGAAAAACTTATCCATTCAATGTTCCATAGCAAATATCTTGATTTAGAGACTAGATGGGAGCACATCTCTCTGACAAATCATGCATCTGCGAGGGTAAGAGTCCCTGACCTTCTGGGAATACAAAAGTCTGCCAATGTGCGTAGTAGAGTAGAGTAAATGATACTACAGTGCAACATCTGCTGTTGGGGAAAGCAGCTGTAACAAATCCAGATGTGGTAAACATTGTACACACAGTTTGCCCTCCTGAACTCAGAAGGAAGTTTTATTCATTTGTGTCCAAAAGTTACTTTGTGAAATTTATTATAAATTATACAAATATAATTGCTGTGTGAGCATCAATGCAGAGAATGTGTTCTAATATTGAGACATTAAAGGGGGGTTGTAAACTTGTGATGACAGAAAACAAGTCATTTCAAGTTATTAAATCATCTTCCTGAGGTACTTCACTTCATATAATTTATGACTTTGTATTACAGGTCTGTTACTGACACAAACACAGCAGGAGTAAATTCAGAAATGTTGCACAAACAACCAATTCAGTTCACTTTACTTTATCCAGAATTGTAGGTGCTGACATTAAAGGTGCAATGTGTAAGAATTTAAGAAATTTAAAACATCATCAACAGAGTGTGAAGAAATAGTTTTCACAATATGTCAAAGAAGTACTTGTATAGTGCTGCAGTTATCAACTTACGCCAATCCTGTCTTGTTATACCACTTTGTGCCTCAAGCAGTAATAGTTCGATAGTATAGCTCAGGTCCCCCCCGCCGTAATTTCAGCTGGGAGATGTGTGCAAGTGGCGATTTTGCTGTGTTGCTACGTCTTTTAACTTTCTTATTCTAATAAAGAGACAAAATAAACTCACCACAAAATGTCAAGAAAGAAAACATTCTTACACCTATTTTTCTCATTAAAAAGAAAAATATAAGCACACACCTTCTGAATTCAAGTTTCTCTCTTTCACCGCCTTGTTCATCTTAAAGCACACTTCATTCACACTTGACAGAAATAAAATGAAACTCACCAAAACCATCTTGGTTATTCTTTCCACTGTTCCAACAATCCCCAACTCTGGTTTGGTCGAAATAAACCTTTTAATCAACGAGGTAGATGTGAAATTGTCTGTCTCAACACACTCGTCCTTGACTCAGTCAGCTAATAGGACAGCTAAGTTAGATGCACGGCTAACTGAGCTAACCAGATAACAGCAGCTAGAAGCAGTTAGGCGATAGGCTACCCTTATTTCTTTGAGTATAAAATAAACAGGTGGAGATTAGTATTAAGTCTTACACATTGTACCTTTAAATCCATCACTGAGCACTTTGGAAACAGCAACATGTTTCACTAAAGGATTTAGGATTCATTTCTCTCCAAGTGCTGTCACCCTTTCTTTATTGTAAATAAAAGGTTAACGGCTTTCTTTATGGTAGAAATAAACATGGCAATTGTCTCTTTTTTTCTTTTGATAATTATAAACAATAGCAGCCTTTGCCTCCAACTTTGGGTAGCTAATAATAATATTCAGCCACAGCAAAGTAACAGCCTCGGCCCCACGACTCTATAATGTGCTTTCATGGCAAACTAAAAACAGACATTATCACCAGAAAATATAACATTTCATTTTGAAATAGGCGTTTGGGGCGTTCAATCTTCCGATGGGTGAACCTCTTGTTGGCCACTCAGTGGCCAATGAGTGCAGAGAGGAGTGAATGAGTGCATCCTGCATTAAGGAGCGGTACTGCTTCTCCGTGCTGCTGGCAGCAGGTACATAGGCAGGTAATGCAGCAACCCTCATTACATTAGCACTGTTGTGTTCTGCTGCGCTGGCTGCAGGCAGATTAGCCAGTCGATAGACAATCCTCTTAAACAAGTCTGCATTAAACCACAGTGAGAGGCTGGGTGGTGCTCTCTGTCCTCTGCCTAGCCCTCCCCTCCCCAGCTTTTTGTCTCTTTTTTTCTCTGGATGTGTCCTCCTCTCTTCTGATCCTCTGAGTGTGCTTCTTTCACATCTTTCCTTCTCTTCCACTAATTCAGATCTTTTTGTCCACCTGCCTGTTGGCCTTGCGAAAAAGGGTCTTGATCTCCTCTGTCACCATCTCCTGCCAGTTGTCCCTAATAAATGCAGAGGATGGAGTTACAACCAGTTTTGCATTTTACAGAGACATTTTTAAGCAGAGCCCGGGGATTCAAAGACGTGAAAATGCTAAGAAAGCATACCACAAAGAAGACGACACACAACAAATGCTGCCAAAAACACTGTAACATAAATGAAAGTTAATAATGAAAATGTGCCAGCCAGCCACAATTAAACTAAACAAAGAGGGCTTTCCATATATACTTAAGAAGATGTAGAAAGGGGATAAGATCAAGAGATTAATGAGACTAGTAGATCACAGAGCAATTAGTAAGATTCAGGAATCAATGAGACAGAACTGTGTGTTAGGAGGCTCACAGGTTGCATTTGGTCACATCAAACTGACAGTCACAGTAACATTTCCACAAAACACAACACCAGCTGGCATGCAGGTCTCTACCTCCTGTGTTTGGACTTAGAGTGTCAAGCCTTTTTCTCAGCTTTCTTTGTCCTGCACGCAGCTAAATCCTGAGGGTTCAGCCCGTGATTGTCTTCCCTGAAGTAACATTCAGATAGTTGCAACTTGCATGAGTCAAAAGTACATCAGTGGCAGGAGACAACAAGTTACAAGGTACAAAGTACAAGGGACAAGGTTGTTTACATGTTCATAATAATATAATAATATTATAATAATAATAATAATAATAATAATAATGTTCATTAGCTTGAAAACAGGGTGGCAATGGCATTTACGCAATTTTAGATCAGATTGGAGGTGGGTCTTTCTTGTGCTATTTTTTCGTCACTACATATTACAGAATTTGTACACATTTAGTTGTTATTTTTAACAGTAGGCTGAAGCTCTTACCCTGGTTTGATCTCTGGTGGTTTTGGCAAAGGCTTTGTAAAATCTGTTTTCCCCACAAGCCAGTATGTCTCTTCAATACCTTTACCCTGAAAAACAAACCAACAAGGCATGGATTAATAGACACTAAAATCTACTGAGGTTAAATGTTAAATGACACTCTCTAGACTGTTACCTTCAGCTCTGTCTTGCCTCTGACATCTATTTTATAACCCTCGTTAAGAGAACGGAGGATCTTCACAGTGCTCATATTTACATGGATTCTATAAGCTGAGGGACGAAGAGAAGAGACAAGGACATTAGGCCAAAACAAAACATGGAACAACACAAAATAATATGCCGGGTCCGTGTACAGGACACTCACGCAGTCCAGTGGATTCCATACGAGAGGCAGTGTTGACGGTGTCTCCAAAAAGGCAGTAGCGAGGCATAGTCAGACCTACCACCCCAGCCACACAGGGGCCTGAAAACACATGAAATTCAAAGTCATTCGTCCAGTTTAAAGATGGATCCAACCGTAAGTCTGAATGGAGTGAGAGTGAGAATGAAGTCCAGTTTAACACCACAGTTGTAACTGTGTTGTTTTGCCCTCAATGTGAGGCCTACGGTGGTTCCTGCACCATCCAGTTTGCGTTGTCACTCACACTCAGCAAGATAAAAGTCACTTCTGGTTACATTAAAAAAACAACTGAACCTTTCCAGACAAATGTTAAAGAGGTGGTATTATGCTCATTTTCAGGTTCAAAATCATATTTAGGGGTTGTACCAGAACAGGTTTACTTTTCAACAAGACACCATATTTTTTGTCATACTGCAGCTACTCTTTTCATTTATTTTAGCTGACACTTTTATCCAAACTTACTTACAAACTTACAATTGCTATACATGTCAGAGGTCGCACGCCTCTGGAGCAACTAGGAGTTAAGTGTCTTGCTCAGGGACACATTGGTGGATGGGTCACAGTGGGGACTGAACCCGGGTCTCTCACACCAAAGGCGCCATCGCCACCCCACCCTGTGTTGAAGGCTACGCTTTAGCTACGGAGTGATCCATCTTGTCTCCAAATGATCTTTGTTGGCAGTTGCATATGCGCAGTTCCTAGTTAAGGACTACTAGCCAATCGGAAGCAGAGAAGGGTGAGTCAGCGAGAAGTCAGTCAATCAGTTTCTATTCAGCTGTAGGCAATATGATGCCGACCAGCTTGGCAACATAGAGTGGAGCAAGAGTTTGAGACTGGTGAGTTATTAATCTGTAACAAATGTATCTTTCATCAATAAAGTTTTAACTGAGCTCTGTCTCTACATCACAGTAACAACTTTATGTCCATAATTGACTGCCTGGAGGGTAGCTAGTGTTTGGAAGGGAGGGGAGAGGTGTGTGCTGCAGCTCAGTGTTTTTCCACTGGTGTTTTTGAGGCCGTATCGGACTAGCTGCTTGGCGAGCATATGTGACGCGCATTTAGTTTTCATCCCTGTGACGACACAAGGATAAAAACTAAATGCGGGTGAAGCGGCTGGACTACAAATGCGCTGTTTTCAAGCAGTTCAGAGCAGAGTTTTCTGTTGGCGATGGGAACTCACTTTGGGCTGAACATTTGGCTTTTTCACTTTGCAAACCTATTACATGCCCAAAAAAGATATATAACTCAATAAAGAAGAGGGAAAAAGCCAAAAACACAATACCACCTCTTTAAAAGAAAAAAAAAAAAGGCGTGACCAACTGCTGCAGCCTGTCCTGTTTTGAATGCTCCACCCAAGTCTTATTTTGACCTTAGATGAATCTCTCCTCTGAGGTGGACCATTATCAGACAACAAATATATATAATGCAGACAACAACATAGAGTTTAAATAAGCCCCACAATCTCCCTCATTTTCACTGTGACAGAAAATATTTTTTCTTTAATCTGCAAAGAGCTGTGCACGTGGAGCAGAAGGTTAATAATGTAACCAGTGCGATGGATGCTCTGGCCTGGTACCGTCTCACCTGAGTGGATTCCTATGCGTATCCTGACGGGCACGCCTGGCATGTGCCGCATATGGAAGGTTCCTACTGAGCTGAGGATGTTCAGAGACATGTTGGCGATCTCAGCAGCGTGCTTGTTGCCGTTTCTCTTTGGCAGACCCGATGCTACCATGTAAGCATCACCAATGGTCTCCACCTAGATCATGTGAACACATGGTTATGGGCACATCAGTGTGTGTCTCTGTGTGCTGTATGTGTACTGTAGAGACATGCTGTTGAATCACATATCAGAATTAATTGTCACCATATGATATGATGACATTTATAAAAATTTAAAAAATACTTTTACATTCTTGCAAACAAACCCTTTCATTTAATATTTATAAATATATATCTGTTAATAGTTTGCAGATCTCTCAAAAGTCCAGAACTCAACATCTGGTAGGAAATGGGAGTCTACTAGAAACAATGAGCATGCACTCTGACCTTGTAGACGTCGTGGTTACTGAGCACGGCGTCAAACAGAGAGTAGAGGTCGTTGAGAAGGTCGACCACCTCAATGGGGTCGCTGAGCGAGGAGATGGTAGTGAAACCTACAATGTCACTGAAGTAGATTGTCACCTGGTCAAAGTACTCCGGTTCCACTGTGGCACCGGTCTTCAGGGCCTCAGCCACAGAACTGAAGACAGAGGGGCGGAAACATACCAGGAATCAGATGATCAGGCATTTTGTTAGGGAAATGTAACTAAAATGCGTGGAATATATTTATTAGACATATAAAAATTACATTTAGATGATTATTTTGTAAAACTAATTTTATATTATCGTTATAATGTTTGGATTTTCTTACATTTGCGTGTGTGTGTGTGTGTGTGTGTGTACAAACTCACGGTGGGAGCATCTCTGAAAGTAGTTTTTCTGTTCTCTGTTTTTCCACCTCCAGCTCCTCGGTTCTCTCTCTGATGAGGTCCTCCAGGTTGGAGCTGTACTGCTCCAGCATCCTCAGCATTGAGTCAATGATGTTAGTCTTCTTGCCCTTGTTGATTAACTTGAACTACTCATAAAAAAATACAGAATCAAGTTAAACAATAAGTATGATATTCTTTAGACTGCTTTATTATATATATATAGTATATAACAACTGTAAAGTCTGAATCAATAACGGCGCAAGGGTGCAGTGTTGGAATGTAACTAAATACATTTTTGACATAACAATGAATGAACAGTCAATTAGTGTTTTCTGGGGCTAGCATTTATTTATTTTCAGTTTCGTTATTGTTGCTGTTGCCATTTAATTTTTTTGAGTTGCTGATATTAATTCCTTCCTCATATATGTTCCTTTTTCCCCTTCTTTTTAAAATAATTGATGTACATTTCAAATTGATTTGGGTATGACAAAGTAGATGTGTAAATATTAATTTGGAAAGCAGGTAGCATTTGTTCTGTGGACATGGGTTGGTGGACAAGTTTTTTTCTTCTTCCTACTCTTTTTAAATATGTAAAGAAATAGACAAGAGTTTCAAAGATTTCTTTGGCTGTAATTATTATTATTATTATTAATTTATAATTGCGTTACTTAATCATTTTGATTTGTTTTATTACTATTACTGGTTGGATGTTTCTGTTTTACATATATTTGAAATAAATAATAATAATAATAATAATAATTGTACTTTACGTATTTCCATTCTACGCTAATCGTACTTTTTTTTACTACACTACATATTTTTGACACTTGTAGTTTATTAGTTTAACATGATTTGCTTATTTGATATGATGCAGTACTATTATACTCATCTAGTCAGTAATATACAGAGTATCTAAAATTGGCACCACAACTACAAATTAAAATGCTTTAACTTGTATTTGTTGGTACTAAAAACATCCTAATATAATATTTTATAATAATATAACAATGTAAAAGAGGCCATTCTGCATAATGAGTATTTTTACTTTTGATACTCTAATATCGTTTTTGGCAATACAAGTAACACTTTGAACTCAAGAACCTTACTTGTAATGAGTATTTTCAGACCATGGTATTCTGAGGTACTTCTTCCACCACTGCAAGGGAGTTTTCAAAAACGTACCCTGTCAAAGATCTCATCAAATGCTGGTCTGCGGTCAGGCTGTTCGCTCCAGCACTGCTTCATCAGCTGGATACACTCCAGGGGGGCCTGGTCCGGGGCCACAGTGGGGCGGCACATTGGAGGAGGCTTCTTCACCTTGCGGATGATCTCTGGTGAGGAGACGGAGGAGATGGGACATGTTGATCATGTTTCAAATTAGAATATGTACTGTATCAGTATTCTGTTACGCTGTAACACATTTTCATGATAGCCAAATTTAAAAAAGTAAATTATTATTTAATTAATCTACATCCCAGTTGTCTCAAACTTAGAAAAAAGAAAATCTCTCTCTAATGTGTCCGTTTCTCTTTATCTGCATCTCCTCCTCCCTGGTGGGTACACACCTTCAGGTGGTAGACCCAGCATGCAGTACGGTGGCCCCCTGACCACCACCTCTTGAAGGATGATAGAAAAGCTGTACACGTCTCCTTTGTAGGTGCCTTTACGTGAGATTGCAAGGTCCCTTAAGAACTCTGGAGCTGTCCAAAACAGATCTGAGTGAAAAACAAAAGAAAAGATGTAGAATTAGGGTGAAAACGTTAAATCTCATCTTAACACCACATTTGAAAAGCTAATGTTGTAGATAGTAATCTCTATTTTGGAATCGTATCTACAAAGTTTACTGTACATAGAGCGTAGTGTAAAGAGTTTTTTTGAAGAGTACATGGTACCTTCAGGTGGAGGTTCTTCAATAGGAGCTTTTGAGACTCCAGCAGCTCATTGAAGCCATAGTCAGTAATCTTGAGGACAAAACGCCCGTCCACCACACAGTTACGAGACTTTAACCTTCCATGGGGGAATTCTCTGTGATGAAGGTATTTCATACCCTGGAAGCACAATATGTTCAACAGTGCAGTTCACCACAAAGGAAATATGACACAATGACCTGCACACATACAAGCCATTGAGGAAAATGTGTATTTACTATATCAGTGTTTACCTTGATGAGGTCAAGCACAAGTGAGGACTTGAACATCCAGTCTAATTTAACGTCCTCATTCCTTAGCAGGTCCTGCAGACTGCCCCGCGAGCAGTGCTCCGTCACCACTGCAAACATGGAGCAGTCCGCGAAGAAGCCAAGGAAAAGATTCACATTCTCGTTTCTCAGATCTTTCATCTGAAAAAACACATAAACAGGGACAGTTTTTAGCTTTTAACAGTGTCTTATCTGCAATGTGTGTTTCCCTGAATATAAAACCTGTGTAAGATATTAGAAGCAGTGTGTAGCCTTTACAAATAATTGCATTCAAAATTTTCGTTAATTTCTTTCGTTTTTGTTTTTTACAGTTCAAGACATGTTGCTCTACCTTTGTGAAAATCTTGGTGGTGCTCTGCTTCACTTCTTTGAAGTGTCCCTCCTCAAATTTCTTTAGCCACACCCAGTCGCCCTGCAAGAGAAGCCATGTTGTTACAGTGGGATCAAACTTTTGTTTGTATCGTCTTCCATGTAAGGTTTTTGTTGCTAACTAAAAAACAGATGTTTTACTTCCTTAAAGAAGAATAAAACATTTTTTCTCCTGACTGCTGCCTGTTCATCCACCATTGTGAAAATGAATTCAATCATAAAATGGACATGGAAAATGTGCTTCACAAGGACCCCCTTCCCTCCCTCATTTACCCACTCATTTTACTTACTTTAAAATATTGTACAGGCTTAAGTAGGGCAGTGGATTAGGGCCACATGTGAAAAATCTATTTGAGTTCTGACTTTAAAATTTTCACATGTGGCCCTAATCCACTTCAATACTGGAGCAGTAAGTGCAAAGCCACTTTCAGTGTTGCCTACCTCATACACGGCTACATTTGTGGTCTCATGAGTTGCTGTCTGCATGCTGTTTACAGAGTGTGAGAGGTCTGTAGATTTCTCATCTAGAATGCTCCTGGACTCACTCAGATCCTCTAAAGTGATTTTCTGTGGGACATCACAACACCAGGGGAAGATTTGATAGTATCCTGAAACATTTTTTTAGCAAAACTGCATTTTCAATGTGTTACGTGCAAGGGATGTGGGAAAAAACATGGACTATAGGTTAAATGTGCTAAAGGTTAATTTGATTGCTGGGAGACAGTGATGCTGCTTACCTTTCTGCTAAGCTGAGGATTGATAAACGTGAGATCCTCTAAATTCAGGAGGATCCGATTGGGACCTTTAACCAGCTGGATTTGTTGGAGTCTCCTCCTGCCAATGAGATTTAGAAATGATCAGGAAATCAGTTCAGCCAATGGTGTTGAGCTTCTTAAAACAATCTCAGAGATCATCTTTGGAGCAAAGACAGATGTCTGCTGTTAGTCGCCTGTTAGCATATGGTAGTCAGATAGGAAGGCATAAAATAAGTCTCTACTTTTGGAAAGACATTCACATGATTTCAACAATACTATTTAAAGTTCTTGATTAAAGTTCTTTCAACTTTGAGATCAGTTTTTACGGTCCTTTCTTGCTAGCACCAACTGCTGTCAAATGTTAGCCAGAATCAAACTCTCAAAACTCAAAAACCCCATTCACATACTACATTATAGTATGTGAATGCATCTAGTCTGATTCAAAAATCCCTCTACTTAAAAAAATAGTGGGGAAAATGGAGAAGTAAAGTACAGAAGAGTAACACAAGGTTGCATTTGTTTGTATGTACAGGCTGTACCTGATATAAAGACTTATAATGAGCCCTCCTATAGCCAGGATCAAGATGACAGCAAACGCCACTATGATGTAGGTGACCTCCACACCTGAGGATGACAAGGGGTGATGTTGAGGGAAATGAGGATTGATGATTAAAATAGCAAAATATACGGAAGACATTCCATAAAACTCTGAAGACTTGAGCAAACACATCCATACATATCCATGTGCACCCATATTCACACACAAACAAAATGAACATGAACATGCACACATGCCAAAGCGAAGGCTCTTACCGCCCGTGCAGATGGCATTCTTGTCAAACCAGCAGCTGGAATCAGATGGCGGCGGAGATCCTCCTGGAAAATGAATTGACCTCCCAGCAAAACGAAGCCCGCCGGACATTAGATCCACCAGATAGGTTTGGTACAGTTCGCTCCCCCTGTTGTCAGAGTCCAGGATGACATAGCTGGTCTTAACATCCCCACCAGTGTCCACGTGGACCTTCTGATTGAAGCCGCTGAAGGTTATGTTCTTCATGAAGAAGGCCAGGTTTGAGGCTGACAGCGGCATGCCTACTCTTCTGACGTTGTGAATGGACTTGGCCAGCAGGTAGATGCTGTTATAGATGGTCCCAAATAGCGGGTTAACCTGCAAGGGACACAAGAAAAGACATGATGTATGACTATAGTATTACAACTATTTTAGGGAGGGAGGGATAGAAAAAGAATGAATGAATTTTATTCTAAAAAAAAAACAAAAACCTTTGAGACATACCAGCGGGATTTGTCTAACTCACTCATTAGTTTCAGCTGAACTTTTTGATTTCTTTTGCAGGTGGTGGATTTTGTTGTTGTTTTGTGTTGTTTGTTTATTGATCTCTTACACTGGAGTCGTACAGGATCAGTGATCACTTCATGGTCAGTATGGACAATTAAAGCAACCAATAACCTTTTCAATCTACATATGGATATGTGAGTATAGTTTTAATGCAGAAAATGTGAACCTATCCTTTAACTTCCTTGTGTGACATGCAAACACCTGCTCTGGCTGCACGGCTAGAGTCAATTCCCCACTCCTCTTGGCGGCAACGAACGCCTCGTTGAAGGACAAAGGCTCTGAGGCCATAGTGATAGTGAGCACAGCATCATAGGCCTCCCTCAGCCTGCTGTTGTTTTGCAGGGGGAAGTAGGAGGTGTTGGTGTAGGGCAGGCTGTAGTGGAGGGTGTCATAGGGCACAAACACATATTTCCCCGAAGTCAGGCCCATTTTCTGTGCTTGGAGAAGAAAAGAAACCTGCTGCTCCCCGCCAACCAGGATTGAGTGCATGCACATGATGATGACTGAAACAGACAAAACACAGTGCTAAAATACTTGTTTTATGGACATTTATAGAGTGATACGATAACTGAACTCAGTATCATAATGGTTTAATGTGTCAGTAGTGATAAGTAGTCTAACGTTAGAGTACTTGACCACAAGGTCAAATATGCAGTTACAAAATAGCTTCCTGGTCAGATGGTTGAGTGATAAGCCTGCTGAGGAGGATGTGTACAGCTGGGATGTGGAATAAAGGGCAGCTGGTGGTTTGATATACCCGATGTTGTTCACCTTTGAAGTATGCTCCCAATGTTTAATATCACAGGTATAAATCCTAATATTTCACCAGTAGGTTCATTGTGATACTACTTTGGAATGATCTCCTCATGCATCACTTTAACCTACATATAATCATCTTACAGGGACATTTTGTAATGTAGCTATCTCCTGTATTAAGTTCAGCTCAGACTCACCCCTGATCTCTCCTGCAGCCTGGATCATCCTCAGCGTGCTCCCCATCTCGGTCTCATTTATACCAATAGATGTAACCAGGCCTACGGGAAGCCCCTTGTTCCTCAGAGCAGTAGCAACTCTATCAGCGGTGTCCATCCACATATCCTCGTTGGATGAGACCACCACTACACTGGCCCACCTAAAGTGTTTCAACACCGCAAACAACACCTCCGTGGGAATCGGCACTGTCCTGGCAAAAGTCGGGTATCCTGTGACTCGGTCCAGCTCATAGTTATCACAGCCGTAAGAGAAGATGGCCTTATCCCAGTTCTTAGCCAGTAGAGATGCCGAAATACAGTATCCCGGGTTGACGGGGCCCACAAACGCATCCGCCATCTTCTCGTAGTAAATAAACGCAGTGAGGGCTTTGGAGGTTTCGCAAGGCTCCTGTAGGATGATAAAGTCCATTTTCAGGCCCAAATCCAGATTTAGGTCTCCGTTTATCCTGCTTACAGCGAGCTTGGCGGCCGCAGCAGGCAGGGCCCTGTAGTAAACAGGGTCGCAGTTCCAAGGCCCCAGGACCCCGACTTTGAATATCAAACAGCGGACACAACAAGGGAACGTCAGCACTCCGAGGAGGACCCATAACAGAAAGTTATAAAAGGGCAGTGTCGGTAAAGTTGGTCTGCTTTTAATTATGGGCACACATGCATGGTTGGACTCCCAAAGCGTCCCTCTGACATTTGGAGAAATATGTTGCATTGTCTTTAAAGGGTGTCCAAGGTGAATCTTCGTGTTCACAATGGAAGTGTCAATTAGACCAGTGACACCTGCAAAACAGTGCAAAGTCCTGGTCATTTCTCATTTTCAAATTAATGACTGTTATGAGTTAGAAAAGGCTCACTTTCAACAAAGAATCACTTACCATTTATTTAATGCCATCAGGACAGCTTCAAAGTCCGACGAGACAATCTTAACAGGATGTGCTTTTCTGTGTCCACATAAAGCGTCACCTAACCATCCCTAACCCTTACCTATTCACCCGGAGGATCCACGGTGTCGCTCCGGCGAAGACACAGCCAAGTCATTATGTTTGGATTAGGGGCTGAAAGTGACAGGCAGAGTTTGGGCGCTGCGTCTGTCGCGTTTGGAGACAACTTCAGCACCCTGGAGAGCTACTTATGCCCCGCAGTCAGCGCCTGTGGAGGCTCCTGTGCGTTTCCACAAACAGCTCTGTTCACTGGCAGCACATCTGAAGAAGGAGGAAATAAATCACCTCTGGCCCTGGAGTACCCTGTCTTTCATATGTAGCCTATCTTTTGAAAAGAAAAAAAATCACATATTCCAAATCGAGTTTTACAAAAAAGCAAATCCGGTACAAAAATTAACAGCCTCCCCCCAAAAGACTTATTTAACTAATAAAAATTAGGGAGTATTTCATGTATTATGAATATAGGAGGCCAGTGTCCGCCTCAGGCCCATTCAAGCAAATCCCTCCAAAGTGACCTGGGGCCAAAACATAGGTGTTACTCACTAATCCATTTCAGTGAGGCACAATATAAGAGGATTGACAACAGGCCTTAGCCTTGTTATCATGCAGCCTGGGGAGGCAACAAGGCCATCTCCCATCAGTTAACATACTCCTCTGGAAGTACATTCACAAATACATTTATTCTTATGGAATTTCAGATATGATGATGACATAATGGATACTTTATTCAACTCGCATCATAAATATTCAAAATAGATCAAGTAGCCCAGACCTCCACATGCACATAGAAATGAATATTTAGCAAACAAACATTTTCTGATGTGCAGAGTGCGGTCATTTCTCTTGTCATGGTGACACCTCAGCCATGTGCATGAGGACAACTGAACCGTGCTTTAATTGGTCTAACATGCCCAGAGTAGGCTACAACAGGTACCACAGGTTAAATGAATTTGAACCCTTGTGGAGTGGTGGTAATTAAAGATAACGAAGGGCGCTCTCGCTCTCTTTGGGTCCCCTGAGTTCTGCTGCGTCTTGCCTGCGTCAGTCTTTTCATCATACACCTGTGATAGAGCCTGCCTGACAAATGAGTCAAGGAACAGCTGGTTGCTACAGCATCAACCCTGGATGACAGGGTTAAAGGCCAAATATGGGCTGGATGGATGAATGAACAGAAGCATATCATAGGCTACCATGCAGCTGTCATGTCAGTGATCATTATAGCCTCAACAAAAGTGTTGTTTATTGTTTATATAGGAAGGCAACACATGACAAAGACATTTATGCAGGCCTAATTTAGCAGATCCTTAACATATCATTGTTCTGGTGCTATATGTCCCAGAAATAATACAGAACAACAACATCCTGAGGCTGAGTTTAGGTGCCTCCACTTAAAGGTGAATCCGTCAACCAACATCACAACTCCACATGTAGGCTGCAGCTGTTTCTGGTGTGTGTGTGTGTGTGTGTGTGTGTGTGTGTGTTAAAGAGAAAGAGAGAGAGAGTGAGAGAGAGAGAGAGAGACCCATCCATCCCTCCTGTTTCTTTCCCCCTTCTGTTTCCCTGTCTCTCTCGCTGACTCTGTGTGTGTGTGTGTGTGTTTAGAGAAAATGACATGTGAAAAACATTCTCTTCACACTCTACTAACCACTAGACAGTGAGCCAGTAAACAAACTTTATAGAAATACTGCAGGAATATTCCCTTATGTGCACATGGAACTGCAAAGTGATTCCACCTTTGTTGACCCATATAGCACCTAAGCTGATGAGCCTCTTAAACGTAACACCTTGACATCGCTGTCCTGCATCCAGGAATAAAGGACAGAAGCGACGACTCAGCGCTAGTGAGCAGTGAACGCAACACGTCTGAGGCAGCTCCTGAGACGAGCTTTGTGCGCTTGTATTAGACACTGTGAAATAACACTCCAACAACACAAGCAAAAAAAAAAGATATCAAACAACATAAATAATAATTTAAAAAGTAGAATAGGGATGTAATTAAACCCACCCAAAATGTACCAGATTCCCTAATAGCAAAGACACATCTCTCTCTTTATACAGTATGGAACAATTGGGGGAAAATGGGAAATGCTGTGTGGGCAAAAAAGAGATAAACAAGTCATAGTAAATGAGGAGATGGGTGAAGTGAAAAGTAAATGGGGACGCCAAGGAACAAATTTGCTTTAAGGAGAAGTTCCCTTAATAGGACAACACTGAATGTTGCTTATGCGACAGAAATGACTGAGAAGGTTAAACCAGTAGGTACGATGGATCTGTCCTCTATCTATTCAATGAAGTAAATGGCTATTTTTAAATTAGGGAGATTGGGCCTATATGAAGGCAATTGATGAGCAATGATGTGAGTAAAAAATGCTCAGCTAGACTCCTAAAGGAATTATTGGCTGCTTACTTTGTGGACTACATATTCAACATGATTCATACAGGATCAATACAAATCTCAGCCAGTGGTTATCGCTGTTGCCTCACAGCAAGACAGATGCGGGTTCAAACTCCGGGTGCCCAGGCCTTTCTGTGAGGAGTTTGCATGTTCTCCCTGTGTCTGTGTGGGTTTTCTCCAGGTGCTCCGGTTTCCCCCACCATCAAAAACATGTTAGGTAGGTTCTCCAGTCAGTGCTGTTTGACCTGGCATGGCATTTCAATCTGGAGTTGGTCCCTCGGTGCTGTACAGCTGCCCCTGTTCCCTTCAGGGATGAGTTAAATGCAGAGGATGCTTTTTGCTATGTGTATGTGACAATAAAGTATGTTTACATTTTACATTTACACAATTTACATGGAGGTTTTTGAAGAGCTACCCAGAATGCAATAACATGCTCGGTGGTCAGAACTGAGGCACATGTCATGAATTATTTCTGAATGTTGTGATGCTTTAACTATTGCAATACAGACATGGTAAACAAAATACAAATATTGTCTATTATTTTCAATGAAAGCTATTATATGTTTTAACATGAAATGGTTTCTTTGGCTAGCCTCATAGGCCTTCACTGTGCCACTGCACACTGTGACTGTATTACAGGATGTCTTTAGCTATGGCGCCACCTGGTGGAAAAGTCTTCAATGATGCTCAAAGTATTCTGTCCTGGGACAGAGGGAAAAAGGGAATACACCCTATGTCAGTGGTCGACAATAGACGGCCCGCAGTCAGATTTCTTTGATTGCAGAAAAAATAAATTAATAATAAATTGATAGCGGCTGGTGTTGAAATAGATCTCAGTCATGACAGCTACAGTTACTCACACTTCCTCTGAAGTGATTGTACCTATGTTACACAATCACTTCCTCTGAAGTGCAGAATGTTCATTCAACCCTCCCAACGGGAGCCACACACACTACCGACTGAGCTAAATATGCAGACGAGTAGCCTATAAGGATTTGAAATAATTTGACGATGTTCTGGCCCACCATGTAGTGGCTTGAAAAAAATTTGGCCCGATGCCAGACTTATTTGCCGATCCCTGCCCTAGGGAATCTCAAGATTTACCTATGGATGCTAAAACTCGAATAACTTCTAAGTTACTGTTTTTTCAACCTCAATAAACACTCTTCTGTAAAGGAAGCACAAATCAGTCAAGAAGAGCTTAGATATTCTGTGTACTATATAGGCAATTTATGCAAGATTTGCATTAACATTCACTCTAATAGACAGTGCTTGAAGTGGAAAAAGTGCCAGTACCCCCCCACTATCTTCAACCACAAGATGAAACTAGTAAATATTAACACTAACGACTTTGCCACTTAATTTCCTGCAATCTGAACACATTTTCTGCACCAATTTATGGAGGAAATGTCTTTATTTATATGAAGGGAAACACAAATAAGGTGACGGGTGACAATTCAAAATATTAAAACATATAATTCAGTAATCAGCTTTTGGACAATGCACATTTGTTTCCTCTATATTTCAGTTGCACTGCATGTTTTCTTATTGCGCATTGATTCATTTGTTATTTATTTGTTGTTATTGTTTTGCTGTTATTCTGAACATTTTTAACAAAACGCTTTCAGAAAGTGATGGAGACATTTCGATTCTGACCTGTCCCCAGTGTAAGACACCTATCTGTCAATATTTTTAAATATCCCTCCCCATCCACGCTGTGATTGGTCGATTCACGACAAGTGACATTGACGAGCTACATCCTGCACACGGCTGCTTGAAAGGCAGCAACAGAGTTTAGCAGGCAGGTGAGAACGGGAACAGGTGAGCGTCACGTAGCGCCCAGAAAACTTGACCTATCAGATTCTGTGACCAAAACCCAAACGATGATATTTTCCTAACCATAACCAAATACTTTTAGTACCTAAACCCAACCAAGTAGCCTACTTTTGGTGCCTAAACCCAAACAAACTGCTGCCGCTTCACATCGTCAACAAAGACTCTGGCGCTTAAATCCCATTGGGGTCACAGAATCTGACAGGTCACACATTTTGGTGTCACACTGGCCCACTTAAAGCACCGCTAATAGAGCATTAATCAACACATGATGGGTTCAGTGAGCTGTAAGTGATTGTGGCTAAAGTAACAACGAAAACTAAAGTAACTAAAGTAACAACAAAAACTATAAAGAAAAACTACTCAAGCAAAGCATTTGTAAGTGATAAGCCGATTTGTTGGAAGGTACTATATGATAATATATATCCATTGTGTTCATGTGTGCTTTAGGATGTTCATCAGCATTTATCAAGTTCTAAGGTTCTTTTGTTCCTCTTTCAGACCGATACCGCAGCCTGTATTCTGAGGGCCTGAACCTTTATCTTATCAGCCTTGAAGATTCCCAGACACTACCACATGCAGATGGTGTGTGTGTGTGTGTGTGTGTATGTGTGTGGCTATACAAACACTTCTTGCAGCCTAGCTACATATGTAACACCGAATGACATGTCAAGATAGGTTCCCCTTTGCACCACAACTTCCTGTATGACTATTTGAGAGAATCATCATGATCTTGTAAAAAACAATTTCTCCTTCTTCTTCTTTTTTTCTTTTTTACATTTTTGACAAAAACTAGCTGTACCCTTGAGGGCGCGATGTTGAGTGAACGTGTAGTACTGTAAGGGTGTGTGTCCTGTGATGCCGTCATGCTCTCAGGAGGAAAACAATGGCTGAGGGCGCAGATGAACAGAGGAGGCCCCTCAGTATTGTGTGAGCAGCAACAGCTGTTCATCATAATTCATCACACTTGACCTGTGTGTATCTGGCCTTTCTGCTAGAGAACTTGTTACAATGTCTCATCTGACAGGAGCGTAATGTCTCCACAGAGATGCTCTGGCCTGTGAGTTGATGTGCTTGGCTTTCCTGGAATAGCCTATTCCTGTCAAAAATGGTGTTACAAACTAATTTTTAACACATTATATTGACCTGTTACTCAGTGAAACTATACGAAATATTTGCTACTTCCATAAACCTGCGGGATTTGTCTTGACAAAGTTTACCTACCACAGCTCATTTTTGTGAGAAACTAGGCCAGACACCGCGTGCAGCATGTGCAACAACAGGAAATGTGTTTCCGTTCACATTATTTCTTATAATCAGTTTGATCAACATGTGAACTTCAAGCCAAATGTTGCATAACATTTACATGTGGGTTTGTTTGCGGGTCTCCAGTAGAGTGCACACCGACAAACAGCGTCAAAAGGAGTAGATCGAGACCGGAAGTTACACGTGTGGGCCTTCAAAAATAAAAGTGTAAAATTGGTCCCGGGATTAAAGTCGGAATTCTGTAGGCTATTATAAGAAATATATATACTGTTGACATCCTTTATGAGACTGTTTGCAGTAAGTATTTTTCATATTCTCTCTTTTTCTATAAAAATAAAAACTAAAAAAGTGAAAGAGAGAAAACAAAACAGACTATGAAAATTCAAGTTTAGCTTACCTACATGTGATGTAAATTTGTATTTTAGCTAGGCTAATTAATTTACCTGCTGAAATAATTAATTCCACGGCCTGCGTGGAAATCACCATGACAACAGTATAACAACCAGCTAACATGAACATAATTAGCTACACCACAGACATCAACGGACTTTATGTCGCGCACATATTTCCCACTCACGAGTGAAACCATGAACAAATCCTTCAAGCACTTTGTTTTGTAAAGCACCGCCAGGAAGTGCTGGCGGTCTTGATATTAACGCGGAGGCGAAGGCAGGCAGGACTTTCTGTGATGGGAACAGACGAGTGTGTCCCAGTGTTTCCACATCCTGACAGTTTATTGTGGCGGGGCAGACACGCAGGGGGATTCAGCAGAGCTCATGTGGACCAACAGCAGACAGACGAACCAGCGGGACACGGGAGCGCTGCGGGGGTCTGGAAAATGGGAGCGGTGAAGTGAAAAACGGCCGAAGAGAGGACTGTCTGGATGAAAGGCACCAAAGTAAGTTACTCTGGACGCAGGCGAACGAGAACACTAACCAAAGTTGTATTCTTCCACTCCCTTTCCGTTCGTTAGAAAGTGTTTGTTAAATTTACCAGCAGCCTAGTTTCAGACACAGAAACGTAGCGGTGACTCTGGTCAGATCAGATTTCACGTTTGCCCAGAAGAAACCGCCCCTGGTGTCCCGACTGAAATGACCAGCCCCATGTGTGTCGTTACCGCCGATTATTCAGGCACGGGAATAAACTTTTATGGAGTTCGCAAACTCTCGTGAATGATGTGTGCAGAGGTGAGATGCCGAGCTGTGAGCTGAAAGGGGCGGGGTTGACATTCAAGGTAATTATTAACGGGCATTCACACGTGATAATTGTTTTGGGCTGCAGGAGAGTCCTGAGCTCGCCGTGCTTTGCCACGTACGGCTGCAAGAAATTTGATCTGCAGAGGTGCCCAACGAGCGTGTACCCGCCTCCTGTGTTAACTTCCCGGGGCATGGCAGTGTGTGGTGGTTAGGCAGAGACGGCAGCAACACATTTGTCAGACTTTTGGTATAAAGGAGGGAGAAATCTGCTGGAAACACACTGCAAAACTGGCAGGTAGTCTAAAAAGAAGAGCTCAGTAATGGTTTGTCAGTATAGTTGCTGGTTGTATAGTAGAAACACTGGTGGAAGAAGCATTTTTCTGAAGTAAAAGTACAAAACATTGCTTAGGTAAAAGTACACAAATATCAGCAAAATGTACACAAGTTTCACAAGTAATCATCATCTCTATCTATGCTGTGGAAGGGAAGCTACTGTTAACCCAATTATATACTGTTGAGTAGTTTATCTAACAGTACATACACATACATATTTTGTAAATGGATAATAGTTTCTTATGAAAAATCTCAATCCGCAGAAAATTAAATCTGTCAGACAAATGTCGTGGAGTAAAACGAACAGTATTTCCCTCTGAAATGTAGTGGTTACACCTGCAACTATCAACTGAATACTCGATTAGTTGGTCTATTAAATGAATTGCTAAGTATTTGGATAATCGATTAATTGGTTGACTTTTTTTTTTTCTTTTTTTTTTAAAGAAAAATGATTTGATTCCAGCTTCTTAAATGTGAATATGTTCTGGTTTCTTTACTCCTCAATGACAGTAAACTGAGTATCTTTGGAGTTTTGGACAAAAAACGTTAGAGGATGAAATCTTGGGCTATGGGAAACACTGATCGACATTTTTCACCATTTCCTGACATTTTATAGGCCAAATATAATCGAGAAAATAATCAACAGCTTAATCGACAATAAAAATAATCATTTGCAGCCTTAAGCGGAGTCGAAGTATTATTTTAAAATGGAAATACTTCAGCAGTAGTACCTGTACTTAGTCCACCACTGCTGGATTTATAATAGAAACTTATAGACTGAAGGGTTTTTAACTCCTCTGGTAAGTCCAACTAATATTAATATAAACTTCAGCACTTTGATGTGCAAAATGGGAGGAAGATCTACACTGTTTTGCTGATGATGATGATGATGATAGTACTTTATCGTCAGATGTCCATATGCAACATCAATAGAAAAGACAAGAACCAAGACAAGAGACAGAGACACACACAATTAACATAACGTTACAATCTCACAGTTATATAGACCGGCCTATCAGACATGAAGTTTATGCAATGTTTTGCCAGAGATCAGCCTACGGGGACGTTTAACCTATTACTTCAGACTGTCTCATTGACAGAAGTGTTAATTATATTCAGACCATGCAGTTAGCTACACCTCCAGTGACTCTTTCATCACTTTTTATCTGATATACTGTCTCTCCTAGCTTTGCTAGTACTATGCTTTGATCAGTCGCCTTGCAAATTGATTTATTCACCAAAACTGTAGGCATCCCATTGCTGCCTAATTGTTTTAAAACACTTAAGTACCGTCAATTTAATTTAAACTCACTGCCTCCTCCTCCTCAGTGTCATCCATTAATTTGGCTTAAAAGGATTAGTGTGGCATCCATCTTCTAATTACACAGCCTTTTATCTTGAAGATTAAATTGGGAATGAGTGGCCTCAATGACAGAAAGAATACATCAGATCAGTGGAGCATATTGAACAAACTGAGGTCTTGAACACAGAAGCAAATAAATGTGTTAAATGGGAGAACAAAATCGATATCATGTTAGGTACATTCACTCAGTCTTCTGCTTTAAATGTGCGGTGTCTAAATTTTTTGCCTGTATTTTGATTTACCAAAAAGCGAGCTGGGGAAAAACAATATTTGACTTTAGATAAGTATATTGCTTGTGGGCTTTTGGCACATTAAGTCATTGTGTTTACACTGATAAGACACTACAGTAATTGGATTATCACAGTAGCAGAGTTTGGAGAAGGTCTGCATGTAGTTTCAAGGTGATAAATTTAAGATGAGTAAAATTCATGCCATGAAAAGTGATCACTGTTGTATACATTAGCTGTAGGAAGTTAAATAAATAAACAAACTTATGGCCTGCAGACTGAAGGACAGCAGAGGTTGTTGTGCTGCTTTCCCAGGGCTAAAAAAGGTGCAAAAAGACCCCTGAAAGTGAGAAGTTGTTGGGGTGTAATTTCACTGGCCTTTGCCTATTGACAACTCAGTGGGTTTGTGGTGATAACTGCTGTTGCGTTTGGGTAATTGAGGTGGTTAGCATGTGTCTGATTTGATGGTGGCTCCGGGAGCTGGTTTGCTGTCAGCTGAGATTTACTGGCGAGAGCTTGAGAAGAACACCTGGTGCAGAAAGTTCACATTCCTCAATGAAGCAACAGATGGAGGAAAGGAAGGAGGGACGATAAATGTGGCCACAAAACCACACAGAGGTGACGAGCCGCTGAAGACCAGTGTGGCAGACCTTAAAAAAAAATGACCACATGGTTTTACTGGCAGTTTCCCATGTTTAGTGTTCAAATGGCTTCTCTGTGGTTTCCCAGCAAGGCAGGCAGAGGTGAAACACAACGTGTTGCCTAAGTGCTTAGGAGAGGGCAGAGAAGGAACTTATTATCATTTTTGAATGACAGCCAATGATGTGTTACGCAGAAAATAAGACTTCAGCAGTCACTATAGAAACTGTAAGTGTAAAGTTAACGACATCTTTATAATACACACAATTCATTCATCAGGTTTCCCCTCTGTCCTTTATGTGTGCTTCATTCAGTGGTTGGACTATTTAGCTTCTGAAGAGCTCAAACATCTTGTTTGATTTTGTCCAGTGAGTGAAAGATTTGTGTACTCAGCTTAATTAACTCACCCAGTGAGTCACTAGACTAAAATCATCCAGTTGAATACAATACAGACACTATCAGCATTACTAGCTGCCGGGAGTACAAAGTTAGTGAGTTCAGGGGTCAAAACAAAAGGGACACTGCACAGAGGTGAACAGCTTTGTCCAAGTAGACTTTGCGCCCCCGTAATCACCCTGCATGTCTTGACCCACTAGTATTATGCAACCACGTAACCTCATCCTATTGCATAAGACATGATAAATAATCTTAACCCCTGTTAGATTGCCCTGACAATAGCCATAACTAATAGCCAAGTCCTTTAATACGTCTGCACTGTATACCCTAAAAATGTCAGTTTGAGGATCAGAAAGCATTTTTATTTCAGTGCTTACACATACCACCATGAACTGGATATACCCTCCCATTCCCTTTAAATTGTTTTGAGTATTTTAGGTGAGGTTTTGAACAAGGGTTATCAATAATTAGAGCTGGGTGTCCCATGCTCAAGTTAGAGTTTAGTTTAATGCCGTAAAACTCTGGCTTGCATGTTTAACACGTGCTCTGCTGTGTCATGCCTGGGCCACTTGACCATGACTGTTCATTTCTACCCGTTACACAACTCTGTCCAATTTTCATACTGATTTGAGTGTGTGCATGCGTGCGTTGCTTAAGTTGAACTGGCGAGCTCTATCCAGCTCTCATTTACACGAGGGATACACAGAGGTATAACAGCAACAGCTACAGCCTCAGAAAGGTATGATAGGTTCTTCTCTTATTTTGAATAAAACTTTTGGATTTTTATTGCCATTTTTTTCACTTTTATATGCGTATATACTGTATTTAATTCACTTCATCATGGGTTTTTAATTACTCTTGCACTTAAAATCATAGATCAATATTTGTTGAACATGTAGGTTTTGTTTCCTTCTGTTTCTCATTTTCATTCCCCTTTCTTCCCCTTCTGTTATTATTTCGGATGCAGTGCTATTATAGTGGTAGACCATATGGCAGTATAATTTTCAGAATGAAAAGTTTTTTCTGAATTTGTTGTTTTTGTCTTAATACACTGAGGCTCCGAACATGTGCACAGAAAGTGGGAATATCTCATTTTCCTCATCTTAAGATAGATCAGATATATTTTGAGGGGCTTGTTTCACGATACACTCCAATTATTTTACAACACGCATACTTATTCTAGTAGTAAGTAAACTCAGAAAGTGCAACTCTTTGATCAAAGAAATTAGGTCACACCCGTTGGGAAGCCAAGTTGGAAGGGAAATTGGGGCTACTCAGGTTACACGAATAAAAGCTTACAGTCTTTTCATAAGGCTTAACAAATACCTTGAAGATGGTATTTGACCGGAGACAGCTCCTCTAATTTCTGAAATAACAAACAAAGTGTTCTCTGAATTGGTGACTGACTACTTACTGTGCTTGAAAGCTGATTTGAACATGATAAAAGAGGGATTTCACTAGAGAAAACATTTCTAATCTCAGTAGTAGTGGCATGTTAACAAAGTTTCATGTGGGTAGGGAACAGAAAGTTCAGGGCAGATTGTGTGTCCAGTGGATATGCACAAGAATAGTGGAATAAAGGGAAGAATTTTGTTTTGTATAGTATACATTTTCTTATACATCATTGTTAATAAATTGTTTTTGTATAGGTAAGTGCATGGCATAGTGTAACAGTAATGTAACAGATTGTCCTGGGTTCACTGTAGAAAACTCAATAAGGAAACAATAAATGGGATGAGAAGTCCAAATTTATACATTTAAAAAACATTTTTCTTTAGAACATTCTGTTATAACACACCACACAAAATAAAACCCCTTCATCTCCCTTCCCAAACAAAGAAGAGTTGAATCTCTCTCAATTGTCCGTCCCAGCTCCCTTACAGTCGAAAATTGCAGTGAAGATAAAAACTGGGATTAATTCATCTCGTATCGTGCCTAACTTTAGTGGACCACAACAAATCAGGTATGGAATTAATCTGAGACATGCTGCGGTTCAAAATTAGATGGATGTCAGATTTTGAGCCATGACAAAGGCCAAAACTAGGTAAGCCTTTTTTTTTTTGCCTATCCAATTGCTGGAAATGCCTTTTGCTATTTCGTAACACATATCGTAAAATGGTGAATACTGCTGAAAAGACGAAAGTCTAAGTTTTAAATAGGTGTTCCAAAAATTATGAATTACTGCAACCACGAGATATTCTTGATTGTAGAGTCATAAATGTGCTCAAAAAAGTATTAAGCTGATGGGTCTGGTAGTATGCGAGATTAGCTTAAGACATACGCAATAATAACGAATTTGTTCTCTCTTCAGAACATAATGGCACTTCTCCTGTGGCTTGGCCTGTTGCTGCTGGCCTCTCTCCAGTCCAGTGCCATCAACAACTGTCACCCTGGTTGCCGATGTGAGGTGGAAAGCTTTGGCCTGTTTGACAGCTTCAGCCTGACCAGGGTGGACTGCCGTGGGTTGGGACCCAGCACAACCATGCCCATCCTCATCCCACTGGATACTGCCCACCTAGACCTATCCTCCAACGCCATGGGCCCGCTCAGTGACACCATGTTAGCTGGTCCAGGCTACACCACCCTCATTAGCTTGGACCTAAGCAACAACCATATAACACAGGTCAGTGGTTGGGGGAATGTTTTGTCACATCAACCAAATTTTTTCCTTGCTGTGCCAAAGGTGGAAAAAATCAGTTATTGCAGGTGTAGGAGACGTCTCTACCTACGCTACTGTTATGCTATGTTTTGGCATTTTAAAGATAAACATTTCAATAGACTTATCAGGAAAAGTAATATATTAGACCATACCATACCCCCTTTTGCCTTCAGAACGGCCTTAATCCATCGTGGCATACTTTCAACAAGTGTTGGAAACATTCCTCAGAGATTTTGGTCCATATTGACATGATAGCATCACGCAGTTGCTGCAGAGTTGTCTGCTGCGCATCCATGATGCAAATCTCCTGTTCCACCACATCCCAAAGGTGCTCTAATGGATTGAGATCTGGTGATTGTGGAAGCCATTGGAGTACAGTGAACTCATTGTCATGTTCAACAAACCAGTTTGAGATGATTTGAGCTTTGTGACATGGTGCATTATCCTGCTGGAAGTAGCCATCAGAAGCTGGGTACACTGTGTTCATAAAGGGATGGACAAGGTCAGCAACAATACTCAGGTAGTCTATTGAGTTTAAATGATGCTCAGGGGGGCCCAAAGTGTGTCAAGAAAATTTCCCCCACACCATTACACCACCACCAGCCTGAACCGTTGATAGAAGTAGGGCTGTCGCGGTGAAGTAATTTCCACCGCGGCAATATGTTGGGGCTCAACAGCGTGGTATGCGGTATTATCGCATTTTTCATCAATCAAGTAATTTGGTGCCATATAGCAGAGTAAGAGTGTCTGTATCTGTCACCTCACTGCACAGCGAGCCACTAACAGTAGCTTTATGGTCTGATTAAGCTGGCTGCTGCGTGCTAGTCAACAACATTGGCAAGCAAACTCCTTTTTGTAGTTTGTTACTTTTTCAGACGTAGCTATATCATTACCTTCAGGGCATGTCTATCAAGTCAATTTACATACTGCTGCAACGCACGTGTGCGCGTGCACACGCATGCGCTGGTGGGGAGCATAATGGCTGTCCACAACTAACCACTGTGCTGTAGTAACGTTATAACTAAATTTCCACAGAAAGCAACATGAAAAACAGCTGCAGGCTTCAGATACACTACACTCCTTAGTTAGTGAGCTTCAAATGAGGCTTACTGTCCACAGTTTCTCTCGACTGTCCCTCAGAATCACAACATTAGTCCAACATCGCCAAACCTGCTAGCTAATTCAATTTTGCGGTTATTGTGACAGCCCTAGATACAAGGCAAGATGGATCCACGCTTTCATGTTGTTTATGCCAAAGTCTGACCCTAACATCTGAATGTCGCAGCTGAAATTGAGACTCATCAGACCAGGCAACATTTTTCCAATCTTCTATTGTCCAGTTCGGTGAGCCTGTGTGAATTGTAGCCGCAGATTCCTGTTCTCAGCTGACAGGCGTGGCACCCAGTGTGGTCTTCTGCTGCTGTAGCCCATCTGCTTTAAGGTTCGACGTGTTGTGCGTTCAGAGATGGTATTCTGCATACCTTGGTTGTAACGAGTGGTTATTTGAGTTACTGTTGCCTTTCTGTGATCTCTAACCAGTCTGCCCATTCTCCTCTGACATCAACAAGGCATTTTTGTCCACACAATTGCCGCTCACGAGATTTTTGCTCTTTTTTCGGACCACTCTCTGTAAACCCTAGAGATTTTGGTTGTGTGTGAAAATCCCAGTAGATCAGCAGTTTCTGAAATACTCAGACCAGCCTGTCTGACACCAACAACGATGCCACGTTCAAAGTCACTTAAATACCCTTTCTTCCCCATTCTGATGCTAAATTTGAACTTCAGCAATTTCTACACATCTACATGCATAAAACACATTGAGTTGCTGCCATGTGATTGGCTGTTTAGCTATTTGTGTTTACAAGTAATTGAAAAGGTGTGCCTAAAGTGGCCGGTGAGTGTATACCAAGAGATTTATGTCATGTCTCATTGTTTGTTTTTATTTCACTGTACCTTCAAATCTGAAAATAATTCCTTGCCACTTCTTAACTGTAAATTGTTTTTTCTTTGTTAACCTCTTCCTTGCCTTTCCACATTTTTCAGGTAAGCCCCAATGCCTTGTCCAAGCTCCGTTACCTGGAGACTCTGGATCTGAGCCACAACAACCTGGAGAGCCTCTCTCCAAAATGTTTCTCTGGCCTCCCTCTGGCTGAAGTTGACCTCAGTCACAACAGCTTCCAAGAGTTTGACATGGATGTGTTCATTACTAAAGTTAATGGTCAACCTGTCAGTGTGGATCTGTCTCATAACCAGCTTGTGTCAGTCCACACAACTTTGCATGGACGAGTATTGTACATTCAGAGCTTAAATCTTTCAGCAAACCGACTGTTAAGTGTACCGAGGCTGGCAGGACTTCCACTGAGGTACCTCAATCTGGATGGTAACCCCATCACCTGCATCAAGGAGGGAGCTTTTGCTCAGCTGAAAGATCTGGTTTATTTATCCATTAGTGGCCTCCATGAGCTTCAGGAAATCGAGCCGTACAGCTTCAAGGGCCTCCAGAGCCTGCAAGTGCTGGATCTCTCAAACAACCCCAAGCTCAATACGCTGAATCCTGCAGTTTTTAGCGGACTAGACTCCCTGCTAGAGCTGAATTTTTCTGGCTCCGGTGTGGCGTCCTTGCCAAACAACATGCTGACCCATCTGCCCAGTATCAAGAGCATTACACTGGGACAAAGCATCTACTGCTGGAGGACCCAGAAACAGGGACAGTTCCACCGGCAGCTGGGTCAGGTCCAACACAACGAGGTGCTGAACTGTAATGTGGAAGGCATCGTGTTGTGAAGAAATGGACCACTCCACAAGGGGCCAATATACTGTACTTTCAGAAGTGCTTGTCAGACAGTCGAATAGCTTCAAAAACCCCGCCCCCCCGACCACCGGCTTTTCACTCCGCCTTTAGGTGTAGCCGTTCGGGACAACTATAAACACATTTGATTTTTGTGATCATCTAGTTCTGATAGAGCCAGAGGGTATCCCGGCCTCTACATTCCTGATGCCGGAGCTGTGCCTTATCTTCTTTGATGTGCAAAACACTTTTTTTGTGTTACACTCACTGAATACCTCTGTTCCAAGGTGAAAGTTTGGAATATGTCTTAAAGGGTAAATGTAGCCTTCATGAACTCTTGACACAAATATCATTAATGCTGTACCTTTTCAAAACACAATGGCAAAATATACAATCTTTTACATAGCACAGAACAATTTCTTTTTCAACTTAACATGTAGTCTAAACTGGTAAAGAATCCAGAACTTTAAGTAATGGTCTTATGTATTTCATTTAAAGTGGGGCCATATTAAGTTATTTGCACTTGTTCCGGTCGCTGTGTTTTTCCACTGATGCAATTAAACATGGCCGACACATCATCCAGTGTAATCCAAAACCTTCTATGCATTGCTCATAATATCCACACTGAAGAATATTTTACGACTGTTGACCACTAAGATTTTTTTATTTGACTTTGAATGTGATGCTTTATTGGTATGATTAAAGGGATAGTTTGACATGTTGGGAAATGCACTTATTCGCTTTCTAGCCGAGATTTTAATAAGAAGATTGATAGCACTCTTACCACACTTCGCACAAAGACTGGAACCGGGGAAACCGCTACCGGTTCTTTCCACCATACCTCTGCTCAATGATTAACACATATCTGGTTTGTGTAATCCGTTCAAAAACCAAAATGTAGAAACAGGGGCTGTCGTTTTAGGGGGTACTATTTACAGTACAATGACTCGTAGTGACTTGTAGTCCCTGTACAAACACAACTTGTTGTTTTTACACTTCAGCTTTTGTACAGATAAAAAAGAAAGAGCTGTGATGAGATGTGATCTGGATGAACAAGGCTATTTGTTTTCACCCGTTTCCAGTCTTAATGTTAAACTAGACGGTTTGGCTGCTGGCTGTGGCTTAATATTTACCACACACACATGATGGTGGTATCAACCTTACTAAGAAAGCTAATGCACGTATTTCCCAAAAATGTACAATCCAAGAACAAGAAGTATTTTAATTAGCAAGGTCTGGTTGGGAAGCTTACAGTAAAGTCTTGTTACAACTAAACCTAGTAGAGTATAAAGATGTTTTCTTGTTACACCCAAAATGACCATTTCATTACTTGAATTTGTTTCAATGAATCGTAGCCCAAATCTGACAACTTGTCCTTGTGTTTGGACAATATTTCTTGTACAGCCAAATTGGGTGCACGCAGCCTTTGACATGACACTCGTCGTTTTGTGACATTACGCAACCTGAGTAAACAAGCCATGTGGGACCATGTTCTCCGAGAGTTTATTTTGACCTGCCCTCAAATCAGTTTCAAGGTGAGCAAGGCAGTTGTTACCAAACAAACTGGACCATGAAGTATGACAACTTTGACACAGTATCGGTCAATGTTTAAACACCAAGCTGCACTGTTCTCTCACGTGTAACCTCACCTTGGCATTCCCATGGTATTTCTGTGGACATCAGAAGACGATCAGCCACAAGACTGCATATTTGGGTTTTTGAATGTCAGCAATTTGTAGAGGAATGGGGCCTTAAATGTTTTCGTTTTAAAGGAAATGCATCTTTTCACTTGGTTAATTGAGAGTCAGATGTTCCCAGTGTTGGTGTGGATGTTTTTATTTGTATGTATGTAACTATATTGTATATAACTTTATAAATACATGAATCCTTTGTGTAATAAATGGACTATTCTCACTGTGTGATTTTCTGTTTGACGTAAAAATGGCAACAATTTGTTAGGTGTGTCAGTGATGGCGCATAAACTCATTAAAACAAAACCATAAACAGGGAAAGTTGGTGTCAGCATTGACGCTGCATTTAAAGTGTGCCAATCCTGTTTATCAAAGCTGTGTATTTTTGTTTCTATGCACAGGACTGACTCATAGAAGGGTGTGTCTCTTTGTTGGAAAAGAGGAAAGCTTAGATCTCAGTGGTTTACCCTCACAGCAGTTTCTTCACTTTTTTACAACTCAATAACATATTGTGTGTGTAGAGCGCTTTTGCTTTATTTACTTGAAAGTGACTTGGTACACAGACATATACACACACTTGTGGTCTTGAATGTTCCTTAAAAACACTGAAGTGGGCAGACATGCCAGGGTTTTGGCAGAAGACAATGCTACACTGGGCTGGTAACCTGCCAAGGAGGTGACTGGAAAGGAGACTGGTAAAGAAAGGAGAAAAAGAGGGACAGAGCTCGGTTTCAGTCATGGCAGCTTACAGACACTCCTGTGTGTGTCTGGCAGTGAGTGTTGGTCCTGTAAGACAGAGAAGACATTCACATAATGCCCTCGTTCCTGTGAGACATTTTTAAACTCACCCAGTAAGGCTAACTAAACCAAGGAACCACAGATTGCATCATGGTTGTACGTGCTTGAGAGCATAGATGATCTTTGGTAGGTCTTTAAACAAGCCAAAGTCCCTCCATTTGTGTGTGTGTGTGTAAATGTGACTATTCTCTTCAAGTGGGTAAGAGGCTACCTGAGAGCCCTCGGTGGATTGATCCCAGTGCAGAAAACACTTTGTGCTTTTTTGTCCATCCCCTGAAGCTCTGGCACGTTGAGACGTAAGGAACCAACCATCCATCAAGAACTGTCCCGACTGCATTCAGCAGCGCCGAGTTAAACTACAACACTGTGAAATCGCAAAGACATTCGGGGACTGCAACAGCACAACAGTTAACAGATCAAAAGTTTTGTCACTTTTCCCCCACTATTGTCGCTCTTTATGTCCGAACATAAAGTCCAGATTGATGATGGTTTAAAGTGAAATAGTGTTTTGAACAATGTCACGTGACTGAAACTTCAGTGGACAAGCTACGCTGAGCGAAGGTCAGGTCACATGTCTAATTACATTTCAACTTGCTCCTAACAGTGTCCGTCTGTCTTCTCTGGGACATGCACAGATGTGTCGAGAAGCAGCTCAAATGTATTGACATGCAATCTCTACGATACATTATAGACTAGCTGGCTGAAAATAATGATGTTCTGTAGCGGGCACTCCCTTACGATGTTTACAGCTAATGAAGGTGAAGAAGTTCCTCTGTCAGAGCCAGAATCAATTGAGTTAAAAACAGGGATGTTGACACAAACCCTGCTGAACTCACAGGGAAGTGCAGTGACATTTAATTTCAATGTTATTGCCTAACTGTTAATACTACTGTGACAGAAAGTTTCCCATGAAAGTAAAGTCAACAGGACCCTGACTGTGTTGAAACTTTGTGTTTTATCTCATCATGAAATCAGATTAATTTGCAGTTTGAAGTAATGTCATCACACAGTGAGTTAGCGTCTTCTCTAAATAAGTGGAACAGGAATCAGAAGAGCTAGATAACATTTTACAGGTGGGTGAATCTGGGTCAATAAAGACTTTGACTGAGTTAGCGGTGTCTTCAGTCAACTGGTATATTTTATGGGCACACATTTGTGGTGTAATCACTACCAAATGCACAGCCGTTCACGTTCATGCAAGTTTGAACAAGATTTATTACTTGGCTCAGTTTTTACTGAATAAGTGGCTTTGTCTATCTGCTTTTCTTGTTCTTAGTGTGTTCACCAAATCTCACCAACAGCGGAAAGAGGATTTCAAACATCACAATTCATTTTAGTTTTGTACAACTGTATTTAGGTGTGCAGTTTGCATTACGGTGGTGTGGGACATGTTAGTGAAGGAATCGAAAGGTAATCACTCGCCTCTCTGCAGTGGCCGGGCACTGAGATGTAATTACTTCAAAGCAGAGGGAAGCTTTGAACTGTGTATAATTAATTCAGGCAAGCCGAACCAGGGTGTCTTTATTAAGTGCTCTGTTTTTGCTTGAACAACTATCAAACAAATGTAATTTGACCTTCCCGGATAGATCCTCTGGAGGATCAAGCTATCCAAGCAGCTAATTCACTTTGCTTCAACAATGAGCCCATCCTGCTCCGACTCTGCAAGGTTTTACTTTCCATTCCCACAGGAGGTTGTGAAACTCAAGAATTGTTTTTTAAAAGCACGTTTCTAAAGCTTTTGTTTAGGAGTGTAAAACACTGTAAAAAAATATTATTTGTATATTAGCTTGAAAAGAAGCTGTTTATGTATTTCCAGAGGAGTTGAAGCAGATTTGTTTTCGTTCAGTTTTCATTCAACGACAGTGATGCTGACGTATTGATGCTCCGAATGCCCTCTGGCTTGTCGTGCTGCCGTGACAATAGACACCAAGGCATTGTGTCAGCGTGCTGCAGCTCAGCACAGAGGTTTTGTTTTTCAGACAAACAAAAGATCAGCACCACTTGTCACTGGCCACAAAGATTTGCTTGTTGTTTTAAGAGCCACTAAAGCTGTTGGAGTTTGTACCACTGCATAACAATATTATACATTTGGTAAAGACTTAAACTATGAATATACCTTGATACACCTTGATTTAGGTTTTACATCATATTTGTGTGATCCTTGACATTTGCACATGATCAATTTGATGCCACATCGTAGTTTAATAAGGCAGTAGTTCCCAACCTATGGTTTGAGGTCAGGACCCTCCCTAGGCGTTGCATGATGATTAAAAGCCTAGGGAAGCCGAAAAAAGTGAATTTCTGCTAAACAAAACCTTTTTTTCAAACTCTATTCTGTACTATTAAGATAAACTGAAAATAGGTTTAAAAAAACTCTCTCTTTGTCACACATAAAAACACTGCTTTGTTTTAAGGGGTCTGATCAAAAAAAAGATTAGGACCCACTGGTTTCTAAAAATGCTGCTGTGGCTTAAAAAACCTTACATCAGCACATAGTCAAACCTCGCAGGAAGAATAGACACCTCTTTAGATTGACCCACACATGTACCACGACTCAGCACGTGGAGGACCAGCTTATGGACAGTAGTGCTGCACAGTAGCAGTTTTATTGCGCTGATTTGTTTACTTTGCTACAAGAGGTCCTTCGACTGAAGTTAGGACGGTTCCATCAGCTGTTCACAAGTCTGAGTTCCACATCTGTTCCAGCTGGAAATTGAGGTCGTGTTTAGAGACAGAACAACTGTTTGCTGGGGAATTCACATAACAAAAGTATCTCACCTTGTTAAAATGACACATCCATCTTGAGCCAAAGTCAGGTTATCTGAATATTTGTTCAGGTATATTTTAGCTTGCATTGAACTTGTGGCAAATTCACTAAGATCAAGCAGCTGATCTTTTCAAAATGCAATTGTGACTCTTACTGTGGCAGAAATATTTAAAAATAATTCTTTATTTTTACACATTTCTTAAATATCAGAGACAGTATGACCACATGGAACAGGTTTGTATTGCAAATGAAGGTGGAGCCTTATATCCCTTCATGTAGCACTCGTTCTTGAAACTGTTTCAGGTTATCTGTTTTGTATCTGGAGTGTGTGACATGAGGTATGTGTGAGAAATGCATGACTTTGCTCATCAAGGAACACAATCTCACTGACAATCTCACTGTTAATCTCACTGACAACTGCCTTATTTCCATTTTGGCTAACTTTTGTACACAGAGTAAAAAAGGAGCATATTCACACAAAATGATAGTTGGAAATGGCAACAGCCTGTGGCTACTGATAAAATCATTGTCAGTTAGTTAGCAACAGAAAACACATAATTCATGTTCATAAAATATAGAGACTCTAGTTTTCTCAACAACGACCTTGTCTGTGCTTCTTTGCAAATACCAAAATCAGTTTTAATATTGCGCAATGAACACCTAAAATTGCAGCTTTTTTAATTGTTTTTTTTTTGTTTATCCTAAAAGCCTACTGCAAGGTCGGCTGTTGCACTGAAGACATTAACTTTTTTGACTGAATTTATTGGTCACTTTTACTTACACAGCCGGATCTGCCTCTGGGTCATATTTGGTAAGATTTACATACTCATGAGTCAACACAGAGCACAGACTGATTTCTACACATTCCAGCTTCTACCCCGGAGGAGACAACACAGACTGTACCTTTCCAGTGAAGCACTGGCTTCAGGTTTAGACAGGTAGACAAGACAAGAAGGGCAAAAGTACAGAGAAGGCAACATAAAATGAATATGGTGGGACAAAATATGAAAAGAAAGATAATATAATAATAATAATAAGATAATATGTGCCACTATCGCTGACACTAACCACCTTCATCAGCACTGTTAAGAGTTGAACAAGACCCTACCTGTCCTGAGGACATTGCCCTTGGCTGACCTGCACCGCACTGACTGGCATGTTGTAAAACCTGCGGTTTGTCAGGGATCATAAAGTGTAGGGAGAACAATAACATCCTTAGCTGTGTCATTCATGGCTTTTGTAAGACATAAATCAAAAGATTTTTTTCTTAGTCCCCTAAACAATGTGGCTTTCTCACACTCACAGAATAATCAGCTCAGTGTAGGAGTAGCAGAAGTCTTGCATCACCCTTCTTGTATTGGTGGTCTGAGTAGGGAGTTTCCCAGAGGAAAAGGGATACTGCTGCCCTCTCTGTCGTCCTCCTCCATCTGGTTTCCATCAGGAGCTGCTGGACTGGACTGTGTAAAGGTTTTCTCAAAGGTCTTTAAATTTTATTTTTTGACTTTCATTTTTCCTTGACGTCTTTCAACTGTCTCTATGCTTGCTCTACATTTTTACTAACTCCAAAGTGCTACAGTACAAATACATTTTTGATAAGTGGTTAATTAACATCAAAATTATAAAGGGAACATTAGGCATTAGGGTTCATTTTCTAACTTCAGGGAGCTCATTCCAGTCTAAACGCACTGATGACTGAACCACACCCACCTTGTGGTCTCCGCTGCAGGATCAAAATCTTCTACCGGGCAGTGAATGCTCTGTAATGTAGCTAAACATTGACCTGGCTGTACTTGAAACATCAGTAAAATCGGCAGTACTTCATGACCTTACTTGTACAACAATGGAGAGACATTAAAATTCAGGGTTTTTGATGTTTTCCTTTGGTTCCAGTTCAAATCCTCAGTGCTGCGTTTTTAATGAGTTGAAAGAGTTGGATATGGTAATAACTTTCGACTGGGGCAGGAACGGAGAGAGGTGCCTGACTGTGACTGGAATTAGATTTTTTTTTTATTTTTTTTTTTAAAGGAGATGTACATAACCTCTAAATCCACATGGTATAAAAATGAGTTAATATTTTTTATGTTTCTCAGTTGCTCTGCTCTACAAATGTCAAAAGTCAAGTTAAGTACCAAAAGTTGCTCAATTTCAGCAAACCACCAAGGAGGGAAAGCAGGTCAGTTGTAAATATTTAGAGACAAGAGACTGTCTTGTTCACTTTTCCAGAGGAGTGCACACATCTAAGTATAGGCGAGTAAGTGATCCGCTTACTGAAATAAACATTTATTAGAGAAAGCTTTAAATGTTACACCAGCTGTATTTTAGTGCTTCTTCTGTCTTTGCAAAACTACATTAAAACGACATTCTCTCTGGCCAAACATGCATCTCTAAACATCATCCATGTCAAGGTAAAGTTACTGGAAAAGGGAGGATTTGGAACCATTTTCAGCTCTGGCCTGGAGTCAGCTGTAACAGTATCAGTGGTTACCGAGCCTCCCTCTGCCAAACACAATGAGCGCTCTTGTTTAAAAATCTGTCCTCTGTCATGTCTCTGCCCTCATTCTGCAATGCTCCCTGCAACGTTACAATTTCCATTTACACCACATGAACTCTTAAGTGGCGATCTAAAGGGGTCGCATCATTTCTGACACATGCAAATGACTTAGGAATCTTAATGTAATTTGAAAAAGCCTATTGTAAAAGGGACATTACGTTCAGATAAACCATCTGGTTTTTTTTTATAAAGCGGAGCTGAGACTCCCAAAGCCAACATCAGTGACGAACACACAGGATTTGTGAACCGGTGACGCAGCCTACTGCTTCGCTGCACTGTAATTACATCCACATGATTGGGCCTGTGGATTATGCTGCTTGGCTCAAGCTACAGTTTTCCTTAACTTTAGCTAGAGATATTTTACTGACCTTTAAAACTGAACAGCTCACAATACACAAATTCTTAATTTTCATAAAACATCTCACAAATTCCTAAACTTTATCTTCAGATAACTGGCTTTCTGTTGTTACAGCATACTGGAAGATCGAGATACTGTGTTAATGGCCCTTTATTAATATGATTAGGGCTGATATGTGGTATGTTCCGATTTAATATGGGCGGAGCCAAAGTTTTTCCCCACCGTTAGTTGCGCTAATGAAGCATACACTGATTTATTTTTTCCAAACTCAGGAATAGATGTAGACACTAGCGGGATATTATCATGAAGCTGCTTGTAATTTTTGTATTACTTACTTTGACTCTGGTCAAAAGAGGACCTTTACGCATCCAGACTGTGTGTGGGAGTGCTCTCTGGTGGGAAAAATAGGAAAGTACATGTACTGACCCACAGTTTCTTGGCAGAATACGCATGTGCTGTTTGTCATATCATTCTAAGCGAATGACTGCCTGGAAGCTTACATCATCTGATGGTTTGCTCTAGGAAACATTACAAGTGTTTGATGATTATGAATAAACCTGACACCAAAATCAAGTCTTCAGTCTGACTGAAGTTTATTACGCCTGGCCAGTGAATTATATGCAACCATGCTGCCTTTGAGTGGCAGCAAGAGTTCAGCTGCTTTAAGATTATTTGGCACATTTGACTTCCTACACAGTCAAATAGCTCATAACAAAGTAAAATGAGGGTTGAGTTAAAACATGTTAGAGCAGAAGACGTTGTGGTGAGCATTGTCCGGATCAAAGACCACACAGCTTGCCTTAGTTTACTTACATTTTATTTAATAAATGATTTGCCAAAAGTTTTTGAAAATACTGACAAGAAAATTCACACATGTGACATATGTCAAAATATGTCAGTGCGTTAAAATTACATTTCATCTTTGGCATATTCAATATGCAGAAACAATTTGTCTGTGCAGAGTAGTGTCTCCAATGTTATAAAAATAATAATTAAAATTCAACCTTGTATGAGAGCTCCCTTCAAAATGTCACTTAATGGGACAACATTACTTTGTGTTCAGCTCTTCATCACCAAGATCGTGAGTCCCGCTTTAATTTCTCTGCTTTATTATAATTAACAAATCCTACAAAAATCTAAGGACAAACAGAATATATTAAACTGCTAAGCGCTTTGTTGAAATATTAAGTTAATGAAACAAATAGTAAAATAATGAGCTCTCAAAACAGCCAAGCCAACTGTTACAGGCAAGAAACTTAACCTGCTAAGGATCTTGCCGTCCATTGTGAAGCTTGTACAAATACAGAGATGTAAAATAAATAATGTAAGGTATTTCTGAGGAATTTTCCAGCATTCTGTGTCTGACAAATTTTACACAGGTGTCCAGCACTAGTAAAAATACACTTTTTTTCTTAACTTGACAAAAATCTTGTACTGTAACAGGTCAACACTACACTGCATGTCTCCGTTTTCTTCCTGCTCATTCAATAAACTGCATCTTCTTCTTCTTGTTTAGATTCTGTTTGTTGTGGGTATGTGCTGCTACTGACAGTTGTGGACCACCTCATCAGCAGTTGAGAATGGAGTTGGTCCTCAGGATGCGAATGACTTTCCTGGAGGTGTAACTGTACTCGTACTGTATGTGGTCATGGAAGAAATACAAATGTCCTGGAAGAAAACAAGAGTGGGATAACAGAGAAAGATTTATAGTTGTAGTGCTGGGGGAAAATTCAGCTTTTGTATACTTACACGTTACTGAAAATGTGATATTTGAGGCTTCATTTACCATAGTGATAAGCAGCAGCATCGACCTCGTCATCCATCCCAGGAAAATCTTCCTCAATGGTTCGTGGGTAGCCACTGTCCATGGTGCTTGTTGCTTCATCATAGCTTTGGGTGACAAGTAAAAGTAAAACAATGTCAAAAAATATACAGATTTACATGTGGAAAGAATTGTTTGTATGCCTCCCAAGGATATTGTCCTGCGCGGATTTAAAGACTTTTAAACTCTAGTATGAGTGAGACATGTAATACTCATCACGACATACCTCCAATAGTCCTCATCAGTGAAGAGGAGAGTTTTCCCAGTGTCTCGGATGTGCACAGCTGCATCTATTTTCCTTACTTTCTTGGGAAGTCCAAGTTTGTGTATGTATTTTGGGTAACCATCCACAAGGTCGTACCCATTCAAAGCCCACATTCGGATCCCTGTTGAAATACAGAGCAGAGTTTTGGTCTTTACAAACTGGATCTAGTATTTAAGAAATAATGTAAAAACACAATATCAGTAAATATGTATATATAACCCACCGCTAAATATGATGACTACATCCTTCTCTGAGTTCTCGTATGCTGCGTCCACCTTGTTGGGGATGGAGGGCCACGTGGATTTGATCAGCGTCTGCTCTGGCTCCGGCATCTGAGGATGGAGACGCCAGTAGAATCTGCAACAAAGTGCGGCATGTTAACCAAATGTAGCAGAATGAACTGATCTACAATATGCACATCTCAACACATTACACGGGGAGTTATTATTTAAGTCACAGAATAATCAACTCTTCCTCACACACCCTCTAGTGGTTGTAGATTATCAGTCTAGTTGACGATGATAAGATGAAGATCTAGAGTTCATGTATAACCACCTTTGCACTGTGGCATCATGGCTGTACCTGTCTTTGAAGATGATGGTTTCCCCTCTGAGCTCTGTGACAGCATCAAAACTTAACATGGGGTCACATTTGTTTGGTGCGTCAGGCTTAGGCTTCACTTTCCTATGGTTTGGGTTTGGGCCTGTGATTGAAAATCTGACATTACTGCACTGCTCACTGCGTTTTTAATCCATTTTAAATCTAAACACAGATCATGTATTTTCCCACCGTAGAGAGCTTGAATGCCTTCAATGTCATCTTCAGACAGCGGGAAGCCTGTAGCGTACGAGTAGACAGGGTACATCAGAGCGCCCGGGTCTGTGGAATGGGACATACCGAGGGCGTGGCCCAACTCATGGGCCGCCACTATAAACAGGTTGTAAGCTGTAGAGAAAAGATGCTCAGTCAAATATATTGTTTGGATATGCCTCACCTGTTTATAATTACTAGAATTCTGTTTGGTGGCTTATGTTGAAATTAGAGTATAACTCTTACCTGATGAATCTTTGCTCCAGTGTTCATCCTCATCAAAGTGAGTGTCTCCTCCGATACCTGGGCCGGGTGGGTAGGCGTGGGCCAGCAATCCATTAGGCCCATCAAAAGGGTTATAGTCTCCATGCTCTACAGAATAAATGACAGACCATTTTATGTATGTTGAGCAGGAATGTGCACTATTGAAATGTCTATTATTTGTGTGGCCACAGTGTTAAAATACAAACATCATGTATTTGCGTGTTTGTACTCAGATGATATATAGGGTGCATCAGAATTAACGCTTGTTGCACCTTTTGCTCCAAAACTGATCATAATGTCGGCGTTGCCCTCGTGCAGCTTCTTGAAGGTCAGCGGGGTGACGTCAGACCAAACGTTCAGTGCAGTGCGGATGGCTCTGTTTACATCAGACTTCTTCAGATCTGGTGTATAATTCACTATCCTGAAACATCAGGAGATAGAGGGCAAGGGAAGTGATTGAAAAAATGATACTGATGTAATTCATCTCCGCCATTTACATTATATTCATTTCAATGCATACCTGAATGTGACATTGTTATTTTGCCATTTGAGGTGTCGGGGGAAGTGGTTGTATTCCCCAATGTCTGGGACGCCACATCTGGCCAGCTTCATCACCTCCAAAGTGTTGTCATCCAGATTCCCTGATACCTTCAAAGAGGGAGAAACAAAACATAAGTCACATAGGTTCACGTGTTGCCAAAGTACTGTAAAAACTGTCAATCACCCTCCCTCACCTCTCTTAAATTGCAAACCTTTTGCATATTAAGGTATATCTGTTTTTAGGTTTTAGTATTTGTTATTTGCTGTGTTGAATGTTGTCCTGTCTGTCCTGCACTGTGAGCTCTACAGGGCAAATTCCTAACAAAGGTTATTATAATGACAATGAAGGTAACTCATCCCACCACCCACTAACTTCTTTCCCACAAAATAGCTTTCCAAAAAAGCTCAAAGTTAATATCACATTTAAAGATATTAATCACATGTAAAAATGCACCACCAATAATATATTAAAGTCTTGAATGAATAAAACCTACTCCAACTAAGATATCAAATTCAGTTCAGTTTTTACAAAACAGCTCATTTGCAGTAGCAGCAGGATTAACAGCTTTCCAGACTGGGTCACCTTGAGATTGAAGAATCTCTGCATCGCCTTGATCTTGGTCTCAAAGGTACCTGACGACTTGCCTTGGAGAGCAGCTGGTAGGTCATAGAACCGGCGGAGGTACTTCTGTTTAATGAAAGAGAACAAAACCTGAATGACATTCATAATAGTATGAAAAAACAGGTGTGGCGTACTCTATTTGGAGTGTTTTTTCTTTGATTATGAAGATAAAAAAGCCACTAGAAGCCAGCGTGTAAGACTAAATATTGTCTGAATTAAAGACCTCAGATCTTACCTCTGCTAAAAGCCTGTTGTTGTCCTCAGACGGCAGAGGCAGAGCAAAAGAATGAGCGACCAGCGCCAGCAGCAGCAAAGCTATCATTGTAGTTGTCTGTGTGTTGTCCTAACCACTCTATGGGGTCAAGAAGCTCTGCAGGGTATTTATAGTGTTTTGGGGCCAACTTTTTTTCAAAGGGTCCCAGTGATTCATGTAAAAGCACCTAGCCACTTCCTCCTTCGTCTCATGAAAATGTGCTTGTATCAGTGTGACTGCACCGACTGTGGTTTGACTGTATTCCTTTGAATACGTATATGAATACGTATTTCTCAAATTGCCATGACTTATAGAGTCTGCCAATAGATTAATTAAAATTCAAGGCAAAATGATGCGCTTTTCTTTCTTTTAAAAAGAAAAACAAGAATGACATGGCAGTTTTGTCTTTCTCTTATTGGCAGCTTAATGAGGGATGATTATTTTAATAAGGATGTTATTATCTGTACATCTTTCTCCGTTTAAAACAAAAGAAGAAAAATAAATGCCCTACATTATAAATAGAGACTTTTGGTAATTGGTTCACACTCCTGCTGGTCTCATGATAGTCACTGTGTCTTGTTATTTTAGGTGAAGACGTTTCAGGATATGTGACTAACAAACACACGGCCAAATAAAGATAGAGTTGACAAAAACATGAGATTTAAATGTAAAATGTGTGATTTACATGTCCCTCTCGATTCTACGCTCTGTTAGACGATATGATGTGGGCACTCTCATGCTGACAAACAAAGGGTTTCATGGTGTGGTTCAGACCTTCTGGATCCTTCCTCTGCACTTACGTTTTACAATCTACATTTTGACATTATTATGCCATAGTTGTATATACTAAGACTTTCTGTTGTGAATCTATTCTGTACACACAACATCTACTGCATGCCTGTCTGTCCCGGGAGAGGGACCCCTCCTCTGTTTATCTTCCTGAGGTTTCTTCCTTTTTTTTCCCTGTTGAAAGGGTTGCTTTCAGGGGAATTTTTCCTCATTTGACTTGAGGCTCTAAGGACAGAGAGCACTGTATGCTGTACAGATTGTAAAGCCTCTTGAGGCAAAGTGTGATTTGTGATATTGGGCTATAAAAATAGAATTGTCCTGACTTGAGAAAGATTTGCTTCGATTCAAATACATTTTCTTTGAAGGTTTGGTCTGATAATACTTGTAATCAGCTTTTTCTGATTTTCCAATGTTGCTCAATGCCTTTACAAATAGTATGTGATTCAGAGTAACTGGGGCACAACAGAGCATCAATGACTAATTAAACACATAAATGATCATAGTGATCTCAATCAAGAGGAACTGTAGTCTGCAAGATTTGTGATTACAGAAAAGCCCTGGTGACCTACAACAAAAACAGCGAGATGTTCAATTCTGAAAAATCACTTATTACCAACACAGAAGCACCAAGAACACAAAATACAAGATGAGACAGCTATTTAATCGTAAGTAAGATTGTAATATGGTTATTGAAATGAAAGAATTTAACTGTACAGGTAGCTGTAGATCCTTGGAGTCAAGGCAGGTAAAGACATGCTGCCTATTACTGCGTAGACAACTTCAGTGTCTGTGTGAGACAACAAAGGTATATAATTATTTGCTCCTGCTTCAGCAACAATAGAATTCCTTAACTTCTTCACAGTAGAAAAAAGGCTAAAATAGTTTCCAATTTCTTACATCAAATTGCTCACAAAATTGCATTCTTTACTATGTGAGCAATTCATATTTGGATACAAAAAATACTCTTTTTTTATAGTTAAGTTAAGTAATTTAAAGAGTTCAGCATTCAAAGAATTCTTTTCTACTTAAGTTGCTGCACTGACAAGAATTAGGAGATGTCAAACAATGATTTGTCTGTGTCGCAATGCCAGTCTTTTTGGGAAAATGTCTCGTGATGACAATGTTTTGCTAAGTATAAGGCCGTATGTCATCAAGTGTTTGCAGTCAAGATGGGCATCAAGCTGCTGTACTGAAAACCAAAAAAACAAACCAAAGCAAAACTCCAGATTACAAACAGTTGGTGTCCCTTGTCATTATGAAGGAGCAACAGTTATGGTGGCAGGGATTTGTAGGACATTGGCTACCTTCTGATCGCTTCAAAAAATTCAAATGAGTCTTATACACTTTCCTCTTTAAAAAATAAAAAAGATTTATGTATTATTGTACACTATACTTAGAATTGTAAGAGTACTGTACAAACATCACAATAAACAAACACCTGTTCATCTGCATTGCATTAGTTATAGCGTGTGCAATGTGCAACAAACACTGTGTTCAAACACCTCAGCATCCTGTGGACGCAAATATTTTTGGAGCAACATCATTGCTTAGACGGTGGTAAGCAGAGGGCTCCTGAGTCATGCCAGGGGAAGTTGGAAGCAAGGGGGATTTTTGCTGTTATTTTAAAATCATCTCCAACAAACACACACACACACATATGGAAACATGCACACTACTGATCTGTGTTGTGACCCTCTGGTTGCATTCAAAGATAGTTAGAGCACTGAGTTATGAAAAATGGTTGTTGTATGACCTTTATTGTAGTGGCAGGTCTGAGGACTGTGAAACACAAATTACATCTTAATGATATTCCAGTTACAGAGATAAGCCCCATTGTCAGTCTGTCTATTACAGAAGCTCATATTTCTGTCATGGTATTTTTTCTAAAGCAGTCCCATGAGGCTATAATTGTAATTACACAGCAGAAACTAAAATTGGCGGATGTTGGATTAAAAATTGTTACCACCAGCGGGGCAAAAGCGGGGCTTTTCGACATCTCAAACTCAGCTTGTAAGGCTCAGCTTTACGTTATCAACCTCAGCTGTGCTTTTTCCTTTGTTTGCAGATATAACAGCAACTTCACATTGTGTATTTACTTCAGCTCTGCTGTCATATAAAGAGAGAAATTCAGAGACTGAGATTATGAGTTGCCCTTCCAAGGCAAGTTGGCAACAGAGAATTATGAGAAATGAGGGGGAAAAAAGAAATATGAAATATAAAGTTCCTCTTCTTTCATCTAGTCCCTAATCATCCTGCATCAACCTTTCTCTAACACAACAGCGAAGTGGTCAATGCTGCTGCACCTCATGTCATTCATAGGCTTTGGACTCATGACTGACATGGTGGTTTGTTCTCTTCAGCACAGTAACATCCCACTAAAAGTATTTTAGTTTTTTTTATTCTTAATTCCAGTGCTTGGAATAGGCGGGATGGGCTAGCCGACTGCTTCTGAGAAATCCACTCTTTAAAATGTCACTTCCACACTACTTGCTCATAGTATTTTGGCACAGGAACACGAAACAAGGATGACGTGAGGTGTGATGAAATCCCCCCTGCTGTGTCAGCGTGCTCCAACAGACAGACCTACTGTGATAAACAAGGACGCATCCTTACTTGGTTCTTTTCCTTTCACATAAGCCGCTGGTTTAGTTTCACATGGTTGCGTCCACTGTTTCATCATGTAAATCCATTATCAATTAAATTAATGGTTTTGTTCGAATTGCTGTGTTGAAATCAAATTATGAACCAGTTCAATTCATTCAGATGTCTTCCATAATACCTCCTGCCAAAAAATTCAGGACTATGATAACTCTGAACGGAAGTGACAGTTTTCTCTAGGCACAACTAACTCTTTCACAGCCGATTTGTGGTCAGAAAGTTCTGTCTGAAATGTAAAGACTGTTTCCTCTGTAACAATCACGGCTGTGTTTCTCCTGAATGTGATTTAATTTAATTTGTTAACATGTTAGCCATTAATTTAGAATGTGAACTTGAAGACTTTGTACAATGTGGCTCTATGTTTCTTCAAAGTATAATTTGCTTTTGCAGAACGGTGGCATATTTTGTGAGATAACTGATGAAGAGAAGTGAAGCTATGTATTGTGAAATCTTTTTGGTGTTATTTTGATGTAATGTAAATGTTTGTGATGAGGCAGAATAAGCATGAACCTTTTAAACCATAAAACACAGCTTGACATACTGTATAAACTTATACACTTATTGGCAACAGACTGAACGAAAAAGTTTTATGTTTACTAGCAAAAGCGTGGAACACTTATTGTAGGTCTCCTTGGACAAATGCATCTGCCAAATAAATGGAGGACAATGAACGTGTATCATTAAGTCACAATATGAATTGGCTACTGTTTCCAGTAAAGGAAGGATTTAGATTACAGCTAAATCAGAAATTCTCCAGTACACTGTAGAAACTGTAATTTAATCTTCACACATTGCAAGTCCATAAATAAAATACCCAAAAGGGCTTGGATTAAACTGCTGAGCGACTGCAATTTCTGAGCAACCTCAAACCACAGTGACTGCTGTCATGTGAGGTCAGGCCCACTCAGCAAAACTTAGAAACTACATGTAGTGAAGAGATACCACAGGAGGGCAGCAGTGACTCAAGCAGGAGACTGTTTCGTGTAAGCACACACACTCATGGCTCTGCTCCCTCTGCTCCCCTGCATGTATCTTACCATGCCCCAGTGTTACCACAACCTCATGCTGAAGTGTTAAAAATCAACAGAAGTTTAATTTGAGATAGCTAAAAAACAAGATTTATGTTTTCCTGATTTGCCTAGTCTTATCTGTTGCTTTTGGAGTGTGCAGTTATACTGTATGTTACTGCTGTGACAATGTATTACTGCTTTAAAAATGTAATGAATAAATAAATGATTCTTTTGATTTATTATCATGATGTTTTTATGTAGAAAAACGTAGTTATAATGACATGTGCAGTCTAAGTTTTGCTTTCACCCATTCATCTCAGTTTGGATGTGTATGGTTGCACTGTGCATTGCAGTGCGCTGTAGTGACTGTCATGATACTACAACTAGGGGGAAACAAAGCCAGCTTTTTTTTTTACATTCAAAGTAAAGGTAGGCCTACCATCCTTTGTTTCAGTTCTGTTTAATTGATCGTTTGTTACAGCGTCGCTTTCACATATGGTTATGCCAATTTAAAACTGTATTTGTTTGTGATACAAAATAAGTGTTAAAATACTTACTCTGAGATTTAAGTCATAGATGTACGAGAAAGAAGCACACATTTACTGGAATAAGAAAAGAAATCGGAAAATCCCATTTTTCAGGTTTGACGGAAGTTGAAAGCTTTGTAATGTACTTCTGACTCTCAGTCCTGCTTTTAGTCATTTCTTAGTACTTTCACGTCTTTCAAGTACTGCAAGAAGTAGAAAAACACAGACAATGCTTTTCAATACTTTCAACATTTATTACAGACAAATAAGATGATCTCCAAGAAGACAAATATTGCTCATCTTCTTGATCTGATATATAACGTCTCTGGCACCTTGTCAGTGTGAAAGTGTATGTTTGGGGCAAAACAGAAATTTTCCTTCTGGTTTAATTACCATAGCGGTGTCTTCCAGCTTGTAACCTTGCAGCTCCAAACTACACTCTCACTCAACACACCTGCCTAAAATGACTCATTAACTCGTCTGTACTCAGACTGTAAAACCAAAGCTACAGAAATTCTACAAGTTTTTGCAAAAGAGTGCGGCATACTCTTATAAGTCTTAGCTCATGTTGCTGATAGGGGGACTGCTGAGCTCCAGTGATGCGTGGGGATGAGCAGTGCCACCTCTCAGTCTAGAGGTTCCTCAACAGGGGTTCTGCTGGGGAAATCATTTATATATCAAAGCAGCTTGGTTTTTTGGTTTTTGATGGTGAAAATATCCACATGTTTATGCCTAACACACTCACAGTCAGAGTAATGAGCACATCTAGCAGAAAGAATCTTTTTCGATGCTTTGTGTTGCTTCATGTTGCAGTTTCCCCACTTGTTTGGGATTATCTGGGAATCAGCACACTCACACTGCATTCTTAAACTTCCAGAGTAAATGTTGTGTCTTTGTCTTATTCATTTGACCATTCCTGAAACAAATGGTTTATGTCCTAAATTTTAATTGGATTTGAATAAGATGGTGAAATTGAAAGTGTACACTGGATACCTTTTCCATTTCAACCAACATTGGAGCAAACGTGTCACCCAAAATGTTGAAATGTCATTACGTTCTCCTCTCTTGTTGCTGTCTTTGGATCTCTGCAAACCCATCCCTAACTTCAGAGTACTGTCTGAGTCCTTTTGCAAGTGGTATGAGTCACAGTGACCATTTAAAAAGGCCTTCTCATTAACCAGAACTTCCATCTCCATGTAGTTAAGATAACAATCCACGTAGTTTTAGGTTTGTGAACTGCATATTATGTTGCTCTCTTGCTGGGAGAGAGCTCTCCTTGAAGCTGGCCACTGTAAGTGCATAATTGCATGAGCTGCATTTCAAATGTCTGAGATTTGACTGAAAGTGACTTTATGACTTGTATAAAACATGCCAATTTGAAAGTGTTTCTGTTGAGAGTTAACAAAATTGCAAGGGTCTGTTCTCGCTTGTGTGGGGGATCCTGAGATAATGTAGTGTATCCTCATTTTTCTCACTCACTAATATGCTTTCTTAAATGTATTCTTGTTTTTCTTCGGAAGGACTTGAAGCAGTCTGCAAGGGGACTGGCTACCGATGTTGCTTGGAAAGTCTTGATACAGTTTATTTTCATGAAGGATTTTAGTTGTAGTTGTAGTTGATACATTAAGTTTGATCACCCAAGAGTGTTTGTGTAGAAGTTATGAATAAATATGATGTACAATTTTATGGATGCTACAGTGAGAATGTGCATTCTACTATCGTGCCTGCTGCAAATCAGGAGCCCATCCACAAAGGGAATGCATCCTTCTACCTTGGCATTAAGTGAGTAGCGCAAGAGCAGTTCATTTACACCGCTCTTCAGTGCAATATGAACTCTGATGTGGATCTCGAATCTGCTCGCAGGAATACCTTCAGCAGTACTACAACCATACAACCTGAAGCAGAGCCGACCAGACTTCACCTCCAAGGTGAAAGACATGCAGATATTCTTTGGGCTCAATGCAACAGGTGTGCTGGACTCAGACACCCTGGAGGTGATGAGTAGCCCTCGGTGTGGCATTCCAGATGTGGAGGAGTACAGCCACATCCAGGGGACACAATTGTCATCTTTCATCACCCACAGACATGTATATGGTCTTCTGTGTGCTCTTGTTTCTTTAAAGTGGAGTAGAAGTACAGTATGAAAGATATATGAAAGGGATGTCTGACATAGACTGAACTTGCAAAAAAAAAGAGAACAGTTTGGTTGTGTCTAAAATGGCAAAGATTTTGAGGCAGCAGGCTATAAAAACCTTTGAAATTAAACCAGGCAATAAAACCAGAAATAGGGAATACAACTGTCACAAGTCGTTATTGTTGTACAGATTTGGAGACTCCTGCCTCTGAGCATTATTGTGGGCTTGTTAAAGTGCCAAATTCATCAGACATGCTTGGACTTATGAAACACTGTCCTTATACAGTTCATTGCAAGTTCTGTTTGAGACACGCCTGCTGAAAGAAAAATGTATAATTAAAGAGAAACTAAAAAAGCATCCATTGTCATTATTTTTAAAATGAAAGGTTGTAAAACCTTGTAGTACATATAGCATCTTCAAAAAGTATCACAGGTTTATATAATGCTGTGCTATAAATCATTCCTGAGATTTATATTCACATATGGGGGATACTAGGTCTTAAGCTTTATGTTAATCATCAACTTGACACATATGCTGCTACAGCATTGGCAGGTACACCAGAGATTTGCCTCGCAACACTGTGGACTTTCTGGTTGAGTCAACCCCTTTTGGGCCAGAGCCAGCGTTTGTCAGGTCTCACACCAGCAGTGCTGACATCATGGTGGGTTTGTCTTTTTGTTTCACACAGGACAGGGACAGACAATAAGACTGAGCAGATGGGGTCATCCTCACAGATGGAAATGTTTGCTTTTCAGTGAAAAATGTAACATGTAAAACACAATCTCATAGATGTATGATGTAGTGCTTCAGTAGTAATTTAACTGCTAACCAAGGCAGCGTCATCATGTGCCAGCTGCTGAACTTGACACACTCATTTAGATGAGGTGAACAAAGGCCTGTAATTTTCTTTTGGCATGAAAGAAATTTGTTTTCTCCTTGTTTTTTATATTTCATGTTTGGCCTGGATTATATTATGAAGAACATGGTAACTTGTATCCATTTGAAGGACCCAGAGGCACACTGGCTAATGCGTTTGGCCCCAGGTTGGGTGGTGGAGGAGTCGCGCACTTTGATGATCACACCGGCGCTCCACAATGATGCTGAGGGAATTTAATAGACAATGTAATATATTTGGATGCATTTTCTTCTAGCTATTGCAGGTTATGATCTGTTTGTGGTAGCTGCACATGAATTTGGCCATGCTTTGGGCCTGAAACAATCCAGAAACCCTGAGTTACAGAAGTGTCCGACCTACAAATCCTCCTGTTCAGGCAACTATTATCCACAGAAATGTAGCAAATGATGAATTGACTCCTGAGAGGTTTTTTTGGCGTGGAACCTGACCCCTGAGTGTGTGCTCATGCATTTTAGATCCATTCGGAGGTCGTCAAAATAACTTTTCGATGTACGTCTGGAGCTCTTACCCCTGGCTGTCAGGATCGCTGGTCCCTGGACTCATGTAGAACAAATGTGATCCAGACCTGACCTTTGACGCAGGGTCCACTTTTTGAGATTTCACCATCTTTTTCAGAGACAGGTACACTGATGATTTTTTTTTTTATATTTCCTGTTTGGAAAGGCACAAAGGTCATCTTTTTGTATCTCTAAATGATTAAATCTCAGATTGATTGTAGGATCTGATGGTTTACCGTTTAAAAGTCATCATTCACCTTTCAATACATACTGAATAATATCCCCTTTTTGTAATATAGTATCAATATGTGTTGTTATTAGTAGCTCAGGAATGCTAAGTGACATGCAGCCTCAGCTTAGTGTAGTGAAGTTTCTACGGTGCATGTGGTTTCCCCTCCATGATTTAAACTGTATAATTTACCCACTTTACCACTTAAAGCCCTTCATATGATATAATCTCATTTCAGCTGCGAGCAAAAATGGATATTTAAGTTCAGAAAGATGCTCATCTTAGTCATCATCAGCAGCAGCAGCAGCAGCAAAAACACGCCAGACAACACAGCGTGATAAAGGTTAAATATGTGAATCACTGCTTCTTGAAGACCTTATTTTTCTCTTTTCATGTTTCATTTACTTCTTTGTCAGACCACAAATCTACAAATATGTCTACACCCAGAAGCATGTTGTTGGAGTTGAGAAAGCTAATTCCTGGCTTGGATGTTGAAATACTTTAAATCCATAAACGTGCAACAAGGAAATGGATTATTTATCAGTAGTCATCCATCCATCCATCGTCAACCGCTTATCCTGCATACAGGGTCGCGGGGGGGGGGGGGGGGGGCTGGAACCAATCCCAGCTGACATCGGGCGCAAGGCGGGGTACACCCTGGACAGGTCGCTAGTCCATCGCAGGGCCACACATAGACGAACAACCACTCACGCTCAGACTCCATACTTGTGTCTGTTTTTTTATATGCATCTCACAGAAAAAAACATTCCTAGCATCTGCTGATGCAGCTTTTATGTTTTTTTTGGTTAATCTTTGTATCAAATCGAGGGTCGAGACTTATAATCAGTTATGATGGTGGAGGAGTGTAAATTAAGTTTGCCTCACTAATGGCTGCAGGCTTTGACTTGCCTGAGTAGAATCAACAGAATTTACAAACAACACTTTTGGCTTCTGGTTTCTATACTAAAAAACATGTACACACACATATTTCACCACAACAGACAGAACGCCCAGACACAGTATGTAGACGTTTCATTGGGAGGTTTGAACCACAAAACCTCCAGAAAATTGGGGTAGGTAGACCCAGCTGTAACTACCAGGATTGTGCGCTGTTGGGCCATGTGATTGCCCAACAGCTCAGAGAATACTCCCATATAAAAAATGTGAAGCCTGGTGGAAATGTGCATTTTAAACATGGAGTTGTTCTGGCTGTGGATGCCTGTTTTGGGCTCTCTGATGTTAGCGGAAATCTTGTGGACTCTGCCCATCAATCAGGATCAGTGGCCGAGGCCTGAGGATGTGGAGCTGGCTGAGGTTTGTGGATGGACGACGTCTTTTATATGACAAATAAGAGTTTATCCATCTATTGGTTTTTGTTTTATTTTAAACACTATATATAGTTTACAGCCTAATTACTTTGAGGGAGGGAGTAATTGGCTAACAGAACCACCCACATCGGCAGATTTTAAGGAGAATATGCTTAGCTCTAATCTTTGTCTACTATATACTTGTGTAAACTTGAGAATCTGATCTCACCAAAGATGAACTAGAACTACTAATGCATTGTATTTTAAATGGTGGATTAATCTCAACATTACCCGATGGACAGACAAACACTAACTATGGCAACATATGGCTAAATTGCACCTCCTTTTGATTATCCCCTTCTTAATTATCTCACAATCCTTTTATAACTTGTGTGCTCCTTATCTCCATCTTTGCAACCGACTGTTTGTTTCATAAGCAGGATCAATGAGGGATCATGCTGACTTTTACCAGGATTTATCAGGAAAACTGGATTTACGTGAATAATTAACACTCCCTTGTCTGTCCTGTTTGTCTTTGTGCATTGGGGAAAAACCCAATATGATACCACTATGCTATGGTATTCCAAAACTGTAACATGTATAAAAAACCATTATATGCAGATACATTTTGGATATCTTGTCCTCCAGACCTTTCTCCTCTCAACAACAGGGCTACCTCAGGAGATTTTACAACCTGAACCCCAGAAGCAGAGTGTCTGGAAGAAGGATCAGGTCCACGTCAGCCATGGAAGAGAAGCTCAGAGAAATGCAAAACTTCTTTGGTCTGAGAGAGACGGGTCGACTGGACCCTCACACCCTGAATGTGATGAGGGAGCCGAGGTGTGGTGTTCAAGACGTAGAAAACTTCAGCTTTTATCCCGAAAGGCCTAAATGGAAGAACCACACCATCACATACATGTGAGACGATTTGTCTTTCCTGTTTTTCCTGATTACTGAAATATTGTGAAATTATTTTTTTCTTGCAGATTGTTAAATTTTAAGATTTAATTTTGCCAGCAGAGGAAATGTTACCGTAGCTGCAGCAGTGGAAGTTGTTGCTCCCACTGTCTCATGTTTGTGTGTCCATCTTTGGGTGCTGGCTTGCAGGATTGCCAAATACACTCCGGACATGAAGAAAGAGGATGTGGAAAAGTCCTTTCGTTCAGCCCTGAAGATGTGGAGTGATGCAGCACCGCTGAGCTTCATCAAAGTCAACCATGGCAAAGCTGATATAGTGTTCTCCTTCGCCCGCAGAAGTAAATCTGAAAACCACATCTGAACAATTATTATGTTGGTTAAGATACATTCAAAACAGAGGTCCTAATTATGGTTAATGATGCCACAAATAAAGATACAAAGACAGGACACTTGTTTATGAGTCTTGTTTCATTCAAAGTGCGAAGAAGTGTCTTTTCTGTCGCAGTTCATGGAGATTTCTTTCCCTTTGATGGACCCCGTGGTGTGCTGGCTCATGCCTTTCAGCCAGGAGGGGGGATAGGAGGAGACGTGCACTTTGATGAAGATGAAACATGGACAGACGGGAGGCAAGGTTTGTCAGGCAAAACATGTTTGCAATTCTGTGAGAGAAAACGTTATTAATTCAGCAAACTGAACACAAAAGATGATCCTGTAAACTAAGAATCAGAAACTTTTTTGCAAAACAGTGCAACATTTATCCTTTAAGGTTTGTTGAGGCAAAGAAAAATAATAACAAAAAATGTAAATTAATGTGAAATACAAAATTGTTTTATTTCTGTTATGCTACTTTATACTTCATTTATTTCACAGCTTTACTTATACAAACAAAGATTAACTTAATATCAAGTTAAACATGCAATTTGGTGCATAGGTATAAAATTAAGCTCCATCCGAACAACCTCAACAATAACATGATACTTATACTTTTAAGTACTTATACAACATTAACGGATACATAAAAAGTATAGTAAAAAAAATGACAATAATAAAACAATACATGATATATAATAATATAACTCTCATGGGGTCGTTTTCTGCACAATGAGTACATACAATGTCAATTCTGAACCACAGTTGGCAGCAAACAGCTGTTGCGCTGCTCTTCGTAAATTGAAACTTTAAACATGTTGGACCACTCCCCAGTCACAGCTGCACCTGCCTTTGACAGCTCATGGGCACGACACCTGATGTGACATCATCACTGGGGTGTGGCCAATGCCGCTACATTCCTGATAGTTTCAAACCTACAGACAATTTTCTGTGTGATTCTGTGTCAATGTATCCGTCAAACGGACTAACAGGACATGTCTGTTGCTGCATTTCAGGTTACAGCCTGTTGGCTGTTGCAGCTCATGAACTTGGCCACTCACTGGGTTTGACTCACTCAAGAGACCCCTCGGCTATCATGTACCCCAATTACAGGTCTCACAGCAGTACACAGTACTCTCTATCCAAAGACGATGTGCTTGGCATCCAAACACTGTACGGTGAGGGGAAAAAAAAGATTGCACTAAATGAAAATAAAATTATAGTGCACTATAATGTACAATACCATATTTTATGCATTTTTTCCCATGTTTCTTAGGAGAACCCACAAGAAAAGAGGAAACACAATCAGTTCCCAAAAAGTGTGACCCAAACTTTTCTTTAGACGCAGCAGTTGTGATTGGAAATGAGATTGTTTTCTTTAAAAACAGGTATGGTATGTTTTAAATTATGATTGCAAAAGCGCTTCAATATGTTTGAGCTGCAACTGAGTGAGTCTACTTATTGTTTCAACCTAGGTACATGTGGATGAGAACAACACGGACAACTTATTGGAATCGCCTGAGAGGGAGCCACAGCAGCACATATTTTCCGAGCATCAGTTCTCACTTTGATGCCGCTTATGACATCCCTGCCAAAGGCGTGGCGTACATATTCACCGGTACTGTGTAATGGGCAGTCCGCAAAGCATCACTTAGGCCTTATCAGCATGACAAAGCTGGATTTCCAGTAGGAGAACACAGTGTTGCACCCAAATTACAGCCTTGTGCAACATTAAGTGTTGCAGTTCATACAAGAGGCTCACTGAGTTTGGCTGTGCTTGTGCTATGTAGTGGTTTTTCATAGTGTCCCAAAATGCAGTGACGTGGCTGTGTTTTTCCAGGTTATAAGTACTGGGTGGTTCAACAGCTTAAGATGAAAAATGTTGCTGGCTCCATCTACGAGTACGGATTCCCCTCCAGAGTCAAGCAGGTTGACGCAGCCGTGCATGTCAGTGAATATGGAAAAACAGTCTTCTTTGTAGGAGAGGTTTATTACAGGTGACCTGTTTTGATGCATATTTGTTTTACATTTAAAATCTCATTCTCTGTTTTTGATCGTTTACATGAAATAAAGACATGAACACTGTCAACAGGAAAATGTACCCAACAAAATGAATAAATAAATACATTATCAATATCTACACTGTACCTATAATGCAATTCAAAGGCAGTAAATCAGTTATATTAGACATTTGAACAGAAGGAAGTTTACAACATACAGCAAATCAATTTTAGTATGGACAAATAATTTGACTGTAAACATACATACATAGATCCCTCATACATGAAGAGTGCTGTGTGCACTTCAGAAAACACACTGACACTGAGGAAGGCAAAGAAACTGAAGTTATTTAAATGATCCAATCCCCAGGTTTGATGAGCACAGGAGAAGGATGGACCCCGGCTTCCCCAGACTCATCCAAACAGACTGGCTTGGAGTCCCGAGGAGGGTGGATGCTGCCTTCAAGTCACAAGGTAAATAAAAAAAACACAAAGAAAAGAGAAAACTGGCACAGTTTATGGACATGAATGTGAAGCGTGTAATGTGGTCACATGAACAGAATACAACTGAAATAGAAGTTGTAATTTCTTTTCTTTAACGTGTGGGGTTTACCGCATGGGTTGCACTTTTACACTGAAAACACCATTTGCCCCAGTTTCAGGACAAGGTGCCGCTTGAGTAGAAATGTTCTGTTTACAGCTAAACGTTGTTGTTCACATTTCATCTCATTTGTTCTGAAACGATATGAGGGGATAACACGCTTTTTTGTATGCTGTTCCGTCGACAGGCAGCATCTTCCTCTTCAGTGGGACAAAATCCTACCAGTATGACTTCAAGCAAAAGCGGGTGTTGAATATCATTTCAGCAAACTCTTGGCTGGGATGTTGATACAGTTGATACAGTGATGGGCACGTTACTGAGAGTACATCCTTTATACCCCCCCCCCCCACACACACACACATCTTTAATTTATATATATATAATAAATTTCGCTCAATTCCTGGATGTCTATGAGATCATGCTTATATTATCTTATCCCATAGACACTCAACATTTGAGCCAAAATAGCCTAATATTGCTGTTTGACATTTTCTGACTACACCAAATAGTTTTAAAAATGGTCTGTCCTAAACCATTTATTAGTCTGACTCTGACGGGGGGGAAACTATTGCATTTCCATTCACTGAGCCTCTCCTGAAACTATGAAACTATTTGGAGCCCCCCTAGGGAGGTTCGCCTCACACTTTGAAAACCCCTGATTTATACAGTTAAGAAGAACTCTGAAGTTAGAGATGTTAGAGAATATGTTGAGATTATGTATATGTATTTGACTAAATTGTTGGATTTTTGGGGCTATGTGTTTACCTGTATATAAACTCTGATGTCACTCTCTGGTATAAATGTACCTTTATGTACTTAACATCTTAGAGTTAACCTAACTTCTACTATATTGTAAATCTGAATATATAAAAACAGGATGTGTCTTATTAAACGGAACTCTACAAAATGGCCTCTGTTTGTGTTGCATTTTTATATATTATACAATTATTATTATTAAAGATGCATATGCAGATACAAAATATTAATCTGCAAAGGAACCAAAAACTACAGCTATCAAATAATTGTAGTGGACTAAAATGTACAACATTTCACTCGTACATCAAAGTTGTAAACAAGGAAAATACTCGCGTTAAGTGCAAGAACCTAAGAGTTGTATTACAGTAAGTACAAACCACCGACTTTCCACCATTGTTCCAGGGTCAGACCTTTTTCCTCTTTGCAAGACAGGAGGCCTGAACTTCTTATCAGACAAACAAAAGTAAATAAGCAGGTAAGTGCAGATAATCAGTTTCTGTCCACTTAGTTAGTTGTAACATGAGTTTACAGTAAGTGTCCAAACAGTGGCCTTAGTGCCAAAAAAATAACTTTACGCACACACACCACGCTCATGTTTACCCGCCAAGCTGGACTGTGGTCACTGTACATAAAATTGATTGACACTGAATCGATTGTATCATCTCCTCCCACTGCGTTATGAGAGGGGCCACTGTTTACTCCCCTTCTCCCTCTGGAGCAGGGGCTTGCCTGAGGACTCATGCATGCTCTTATTCAGCTTTTGTCAGAACAATACACACCTCAGGCTGCCAAGGCTGCCTTTATAAGAGGAGAGTGAATGGAGAGAAGAAAACATTTTAACAAGATGTCCCTGGCTGATTTTTGGATTGTGTTGCTGGGGTGTTCAGCCCTGTGTCACACAGCACCTACCATTTCTCCAACAACTTTACCAGAGGACGATGACCTGGCTGAGGTAATACAAAATATATTCGGCATACATTTTGGTGAACACAGGAGAACATGTCACATTTAAAGCATGCACTGTAGTGATTAGGCAGGTCAGAGGTGAGACGGATTGCAAAACGAGTCTATAAATTCAGATTGTGTAGACAAGCAATAAACATGTACATAGTCAGATGAAATTAATTACTTGTCTTAGAAAATCCCCTTTCTTCTCCTGGTATCAGAGATACCTTTCTCAGTTCTACGCTGATGTTGGGATGAAAAACACCTCTATGCGAAGCATCACTAACAGCTCCTTCAGCCAGGATCTACGGGCCATGCAGGCTTTCTTTGGCCTTGAGGTAATTACAATGAATGAAGGATTTTACCTAAGATTGCCTTCTTGTAATCAACATAATCATGAATGCTAATAACTTCAACTCAAAGGATTCATACCAGAAACCGTATGGCAGGTGACAAACACATTGCTCAAACCTCATTTTAAAATCATCTCATATCATCATCTGACCACCAGGTGACTGGTGTCTTGAATAACAAGACTATTGAGGTGATGAAGGCTCCAAGGTGTGGTGTGACAGATATCAGCCGATATGGACACTTCCCTGGGAAACCCAAATGGGAGAAAAGGCTGATTACATACAGGTAACTGGAAGTACTATACTGCCAGAGCATGTTAACATTGTAAATAGTTTAGTCACATGATTGTATTTTTGGTGGTTGAATATATAAACATCACCCAAAGATGACTCTGATGATGATAACAGCAGTTATTAATGTGATTTGAACAGGATCACTCAGTACACTCCAGATCTGACCCAGAACCAGGTGGACAAAACCATTGCTCAGGCCTTCCAGCTGTACAGCGATGTCATCCCACTGGACTTTAAACAGGTCTACAGTGGTACTGCAGACATCATGATCCTCTTCAAGGGCGGATGTGAGTCTGAGGTTTTTAAAAACATCCTAAACTTATATAATAATAATATAATGTGTGTTTATATAATAATAAAATAACCACATAAGACTCTAGAGCTGACTGACAAACAGACCGACATCGCCCTCCCAAGAGTCACTAAAAGTTGCCAATGTGGGTAAAAGTAAATTGAATTGCCTTAGATTTGTCTGACCTTAAACAAAGTATTTTTCTTAAACATGGTTACATCAGTGATGCCCGCTATGGGAATCATTTTCTCTGCATGCAGTAATAGACATACACTCTATATTTTTTTTAAATTATAGATTACATATTCTTATTTGTCTTATTGCAGATCATGGGGACTTTTATCCTTTTGATGGGGCAGGTGGAGTCTTGGCTCACGCTAACTCTCCAGGACAGGGTGAGGGAGGGGACACGCACTTTGATGATGATGAAACCTGGACTCTCACCCAAAGAGGTAAATATAACCTGAAGCAGCCCTGTCCACTGGGTACGAAGTATATAATCTGTGCAGTTCTGATTGTAGCAGTACACTGTGGTGTGTGAGGAAGAAATAAATCCTATATATTCAGCAGATTGAGTTTTTACTTCTTTACAGAACAGACATTATTTTCACTTTCTTACATGTGGCTAATCATCTGAATGTGCCCATTTATTAAAATACATAACTGCATGAACACGCAAATGTATATAAATAAAATACACCATAAAATACACCATAAATTACTGTATTGTTGTGTTTAGGTGTGAATCTGCTGCTGGTGGCGGCCCATGAGTTTGGCCATGCTCTTGGTTTGGATCACTCCAGGGACAGACGTGCACTAATGTACCCCACTTACAAATATGTCGACACAAACGGATACAGGCTGCCAGATGACGACAGGCGTGGGGTTCAAACCCTTTATGGTAAGAAAAAAAACATAATTTTTATATAATGATTCACATTAATGTAAATTAAGGCCAGACAATCGTCTATAAAAAATAACAGTCCACATATTGGATTGGAGAAATTTCTCTTCATCTGAGCTACATGACAGAATCCTCTATTCAACCAGTAAACAGCTGACCTATGGATGAATGTCTTGTGCTGCTGTTTGTAATTTGTGACAATAAACTAGATCCATTTTATATACATTGCGGTTCACCTGTCTGACAGTCTGAATAAATGTTTCTTAAATGTTTCTAAAAGTGTATCTTTTATTTATTAATGTTGATAGTTGTTCGCTTTATGAGGACTGACTAATCCGTCTTTCAGGCAGCCGTACACCAGTACCCACAAAAAAACCTAAACCACCTCCTGGCCCAGAGCCAGAGGAACCAGCAGAGGATCCAAACCTAGACCCTCTGCCCAACCCCAGAGAGGAGCAGTGTAGCCGCGACCTGGTGTTTGACGCTGCTACCTCCATCAGGGGAGACCTGTACTTCTTCAAAAACGGGTATGTTTTAAATATGCGGTGATCATCTTGTTTATGTGGGAAGTATGTAAATGCATCTTCTTAAAATCCATACTAGATACTACTGGAGGAAGAGTACGACTTTCCAAGGAATCCGTTTGACTAAAGTGAACACAAAATGGTCACAAATCAACCATGTGGATGCTGCCTTTGAAGTCCCATCCAAGGATGTGGTGTATCTTTTCGAAGGTAATGTTAATGGTGTATTGTTATGTCTGAATGTTGAATATACTTAATTCAGTGTATACTGTGAAGCTATTCAGGTAAATACATGATTTAATAACCTCCAACTGTTTCTCTAAAGGTCGTCAATACTGGGGCATAAGGGCTTATGCAAAGACAATAATTTCAGGCTATCCAAAGTCACTCACCAACCTCGGCCTCCCGTCTTCAGTCACTAAGGTGGATGCAGCCGTTTATGAGTCAACTTCTAGAAAAACACTAATTTTTGTGAACAACCAGTATTGGAGGTGAGTGCTGGTCATGATCATGTTTTTAGTTTTGTTATTGATATGGCATGTGCCCGTTTGTCTTTAGAAGATAGTAAGTACAGAGTACAGCGACATACCATCAAAGCATTTGTAATAGTCCCTCTTTTCTATCTTGCAGCTATGATGAGGGCAGAAGCCAAATGGACTCTGGATACCCACGATTTATCAGTCAGGATTTCCCTGGCATAGGCACTAAAATAGATGCAGCCTTTGAGAATTTTGGTGAGAAATCAACTCATTTACCCCTTTTTATACAAGTCAAGAGCATATCAACAGAAAAGTTTGACATTTTCGCTTTCTTGCTGGGAGTTGGTTGAGAAGATTATTACCAATCTCACGTTTGTCCATTAGATATGACGCTACAGCCAGGTGACAGTTAGCTTTGCTTAGCTTAAAGTGTGAAACTTTTTTGTTGGCTCTTTGTCAGTTGATGAAATTAATATTTGTAATATGAAAAGTCTCATAGTGAGAAATCCAAAGAGCATGTCCGCCCTACGGAGCACATTCACATTATGATCATTGTTTTGGTTTTTATGGTCCACAACTGTTCCTGATGTTTATTCACTCGCCACCATTGACCTAGTTCCCAACTACAGGAAGCTGTTTTCAGCAACAACAGAAAATTGTGATAAACCCAATCAGACAAAGTAAGTAGCTGTGAAGTGGAGCATTTAGCAGCTAAAAAGTCAAATATTTTCCTCAGGAGTTGGTAGCAGACCAAAATACAGCAAAAAGGAGAGTGAATATTGTACTCACAAATGAAAAAAACACACAATTGCAAATTAATTCTAATGTTGCTCTGCATCTGCTGGAAGTGTAAATAGTCGACCGTTTGCTAACATGTTTGCCATAACAAGTTCACAAGGTGTCTGTATAAGTTGTTTGTAATGTAATATGCCAAAATTGTGTTTATAGCTTGTTTTGCTGCCCCAAGTAGCCAACAAATCAGTTATTAATGTCAGTTGCAGTTCAATTGCATAATCGCATATTTCTGAATCTTCCCTCCGACAGGATATCTATATTTCTCATCTGGCCCCAGGCAGAGTGAGTACTACCTGCCATACAAGAGAGTGATGCGTGTACTGCTCAACTATGGCTGGCTCAACTGTTACTGAGAACTCACAGACAAAATGACACAACTGTCTATATCCAAGACTGCAGTTAGCATGTCTATTGTGAAACAAAGCATGTGAATAACAGATGAATAAATACATTTGTATGATGTGGGGAACAGCTCTCAGATATAGATGTTGTTTTGTCTATGTGGCTTCTGATGTATAGCAAATAACAGGGTCAAACTGAGGCAAAGGTCAGTGAGTTACTATCATGTGTAAACAATCTTTGACCTCCTTCAAAATGTTTCTATTTCATTTTTGTTTTCTGTATGGACATCGCAAAGGGATGTATTAATGGTGAATGTTTTTACTCAGAGATGTTTGCTTATTTCAGTGATTAAAAAAAGGGGTAAAGGATTATATAAATGTTAAAATAGAAGGTTTTACAAAAGGTCCCCAGCAATTTCTCCATCACCTCTACCCATAACAAGGCCGAACTATAATACTATTCTTATTTGCTTACACCATCTTTGGTTACACAGTAAAATAATAGCAAACATTTTAAGCAATTTGTTGTGTTCTGTCATGTCTGAACTGTTAGGTTGTGAAATGCTCCTGTCTTATGCCTGGATGCTGCAATTTAGAATTAGGACCAAAGTTCAACTTTAGCCACATATGGGAAGATCCAATAAGAGCTGAGTCATTTCTGTTCTCATAGTTGCAGTGTTGCATGCATCCAGTAGAATTCTGGTTGTGGCATGAAATAAACCAAAGAGGTAATCAAGTGCAAAACATACAATCCACAACAACAGGGAAGCTTCAAAGGGATTAGTTCACCTAAATTACAACAAAATACATTTTCTCCATTACCTCTGATGTTATCAAGTTATAAAGATTGGGTTTTATTTGCCAGGATTTTTTTTTTAGATATCTATCGCTGAAATTCCTGCTTCCAGCCCAATAGAGGGGACCATGATTGTATTTCTGCCATCTTCACAGCATTACACAACAGCAAAATCTTTCCTGAAACAATATGTCCCCCTGAATGGCAGGGAATTCAGAGACACAAGTACTCAGATGGTATCTGAAGAGCATGACATATTACTGCTAAGTTAACAGTGACTGTTTAGTTACATTTGACTTGACACTTAAAATAAAAAAACACCTAACTTAAATTTGCTTGCACTGTTGCCCTTGTTCTAACACAGACGCTTCTCCAAAGAATTAAAAAAATTAAAAAATGCAATCTTGCACCAATTAGCCTACATCATCATGTGCAACTGGGCTAAAATAAGTATTACATAAAACTATTTCTATTCTATTCAAATTACTAATGCACATAGTGAACAGTTACTGCGGGCTTACATTGCACTGTGATTGAACAATGATAAGCATGTGACAAACAAACTTAATTGATGGGACTCAAAATCGTATTAACCTTTATTAAAGCCGTATTTTAACGTCAAACATGTCATTGTGTCGTAGTAGTAAATTTTTAATTTGGATTTTTAAAATTGTAACTAACAATTTAACCAAACGCAACAAAACCATAGACTGTACATAAAAACAAAACAAGGATATCCGGGAGAAGTGGTATCAGCAATAATGTCCGCTGGTAAGTTATCCCACTAACTTTTTGTTCCTCCATCGTTTTGTATATCTAACGTTAACTTGTAAATACGTGTTCCTTTCTATAATTGCGTTTGAGCCATATTACAGAATGTGTTTTTTTCTGTACACAGCTCCATAGAATATCTTTATCACAACGGAGGATGCTGCTAACGCTTGGTGGGCAACGTTAGCATTTAGCATCTCTGAATGTAAACAGTGCACTCATGTCAACCGAAGGTTCCGGTTGACAGACGGAAACAAACAATCCGGAGCACGAACTAAAATAAGTGGGTTTGCTGCTACAGATTCATTGAGGTATGTGTGTGTGTGTGTGTCTCTTTTTGCTTGTAGCTAACTGTAACTCTTGTATATCATGTTGTTAGCATCTGTGAGCAATTAGCAAGTCTTAGCTAACTTGCACTATAACTATATTGCTTTCTGTGCGTGTGTTTTCTCAACATTGCTAATGCTACTAATATGCGGTACAATACCTGCTCCTGAGGAGATAATAGATGCATTGTTAATGTTTCTTCTCTGCACAGGTCCCTGTCGCCTATGGAGTCTCTCAACACCTTTGAATCTGAGATGGAGGCTGATGGACAGGGGAACTACTCTCTGTTTCCTGCTCTGGACAGCATTGCAAGTCTGTCTGGGACCACTGAAACTCTGGAGAGGTTGTTGAAAATAATGTGATTTTTATTTTATGTTACACATATAGAAAATACACTGTGCAGTATGTACTACATCCATCTATGTTAGCTACATTGTGGGACTGCTACAGACAAGAGCATCCCATCCATGTAGAAGTGCCCAAATTAAAATAGGTTGTTAATGGGTGAAACTTTGGGCTCACAGGGAATCAAATCATAATACAAATTTGATACCATGATTTAATACCAAACTCACTAAACACCATTAGAGAAGTGCTTTGCGATTCTGGACTCTATTGGTTGAGTTTTTTTCTTTTTTTTTTCTTTTTTTGTGATCACACAACGTTGTTGAGTTTAAAATATGTACACAGTACCTTCCACAGTGCATGTTGCCAACGTGATTCATTACCTGGGTGCAGTCTTAGTTTGCACTAAAAACTGGATAAGTATGTGCTCTAAAATGTTTATATATCAAAAGTAATGATTTTCAAAGTGCCAATAAATCAAATAATAATATTACACTGGATGATACTTAACTTTTTGTATTTGCAGCGAACCACCTAGTGATATTTCAGAGAAGCCAAACCTCACATGGCTCGATGCTGCACAGGTATCTGCCATATATTCTTCATATTTCAGTTTGGTGTCATTGATAACATCTACCATATTCAACTGCTGTGAGTTTTTATTTTGTTTTGTTTTGGCAAGTCTTTTTTGTTTCTCATTTTTCTCATGTAGATTGTCTTGGAAGAAGCTGGTCGCCCTATGCACATAAAGGAGATTAAACAAAGAATCATCGACAGAGGACTTGTTCAATCCAAGTACAGCAATCTTCTCAGTTTACTACGCATCTTATTGCCCATGTGCTTACATGTTAAGCCAATAATGACAATAGCTTTTTTTTTTTTTTTTGATGTTCACTGAATATTTGTTGTCTTAATTTCTTAAGTAGACCGCAGGCTAGTACCTGAATTAGGGCAGGTTCACACCTAAGGTCTTTTTCCTGAATCGAACCAATGTGAGGATAAGATATTGTTTAATTTTCCAACTGGTCTGGTCAAACGGGCCAGAAATTCTAAACAAAAGCCATGTGGTGGAAATGTCATTTGATTATTGGTCATACAGTCGGCGAGTAAAAAGACAACAAACCCTCCAAATTTCTACCTGGATATCTTACATCATGGTTCATGGTGGTGTTGGTCTGGAGCACATATCAGCAGACCACATAAACATCTTGTGTGACAACAGATATTAAATAAGTTAATAATGCACACAAACAATGGTAGCTTCCCATGATTAGTTTGAATGGTGTTCACACCAGAAATTAAGCGCTCCAGAGGTCACTTGACAGAGGTCCGAGACCACCCTTTGAGGTGGGAAACACTCCAGTAAACACTCAAGCGCTCGGTTCAACCGGACTAAATAAGGTTGATGTGAACCCTGCTTTTCTTGTTGTTCTCTCCTTGGCAGTGCAAAATCAAGCCTGGAGGCTGTCATGTACCGTGAGGTAAGGAAGTTTAAGACTCAGTCTGATGGCAACCTCTGCTGTTGAGGATCATAACTTGCCCCTCCGGTTAATGTTTGTGTGTTCAGCTGATACAACACATGCATCATCTGTATTTCCGTTACTATTCTTTCTTTCTCCATGTTTCTCCATCTTGCTTCTTTTGACCTTGTTTGAAAGAGGCAGACCCTTCTGTGCTTTAATCAGAGCAAAGGATGCTCTCTGCTGTATCTAAGAATGGTGAAATTTATCTTAATTGACCCTCCCCAGCCCCAGTTTTTGGGAATCAAATTTGGCTTTCCTTGCCCTATGCATTGGCCTCAGTCTCACATTATGTTTCAGACACAAAAAGGCAGCAGGAGATTCAAGAGGATTGAGAACAGAAATGGAGTCTTTGCACTGCTGGTGAGTTATATGGGACACTTAATGCCAATTTCACACAAGTTTTGGGCCCAGAACTGTAGTTTGACACACAAACCACTGCCTGGTATAGTTCTAACATATAGACAGATTTTATTTATGTTACATTTCAACAACATTAAAAGTCGAAGGTGCGGGGTTTTTGCAGTGGAGATTCAATGATATCAAGTTGTCTGGTAGCCTGGTGTGATGTCATACGATATCTGCTATTTGTGTTCTTACTTTATTAAAAGCAGGTGCTAGGATTCAGAAGAGAAGACATTTAAAGTAGAGACGGCTTGAAGTCACTCTTAATATCTAATTATAATTACAGTACTCCGCAGTACCAAAATGCCCTTAATAATCCTTTAACTAGTGTAGTACTCATCCATACAAAATAAAAGCTAAGCTCCAAAGTTGAATTGAAAAAGGATAAAAGAGTAAAATCCTCTCAGAGGAGATAAATTTACAGTAATAATGTCTTTATTTAAATTCCGTGAGTTTCTTCAAGATCCCATGCACATTTTGTTTTCAGTAACCACTGTTTGTCATATAGAAGTTTAAGTGTAAGCTCCATCTGTGTTTTTTATTCATTTGCACTTAAGTCTGTATTTTCATCCTTCATCCTGAAGGCAACACAAGCATTAGCTTCAGGTTCTCCTGGTACATATGGATGGATCTCTGCCTTTCTCGCCCTCCCTCTTTCTCCTCACAGACTGATGAGGAGCGGCAGCAGGCCCTGCAAGCCTTTACCGCCCAGACTTTCCTCGGCTCTCCGCAGCAGAACACCATCTCCAGTTCTGGCTCAGGTGCCTCTGCGCCCGCCTTCCCGTCCCCCACCAGTTCCTCAGATCACAAGACCAAGATGAAGAGAGGGCCGCGAAAAAACCAGAACGAAAAGTACCGACTTAAGTACCTTAGACTGCGCAAAGCTGCCCGTACCATGATATTTGTAAGTAAGCTATTAATTCTTGTTTTCTTTCACTTCATAAATATATGGTAAGGTTTTGTAAAGAGTGGTTGTTGGAATTTTCTAATCATTATCGGTGAGAACAATTGAATTTGTATAAGATTTGACTCAGGATTACTCTGTTTACATACACAGCTCTTTAATTATCAGTGTTGTGATACGGTTTTATCTGCAGGAGAACGCAGCTCTCTGTGATGAAATTGCCCACTTAGAAGAGAAGTTTCTGAGGGCAAAGGAGGAGCGGAGGTGAGCAGACATGTTTCAGCTGTGTTTATAATTCCCATAATATTCAAAAAATTAAAATTGGCCAACAATTCATTTCACTTTATTTTATTTTTATACTCTTATACACACTCACATTTACCATTTCACCTTTAAAAAAACTAGACAAAACCCAATGATTCATTCATATTAATTTTCAATTCCAGGTTTTTACTGAAGTCATTGTTGCAGTACCAGTCTTTTTCAGAGGGGGAGATACTGCCAACGCCTGGCTCAAGCTCCCATCCACCTGTGCCGCCTGCAGCATTAACCTCAGGTCCTGCAGGGTCTTCAGGCCTGTCTGGGGGGCAAAACCTTGTGTCAGTGGTGTCAACAGGGGAAGACGGACCTCTTAAAAAACCTAAGAAGGAAAGGAAAGAGCGAGGCAGGGAAAATGGAAAGGAGGAACGTGAGTCCTGTGGTCAAGCTTTACTGCAGACTCATATTGAAAATAGATGGAATTGAAATGGTTTACGTTTCAAGACAGTTTGCACAATATTTTATTTTCTCATGTTTATTCAGTTCCAAAGAAGATGACTAAGAAGAGAAAGCTGACAGACGGGTCTCGGAAGCTGGTGCAGCCCATCCCTCTGGACTCATCTGGTCGCCCCGTCTTTCCCATCGTATTGGGAGGTTTAACAGTCTACAGTCTGGGAGAGGTCAGTGTCTGGCGTGACTCATATGTCACAGCTATCACCACGGTCACTTATATTATTAGTAATACATGCTCTCTTCTTGCTATGACAAGTTAAACTGTCCACCAGAAGGTGGTTCAATAAATAAATAAAGTCTACATTACAACAACATGCTGATAGAGTGAAAGCCTCTCCAAAAGCTGACAATAACCACTAAATGGATGTTTCCAAATGCAAACTTTTGACCGCTCTCCAGATCATCACAGACAGGATGCTGTTCCATGATGAGTGCGCCATCTACCCAGTGGGCTTCTGCAGCACACGAGTCTTTGCCAGCATGAAAAACCCAGACCAGCAGTGCCTCTATACCTGCCAAATCAAGGATGGGGGAACAGGCCCACAGGTACACACACACACACGTTTGTTTTTGAAGTCGGGTTTGCCAAATGTCCTCATTTTCAGATGTAAATACTTTTTAGAGAAGAAAATAATTTAAAATTAAGATGAATAAAACATTTTGTCTGTTGAGATGCAAGTGAAAACAATAAATGTGCTGTGTACAACCTAATATTGCCCCCACGCCCACAGTTTGAGATTGTACCTGAAGAAGATCCTCAGAATGCCATTGTGGCCTCCTCTGCCCTGACCTGCCACTCCAACTTACTGAAGGCTATCGCAGCTGTCAGGTACCAAAGTTCAGCACAAAGGCGAGGAATGGTTGTTTGTTTGGGGTATTCAGCACAAATCCACAAAGACAGAGGTTTTGTATTTTGGTGTTTGTCACCATATGTCCAAGACAAATATTTAAGCTATTTTAAGCTTAAGCACTTTTTAATATAATTATGAACTCTTTCACCGTGTCCTTCTCTTAGTTCCAAGGCTGTGGCGCCCATTGTGCCATCAGGAGCTGACTTCTTTGGCTTTTCACACCCCACCATCCAGAACCTCATCCAGAGTTGTCCTGGAGCACGCAAATGTTGCAAGTAAATTCACCCATCTCACTGAATATGGATTTTCAGCTACAAAACACACAGCGTGCATGCACTTCACATCTTTTGCAGATTATCATTTAAGGAAAAGAATGAGATTTGTTTTCATATTTTTAAAGCATTTTAGAATTTAACTGTAGATGTGGAGACGTTCTTCCCAGACAGGAACTCTAAGGGCATTTTACAAATGGGTAATGGTGGTTTCCCAGATGCAAAGCATTAATATGATGATGAAGATGATTATATGTTTTGGTGATATGGAATCATTTCAATCTTTACTTAGAAGGAAAACATTAATTAATCATGAGTAACTAATTTTTAGGTCATGGAAACATGCTGACATACTTATGCACAGAGAATTTATATATTGTTGGGACCTGATCTGTCTAGTCTAGAGTTAATTATCTAGCTGAAGCTGAAAGACAGAAAATATTCCAACAATTATGCATTTATTCAAATGAGCTTGAGATATGCAAATTAGAGGGCACGATTAATATATTTCAATCATGTTAATATATTCAACCATCTTACATTCACTAGGAGTTGAGATTTCTTCATAAATGGACGTCTTTTCTTTTTCTTTGTTTATACTAGCTACCGATGGATACGTTTTGAGGTGTGTCGCCCTGGTGATGGCCAGGTTCCTCACAGCCTATCTGAGGACGACGCCTCAGTGAACTTTGAGGCCTACCAGAGACACAAGGGCTTTGATGAGAACATCAAGACGGAGCACATAACAGGTCGCTTAAGTATCACTTCACACGCTCAGCCTGTTACATTAACAGTAACTTGATTATTGCATGTACTGTACAAGCAAACACTTCTGAGGTTATGTAAGCTGCTGTGTCCATCAAACACACAGGAATCTGGGCAGCCTTAAGTTTAACAGCTGGGCTTGTGGCAGGAAGCTCACGGGTAAAAACTCCTTGCTGGGGAAACAAATAAAAACTGTCTTCTTTCGGGACAACTGCTGTCAGAGCAAAGCAGTGAAGATGCTCCAATCACTCAGTTATACTTTTGCTCTGCTGGAGTGAATGTGTGTGAATAACCCTCCTCACCCCACCAACCGCTCCTCCAGAACTCTGCTGTAAATAATATATCATAAATGTAAGTGGCTAGGTTGGCTGAGAAAGAAACATTTTAGGATTAGGAAAATGCCAAATATTTCACAGTACTTCAATTTGTGTTACCTCTTGCATAATCTAATGCGGACGTGATGATCACTCAGCATTGACAGTGACTCTTCTACTATTTATCCATGTGTCATTCCTCAGGACAGACGCCGCAGTCTCCTAGCTCCTCTCACCAGCACCACCTGACCTCGCCCACCATGAAGCCCTCTACCTCATATTTCAGCTCTTGATTCTGAAAGCGCCAGCAGGAATCCAGCTCACACGTGATCGCACTCCTCTCAGACTTTCATTATTTACTGAACTTACTATACCACCCCCCGTCTATTGGATCTGGCTGGCAAGTTAGCTTCGTGCTTAATGTGCCAATAGCAACATAAACCCAACGCCTCTGTGTTGAGAAATGCATTTCTTACTGCATGTATATCAACATCTGTGCTGAATTTTCGAAATTGAGTCCCAGTTGACTTTGACCAGAATTACTGAAAAAAGGGTTTTTGTTCTTTCCCATATACAAGTTACAATGTACATGGCACACTATTGCATTGGCATTGAACTGATGGTACTTTGCTTAAAGTTGCAGTTATAACTCATTATAGGTAACAACTTTTTCCAGTTGAAGCAACAGTTGGTCATGTTTCTGAGTAATATTCATTGTATTTCCATTTTACTTTTAAGTAAAAGTATTGGCTTTGAATGTAACACACCCACATATACTTAGTTGTTGATTTGTCATTTATTTGTGCAAATTAAGTTAAGTCATAAAGGCTCATTTGGGTTGTAAATTTTTTGTTTAAAAATAAACACGTCATTCTACATTCATACATAACAATTATTGGCAGTGGTTGAAACAGCACAGGTTGTATAGAAGATAAGGCATGGGGCCAACATAATATATACACACACACACACACACCTATCTCCCACAAGCTTCAATAAGCACTTACAGAACTGCACTTTTTGTTTTTTTAAACTGGCTACATATCTGTCCAGTCAGCAAATTTGGACTGAAAGAAAGAAAAGGCATTTGTGGTTCAGTAGTTTTTCCAAACATTTCCTGTGGTTGGAGGGCGGTTGATAATAAACGGAGGTGCAGGTAAAATCCTACTGGCGCTGTAGATTGGACAGGCTTTAAAGTCACAGGGCCAGTCTCTCCATGCATATCTGAGGGCTGCTACTTCATCAGTAGCTGGACACAAACTGGTAGATAACTGGACAGTGGTCTGATCCCACTGCATGATGCCAGCTGGAACCCAAGGAGACTGAGGCCCGCATGGAGCCTGGTTCCTTGAGCAACAGATCTTGATTAAAAGAAAGAAATGAGCTTGTTCAAGAAATTATCAGACCAAACATCTTAGCATTGTTTACAAAGCTAGCAGATAAATATGGGACATAACTCACACTGGCTACAGCCGCCAGCCTTACCTCAAAGATGTCTTTAGACTGTGTGACATAGACTGTCTGGTCGTAGGTAATGTTGAGATACAGTCTGGTGGACAGGATTTGGTGGGGGAAAGGTCCAAGGAAGGGCACGTCCTTTTCATTATAAGCCACTGCCCTTGCTCCTAATGTCAGTCTGTACGCTACGTCCTGCTTGTCCCGGGGATGGATCCTAAAACAAAATAAAAATCTTTTCAACGGTCAATACAAGAACAAAGAAGCAGCTCATCACTTAGGAAATAAAAATGCAGGTCACATCATCATACTTTCATACTTTTAATGAAAACAAAAAAAAGCAGCACAAAGCTGTTTCATGTTGGTCTTTAAGTTTTTAGTATATTAAAAAGTATTTGGATGTGAAAATTATGCCAGGGAACTGAGTCTTGGCAGCATTTCAAGGGCAGGTTTTATAGATGTCTATAAAAGATCTTAAAATGTATCCCAAGACTAACTAAAAATCAGAGCAGAAACATTTGAACAGGTGTAATTTGAGCTCTTTGCTCCAATTAAAACTAAAACTTGCTGCAGCATTTTCTTTCTAAACATTCTCTAAAGAAAAATCTGGTCAAACCTGGCATGGTAAATAAAATAGAAATGCCCTTCTGCACCACACCTCTCATATTAAGAATAAGTTTTACATGAAATTCTGTAAGAATTGTTCAAATCTATGCGAAGGACTTCTACACGTACAGTTCCTGGTGTGGTACTATTTAGTAGTCACAGCGGTATTAATGAACAAGCAAAATATAATGCTGCTCAGTATTGTAAAGATTTCACATGATATGAAGACAAACAATCCTTACGTGCCATAGGGTGAGGTTTCGTCTGGTAAATCCAAAGCCACAGCCATGAATGTTTTCTTCATCCGAGTGTTCGGGACAAAGCCGGCGTCTGCTGTCTGGTGCCAGCGGATGTTCGGAAAGCCTTCATCTGTGGAGCCTTTTATGTTGGTGCTCAGCTGCAAAGTACAAAGAAATCATGGATTAGTGCTGCAATACTGCAACTGATATTTGCAAAAACTTTCTATGATTTACTTTACCTACAAAGTGGCAAAGTAGCAGCACATATTGCTGTCTGCCACTAGGAGAGCGCCGAAGTCAGACATGTCTGAAATTCTACATAAAGGATAGTGGGGGTTTTTAATTCAGTCTAACAGCGCTCTACCATGCAAGTACTTGCACTGCATCTAAAAATAGATACCTGTGAAGTGAATTTTTGAGTGCACTGTGTGATTAAAGACTACAACCTTCCGTAATCATCAACCTTACTGCACCCCCTCCCCTGATGCTAATCATTCAAACATAGTTGCATTGGCCATTGGGAGATAAATCCTGTTTTCAATGTGTCAAAAAAAAAAAAAAAGTGCTTTAATGTTTTAAAACACTTTGACAATATTTTAAGGCCAATGCCGAGTGTCCAGATACTAGTGTCTTCACTTCCATAGTACAATGTGGTACACTGGTTTACTGCACACAAGGAGAAGGAGCACACACACGTCAAGTTAGAAAATCATTGTTAATAAACTCTGTGGTCCTTTTTTCACATTTTTCACTGTGCTCCTAAACTTCTTTGTGTTCTCCTTGGGAAAAAGGTTGGCGTAATATTTTGATAGTCTGTGTATCTGTACTTATTTGTATTATGCACTTATGTATGTAAAACTAAAATACCGACATACCTGTACAAATCCAAAAGGGAAGTCGAGAGCTGTCTGCCCCCCTGAACCTTGGTGAAATGCCATCCTCCAGTCATCAATCATAGCAGGGAAGGAACAGTTGTACTTGTTTTGATGGTAGTCTGCATTTTTCTCACCTGAAAGCGACACAGGCCTTATAGACACATGACATACACATGGCAATACTGAACATCTGATCACCATAGACATACCTGTGCAGGTAGTCTTACCTTGGTACCAGAGGGCTCCTTTGATAGTCATGTTGAGCATTGGGTGGATCATTGCATTCCACAAGACAGAATTTATTTCAGGACTGAGAGATTTTAACAGAAGCAGAAGTGCAGTTAGTGCACGCTCACTTTTGTTAGTTTGTATTATTGTGAGCACGAGAAAAGTTATACTTGCAGGAGAACAGTGTGTCAGACATGGACATCATACATCTATTAGCACACATATTAGGTTGCAGGTCAGCTGAATTGTGTTTTTTCGTATCTTTACCCCCGTTTCGTTTTCTCTAGTCCACACTGCCGCAGTGCTCTTGAAGATGACCAGGCTTCGACAGGTGTGCCTCCCCAGCAGGACTCCACCAGTCCTATGGGGTACTTCAGGTTGTCATACATGTAGCGCCCAAAGAGCCAGCACACTGCAGAGAACTCTGCCACATCTGGAAATACACCTGCCTGTTAATCAGCCAGTCAGCAGAATGCAAGCAGGTGGTAGTATGCACATAAACAAATAGCATCATGGTTGATATTTGTTGTTTATTTGATCAAATCTGGAGAGACAGCTGGCTCAAGTAGTGGCATCGGCAGCTACAAGTGGCATTTCCGGTGGCAATCTAAAATGCCACAGATTTTTCCTGATATGCCACGGCACCATAAACCTTTCATTTATGTGTATTTCCGGTGGCAGGGGGCATTTCCGGTGGGAATCTAAAAATGCCACAGACTGAGTCCTTGAGTAACAGTAACAACTCTGCACACACAATAATTATCTAGGTTAAACTACCAACTGTATTGCACCAAACAATGCATACATTAAACGTGACTCTTGCCGTTTACATGAAGAAATGCACAATATTATATATTGCATAATAAACTGCTGTTACTAACATATTTCTCACGGTCCAGGTTTATTTACTGATTGATTTGAATCAGCGGTAGATGCCGTGGCATCGTAACGTTACATTGCAACCAGAAATCCCACACAAACAACGGCAGGTGCCTGGGTGAATCTGTGGCATATCGTTTTCACCAGAAATATCACATAAATGGCGAAAGGTGCCGTGGCACCTCAAGGACAATCTGTGGCATTTTTAGATTCCCACCGGAAATGCCACATAAAACAGCGGCAGGTGCCGCCTGCCACCAGAAATACACATAAACGGCGAAAGGTGCCGTGGCATATCAGGAAAAATCTGTAGCATTTTAGATTGCCACCGGAAATGCCACTTGTAGCTGCCGATGCCACTATTTGAGCCAGCCCCTGCTGCAAATCTGATGACACTATACAGTACCATATTGTACTGTCACCATAACAAAATACCTTGGATTTAGGAACATTTGCAATATCTTGTGTGCATGTTTCTATTGTGCAGCATTTAGAAATGACTCCATTGTAGCTCAACACCCTAAACCAAACCTTTAGCTGTCAACAAGTCTTTTAACAATTCTATGAATACAAAAATAAATCCTTGACTTACTTGTTGTGGGCACAGACCAGGGAAGGCTTACTTGAATCAAATCAATCAGTTCTGTTTCACTCTGATTCAAGGCTGCCATAAAAGTCCTAATATGAGGATACTTTGCTGCGAGGGCCAGCTCCTCTGATGCATTGAAAATCTAGTGGAGAATTAATAAATAAATGAGAGCCTTTTAAAAAATAAAATATGAATAAATACATACAAAGCAAAAGTTACTTTTGTATGGAATGCTTTAATGGATTTTGTGCAGCCTTTCTGACCATAACAGCCAAAGTAGGACTTCTTAGGTTTTGCTCTATATCAGAGATGTAAATCATCTTCCTGGCATTGACACTGTCCTTTGAAGCCAATTCTGTTTCACCAAACCGTGAAAGTAAACTGAATTTATGCTAATGCACCTATGTTTTGTGTGCAATGAAAGTGAAAGGGTTTTGTTTCAAGATTCTACCCTACAGACAGACTTCTACTGCATGCATGTGCTCATCAGAAAGACAGGCTCGGTCTACCTGAGATGTTTTAAAGTACATGTTGCTCTGCCCTCCACACAGCCAGACATCTCCAAACAGCACATCTGTCAGAGTGGCTGTGCTGTTCTGAGCAGTTGCTGTCACATTGTAGGGACCACCAGCTTCAACAGGGTCGAGGGTGACTTGCCAGATACCTGTAAAATACCATGGCTTTGATACATGGACTGTAAACAAAGTGACCAAACGAACAAGTGAAAGCTTTTATCCTTTGGACTAAGGACATAGGGGTTTACGGATTGTGAAACCAGTTGATTTAACTCGTGACAGCAAAGCTTGTCACAATAATTTCACCACATCTGTAAAAACAGGTTGAGAAAGTAATTGCAAAACTTCCAAACCACTTTTTTCAGGCCACACCCCTTAACTGTAACAACAAAAGATGCCATTATCTGCCCTGTCATGATCACCCAGTTCCCATTTAGTACATTACCCTGCAGATGTCAGCATAAAAGTCCCACCAGACAACAATCAGCCATAGTACTCACCTTTTGTCACAGTGGCTGGTGAGGTTGTCTGTTGTACTGGTCCTGACAAGAAGACGGTGACTTGTGCACCCTCGGGGCCATAGCCCCACAGCAGAGCTTTCTCTGGAGACATCTGCAGCACCATGTGATCTCCATAGTAAGAGGCAAAGCGCAGCTTCCCATCTAACGTTACATACACAACAAATCGTACTATTTCCTTAGTGGTTCTATTAAGATGCAATGAGAAATAATTACTCAGAAGGTGTCGAAGATCACGTGTTACACGGCAGCACAGAACTGGCTTTTGGCTTCTGTATTAAAATATTAAAGTCAAGCTAAGAAAGAAAGTGTAAGAAAGAAATACAGTAACTTAATCCCAGTACACAGCATTTTAACTGTAATGTTGACACACCGTAGGTTAACGTTACTCACCACAGTTGTAGAAATAAGCTAACGTGATGAGGATAAAAACAAACAGCGTTGCCGCCATAACAAGAAGACAACCCACGCTCACGCAACGCTGACAAGCTCTGTAAGACAAAGTCATTTCAACCAGCTCACATGCTCGTGACAGTGTGAAGCAGCACAGCCAACTTCACTAACGTCAGAGACCCTAACTAAATAAAAATTTTTTTGCCGCATCACATGCTCTGCGAATAGCATGAAAGGGTATACACTTCCTGTCTTCTCTCCCCAACCTCGTGTGGGGGTGGCCAATGGATAGATGAAACTGAACGCATATTTGGTTTGTGAGTGCTGCTATCAGTAGATATAAACGTTAATATAACTTTTAACTTATACCATTTAACCACCTTTAACCATAACTGATAACTGAGCCGTCTCTGTCCCCTATGCTGCCAACAGAGATGTGTTGCTGAGGCAGCTACAGGTCTCAAGCAACGTTAATTTTCACCTGATTTGTCGATCTGAAAAAAATGCAATTTAGTCAGAAAGTTCGGAAGATATGTGGTTTGTGAAAAAAAAAAGGTGACTAACGAAATAAATTATATTTCGGATTACTATGACGCTAAGGAAAACGTCATAATTTGAATTGATGAATTGCAATAAAGACATTATTGAAAAACAAAAAAGATTCAATCTTAGACCCAGACCCCACCCCTTGTCAGAGGGGAGAGACAAACACGAAACCCATGTGACACAGATCCAGGAAATGCTGCAAAACCTTTTTATATACAGTCTATGAGCAGAACCCAGAACACGACCAAGGGGCTAAGCCCATAGGCATGTCTAGAGGTAGACGCTCTATAAGAAATGCGGCCGCCATCTTGAACCGGTCATACTCGTTGCGCAACTGAAGAAATCAGGATGCCAGAGCACTGTGCAGCACACTCATGCTCAAATCGGCGGACCATCGCAAGCAGGGCTCGAGGGATTACTTTTCACAAGTAAGATTTAACATTACCGTACTATAGGTTGTATTTTGTGAATAGAATATTACCAGAGAGTCGAGAAGGAGCAAGGATCTTTGATATTACTGTAACAGTTATTGAAATCGTAGCCAGCTAACGTTAGCTAGGCTATGTTTACTGCACCGGCCGGTGTTCACACTGACTTAGTTTACAACTGACACAAGAATGCTACTGTAGAAAAAATATATATATTACTGGTATAACATTGGCCAACAAATTTTACACAAGTGGCACAGACCGTACTGTCAGTGTTGGGCAGTCACTAACGTGACTTGTAGCCTAGCTACTAACTTAGTATTGTGGTAGCTTCACTATTTCCTGAATCAAGTAACTTTTCAGTAGCTTAACTACTTTATTTATCAAGGAGCTTGGCCACACAAGCTACACTTTAATTTCATGTGAAATTAGCGCTACTTAAGTATCTTTCTATGTAGTGAACTAGCCTACTGCTGTGTTTGCGTTACTTAGCTTGCTAACGTTACATTTGACTGGGTGGTAGCTTTTATGTAGTGAAGCTTTATTCATGGCAGAGTAACTGATAGCTCACTACAATTTACAAGTAGCTTGCCCAACACTGTGTGTTATTCACATGTAATTCACCCTAACAAAAGTAAGATACCTCTCATGTCTCATACCCACCCACTTACTTAAAATAAAGGCAACAGAACATCTCAATGTAGAATGGTTTGCAAACAAGCATATTCACAAGTTTAGCAACTTTGGTTCGTTATCAACAGATATGCATCAAAATAGGAGTTTTGTTGAAGAAAGGTTCAAAGAAATGTGAAGGAAGAAAATAAGCTTGACCTCCTTTGTGAAATGTTTTTGTGTAGACTCTCCCAAACCTTCAGTTTTCATTTTGAAGGTTTCCCAAGGACAAAGATGTGAGGAAGAAGTGGGAAGTGGCTTTGAGGAGAGAAGGATTCACTGCAAGTGTTTCATCAGTTCTTTGCTCTCAACATTTTAAGCAGGGTGATTTTGATAGGACGGGTCAGATTGTCCGACTCCGTGATGGTGTTATTCCATCCGTCTTCAGCTTCCCGGTTCACCTCCAAAGAGTAGGTGTATCATCATAAGGCTATTAACATTCATAAATGTAAATATTCGAGAGAGAGAGAGAGCTCAAATGTTTTTCATTTAATTGTGATGATTAAAACTGACAACTAATGAAAATCCCAAATTCAGTATCTCAGAAAATTAGAATATTACTTAAGACCAATACAAAAAAAGGATTTTTAGAAATGTTGGCCAACTGAAAAGACTGAACATGAAAAGTATGAGCATGTACAGCCCTCAATACTTAGTTGGGGCTCCTTTTGCCTGAATTACTGCAGCAATGCGGCGTGGCATGGAGTCGATCAATCTGTGGCACTGCTCAGGTGTTATGAGAGCCCAGGTTGCTCTGATAGTGGCCTTCAGCTCTTCTGCATTGTTGGCTCTGGCGTATCGCATCTTCCTCTTCACAATACCCCATAGATTTTCTATAGGGATAAGGTCAGGCGAGTTTGCTGGCCAATTAAGAACAGGGATACCATGGTCCTTAAACCAGGTACTGGTAGCTTTGGCACTGTGTGCAGGTGCCAAGTCCTGTTAGAAAATGAAATCTGCATCTCCATAAAGTTGGTCAGCAGCAGGAAGCATGAAGTGCTCTAAAACCTTCTGGTAGACGGCTGCGTTGACCTTGGACCTCAGAAAACACAGTGGACCAACACCTGTAGATGACATGGCACCACAAACCATCACTGACTGTGGAAACTTTCCACTGGACTTCAAGCAACATGGATTCTGGGCCTCTCCTCTCTTCCTTCAGACTCTGGAACCTTGATTTCCAAAGGAAATGCAAAATGTACTTTCATCAGAGAACATAACTTTGGACCACTCAGCAACAGTCCAGTCCTTTTTGTCTTTAGCCCAGGCGATACGATTCTGACGCTGTGTCTTGTTTAAGAGTGGCTTGACACAAGGAATGCGACAGCTGAAACCCATGTCTTGCATACGTCTGTGCGTGGTGGTTCTTGAAGCACTGACTCCAGCTGCAGTCCACTCTTTGTGAATCTCCCCCACACTTTTTTTAATGGGTTTTGTTTCACAATCCTCTCCAGGGTGCGGTTATCCCTATTGCTTGTACACTTCTTTCTACCACATCTTTTCCTTCCCTTCACCTCTCTATTAATGTGCTTGGACACAGAGCTCTGTGAACAGCCAGCCTCTTTAGCAATGACCTTTTGTGTCTTGCCCTCCTTGTGCAAGGTGTCAGTGGTCGTCTTTTGAACAGCTGTCAAGTCAGCAGTCTTCCCCATGATGACCATTTAAAGGCCTTTGCAGGTGTTTTGAGTTAATTAGCTGATTAGAGTGTGGCACCAGGTGTCTTCAATATTGAACCTTTTCACAATATTCTAATATTCTGAGATACTGATTTGGGGGTTTTCATTAGTTGTCAGTTATAATCATCAACATTAAAAGGAATGAACACTTGAAATATATCAGTGTGTGGAATGAATGTATACATTATACAAGTTTCACTTTTTGAATGGAATTACTGAAATAAATCAACTTTTTGATGATATTCTAATTATATGACCAGCACCTGTATATAAAATTAGTATTATGTATTATGGTTCTTCATTTTAGTTGGAAAAGGGCATGGCTACGTCTGCCTCCAGAAGAGCTGAAGAAACCCTGGCTGTGGCCTCTCAGGATTCCCAAGAAATGGCAACCTCACATCCACAACCTCAGCCTAATGATGTGAATATTTCTACTTTAAACATTACATCATAATGTTCCGGGACATATTAAAATCTCACTTGTTTGCTGCAAGTCATATTAAACACACTCAAAATAAATAAACATAACACACAATTGAAGAAACGTTGAATATGCATTCCTGGTGCGCGCGCACGCACACACACACACACACACACACACACACACACGTGCTGGCAGTGGGTTTGACAGGTGATGACTATAAGAAAGAATATGGGCCATAAACTAGTGGTGTCAAAGTGATGTTTGTAAAGTGAAACATTACTCAAACCATGTTCATCCCTCTTTCTACTAGGATCATGCCTATGCCTTGCCTGCTTCTCCTACCGCTCTTAGGACCAGACTCAATGAAGCCTTGGCAAGAGTGTAAAGTCTGGAGCGAGAGAAGAAGAATGCCATGGCCAGAGAAAAGAGGGCAAAGACCACAGTGAAGAGTCTTTTGGGGGATTTGAGGGAAAAGAACCTCATTAATGAAGAGCTCAACGAGAAGCTTGAATTCTACTCTGGTAAGACCAAATTAGCACTTTGAAATTCATGTACATGTTATTCTTACTCTCTTTTATTAAACTCCTTTGTTATGATCTGAAGGGGACTTATTCATTTTAAATCATAACATTTCAGATCTTCAGATAGACCTCATGGCAAAACAGGGCCATAAGTATACAAAGGATTACAGAGAGTTTGTGCTCACGCTCCATCTACATGGTCCAAAGGCGTACAAATACCTCAGAGAGACTCGACATTTTCCCCTCCCACATCCACATACATTACAAAGGTAGGCTTAATGTTGTCCGATTTTTTTGGGAAATTACTGATGCAAACACGTTAAATAGCTTCTTGTAAAAAATGTAATTTGTAGTCCGGCAGATTCTACGAAAGCTGCCCTGTGATGTGTGCTGTGCAAGCTTCATTTGACAAGAGCTACCACCTTCTAGCCCTGAAAAACAACGGCAGCCGAGTGATTCCATCACAAGGCACAGTGAAGGTTTGTTTTTATTTTAATCTTCGTATATTAAGGTTGCTTTGTTCTTATTTTCTCTGTTGTGTAAAGTGTCTTTGAGCACTGTGTAAAGCGCTATATAAATATAATGTAGTATTATTATTATAAGGTGCTGAGAACTGCAGAGAGGGTGATGCGCCGCGCTTCAACAGTGCAAGCTCCTAAGGTGTCGACAGTCATACACATCGTCCGGGAGGAGATTGGAACGGAGGATGTTTTTCTGCTTGGGGAACACATTGAGGAGACACAATTTGGCAGCGACAACCATCATTCTGACTTGTTGTCGTTGGTTGTGTCTGTGTTTGTCAGGATAAGGCTGCACCACATTGCCAAACTCACCTCTCTTGAACTGCAGAAAGGGAGCACGAGAAAGAAGCTCTGCAAAACGGTCCTCTTTCATGGGTTTTAGTGTGTGGGGGTGTGTACTTGGAAGACAGTTTCATGTCACTGTTGGGGAACTGCAGGTTGATTTTTGCCTTGACACCAGCAGTCATATTTGAATGAGGTGTCAGTCTTGATATAGACACATTCAGTGAGTGTGTTAATCCAGCAGCCAGACATTTTTTGTATTGCAACTGAGAATTGGTAAGCTTCCTCTGGCCTCCTCTGAAACCCTGAAATATTCTGGTGTGCAGATGATCAAAATTCAAATAGTTGTTTAATTAAGTGTTTAGGCTAACTAACTTAATAACCAATGTGGACTATCTAAATTAGTATTTACTCTGGCTTCTCTAGTATTATATAGTAAATGATTTTGTAAGTGATTTTTATAACGGCTCAACGTCACCCCGAGCCTGATTGTACACAACAACAATGAATCGAAACCCCTATTAATTTGCCATGCAAAACATCTGGCTGACTGAGTCATTTAGGACAGGACTGTACTGGGAGCAAGTCATGGGTCACATAAAAATGCACCGATATTGATAATAAATGTACAAAGCCTTAAGCAAAGTTTTTGTTTTAACATTGATTCAAAATAAGATGTTAACCAGTATGTTGAATGTACAGGGTCATTTCAGGGCCTGTTTTCCAAAAGAATTTTAAGACTAAGATAATCTTAGTCCCGTTGTAATGTGAGAGCTAAAATCAACTTAGCCTAAGATGATTTTAGTACACCAGGCCAAGCTCTGTTGGGAGAAAGCTGAAAGAGTGATCTCTTTGGAACCCTATTGTTAACTGGTAACTTTCCTTTTAAGCAGCTCAGTTAATAACAACCTTTAGTCCTACAGTAATTTCAATTTTGTTTCTGTCAGGCTATTTAGTGAAATGTTAAAATCAGACAGATGTTGTTTTTTTTATAAAAGTATCATTACATGATATAGATGTACTATCTATTCAGGTGTATAACATTCTGGATACATTTAATGCCATTTACATGACACATGTGGGATTGTTGGGCCCTGCGGGATCTTCACATAGAATTGGTTGAACAATTTTTTAAACCACATCAGTGTGAATTTATATCTCATGTACTCAGGAAACATAACTTCTGAAAACTAAATTCCTTGTTTTCTTCTGCGCTTGTGGTATTTGTAAATGTATTAAGCAATTGCTTTGTAATGCTCTATCTTTGATGCACTATTGTGGACTAAAAGACCTTGACAAAGGACAAGACACACAATGTTTAAAATAACAATTACTTTATTTTTTATTGATTACCAATTTCACTTGAACTACAGTAAAAAGGTACACAAAAATACAAATCAGTGCAATCCTTCATAATGACATAATCCAACAACTCTTCCCCTTGCAAAAGATTGTTCTCAATAAAATCATAATACAACTTATTCTGGTTAAATATTCATACAAACTGCATATATTTAAGGCTTCATTGATATACTGTAGATAAGCTTTATTTTAAAGCTGGAGTGCAGGGCTTGCATATAAATTAATCCATTGGAGAGAGTTTATAATTGAGAATTATTTATGTTTAGTATGATTGTATACTTTGTGTTAATATGCTTTGTGTCATACAATATGTCATACTAATAAAGCCATTTGAATTGAATTTGCAAAATACCTATCATAGCCTACATCACATAGGGTGACCAGACGTCCTCGGCTTCAGGGACAGTCCCCGTTTTTGGTTACCTGTCCCTGGATAAATACAGAAAAAAACTGAATAAAAGTAGGCTAATAATATTAATTTAAAATAGAAAAAAAAATGATAGTCAAACTGGAAATATCCCCATTTTTTCCCTTTTCGGGTATTATGTTCCCAGTTTTGATCTCAGATGTCTGGTCACTTTATATCGTATTCTATTACTGGTAATACTGTTCTATATTATCTATACTATATTGTATTACTATGAATATTAAAATACGCCGAACCAGGGGCGTTTTTAGGATCTTGAAACATTGGGGGCTAAGCCCAGTCCATAAAACTTCATATCTTCACATAAGAATTGACCCCCATCCCAAAGTTAAGTCTGTAAAGCAGTAAAGCAACAGTAAACATCCCCTACTTATATGGCACAACAAAACTCAGAACAACACTATTAACTGTCTCATTTTGATGTTGCTAATTTGTAATGTCATTTGTCTAATAATAATATAAGAACAAAACTGCGACCATATGAACATGGCGGTCTGGGGGTAGTCCCCCAGAAAATTGTGAGTGTTGAACATTTAATTTCCTGCATTCTGGTGTTTTTCTGCACCGATTTCTACCTTTTCTGCATCAATTTATTCTGGAAATTATTTATGTAAAGGGACGCACAAAATTTAAGAACATTTTGATATTTTATGACCTTGTAACTGATTATTTATTCCCATCTTAAATGTGCAATTGTACTACTTTGCCTTGGCCAGGACGCTCTTGGAAAAATAGTTTTTCTGATTTAATAAAGTTATAATAAAGCAATTTAAAATCTAAAACTGTAACAGAATATAATGCAGAGCATCTCTCAGGCATTCTGGGTGGCTTTCAGATATGTTTCTCCTGTAGATCAACTTTTAATATAATCACTGCTGAATCAACACACACACAGGGCTGACTGATTGAGGTAACCTCTTTAAATGTGCACGTGGCACCGTTTTACGTCATCAATAATAAATTAAATCATTTTAATTCAGTTATAAACTCCTGGACTTTAATAGCTCCTGTGTTTCAGCAGGTTTTCTGCTCATGTTCAAAGTTCTGCACATTCAGAATCTAACTGGGTTCTCTGACATTTCCAGAATAAAGGATATTTTGAGAGGTCAAACAGGATAAATCATAATAAACTTTGCAATCAATCCGTGGTCCACCTGTACAGTGTGGAAGGGATCCATACCACGGATTCTGCAACCCGTTGCACCACTACTGCCGATGGTAGTGTGGGGATTTAATTCTTGCATGTTTTGTTGTGCAGGATCACAGCCCCTATGTGTCCACATGAGGAAAGGTCAAGAAAGGCTATCAGAGTAAAAATGGACTGTCTATTGCATTAGACTAGGCAACTTGATGAGTTTGTTTTTTTAAGTAGCCCATTAAAATATTCCTGCAAATGCAGCGAAGAAACTGATTATCTGTAATTTAGCTATTTCTACAATTATTTTCCTTTTCCGTGTTTATAAGATCACTTTAAAATATCACTTTTGCTGCCCAGCCAACTTTTGTTACCTGTGCCTTTTATTATGGATATGTAGCCAACCAAACCACTTGTTTTGCTGTAGCACAGGCTGCCAATACAATCGGATTATTCCTGAAGCATCTAAATAATCTGCACAATGCAAAGAATTATTGTGGCAGTAACAGGAGAGCAGCTCGTTGTTGAAGCAGGTAAACCTACATACAGAAGCTTTGTGTTATGCTAAAACCAAACAGAACTATTTTATCCACCATATTCTCTCTCTCTCTCACTTTCTGTGCATCTGAAAAATAAATAACAGCTGGTAGCTGCTGAGTGAAAGATTAGTTTCACCTGCGACATTCTGTTTATGGACATTAAATAGTAACCAATGTGTATTAAAGAAAATAAAGAGGCTAATGTCTAAAGCGATGCTCTGTTCAACAACAGGACACTTTGAATATATCTCAATCAATGCAGTGATCGTCTGACATAGATGTTACAGTGTGTAGTCTTCATTTGCTCTGCAGAGACTAAAGAGCCTTTAATGCGCTGTTAAAGGAAAGTGAAAGTGTTTCACTTGCTGGCTTGTGAAAGAGCGACGTAGGGTGCTTTCCAACAGGCCACCAGTGCTATGGTGTGCGCTCACTAGATTTCAGTTGTATTAGTAGAACATAAAGCCTTAAACTGAAAAGGTGTTTGCCAGATTTTCTAAATGTTTGCATCTGCCCAGCTCTGTGATTGTGACAAGCGCCGACCAGCGCTTTACTGCGTAACTGCGCGCACACAGCCTGGATGACAGCTCATTTCGGTTAATGAAGCAAAATGCAGATTACAGACTGGTTAAGTTATAAAGGTATGAATGAAAAATGTAGTGAAATTAAGAGTAGTCCTACATTAGATGTACCCACCCCTGCTGCAGACATCATCACTGCTGCCTTCAGCTAGAAGCAACTTCTTTTACTCCCTCAACATTATGTCGGCTACAGTGATTGTGAGTGATTGACTGGTCACTTAGTAAACCGCCTCCTATATGAGCCAGCTCCGAAATCGCATAGGCAATGCGAAATAAAACTTTACATTAGGAAAGGGGGGGGGCAAGAAGTTACAAAAGGACGCATCAACATGTAAGGCAAGTGCAGCATATGTTAGCCTAGAGATCCCTTCAGGTTTATAAGTCTTTCTGGAGCCAGAGATTGAATCTTTTCTGAGTTTTATTTACTGTTTTTGTTTTCACTGTGTGCTTGTGTGCTAGTTTGCAATCACTACTTTTGCGTTGTGTTTAACCGATACCTTAGTTACCTTTGAAAAGGACCCTTGTTGCTCGCTTGCCTTTTGTGAGTTGTTTTCTGTTTCTGTATTGAGCGTTAAGAGACACTTTTTGTTAATCTTGTAAGTAAATACCCTTTGCTTTGCAAATGTACTCCTGTTTCCTCGTTTTCTTCTGCTCTGGAACGGTTAATACATTAATAACACTCCTCCCCCGGGGCTTCTATCTGAGGTTCGTAACAGCCAGCAAGAGAGATGGCTTGAATATGACTTTAATGATTTAACGTGGAGAGGATCTGAATGGCAAGGAGCTCTCGATTTTGCTTCGTCCAGTAATATACTGTCTATGAACACGACACGCCCCCTCAGACAAACCGCTCTGCACTGACGTATTTATTTTAACCCTCTTCCTAAACCTAACCAAGTCGTTTTGGTGCTTAAACTTAACCAAACTGCGACCGTTTAGAGGACGTAACGTCCTGCATGTGATGTCATCCAGAGGCGAAGCTGATTACGGACCTTCAAAATAAAAGCGCAAAACCCAATAGTTGACACCTCTTACTTTTGTGTGTGTGTGTGTGTGTGTGTGTGTGTGTATTGTGTCAAAACATTACTAACGTGCAGTGGATGCTGGTGCCAACAGGAAGTAGCCCTGTAGTAGTATTTTTATTGGTCCAAAGCTGGCTTCACTGCTTTTTATTCAAATCAGCAGGGTGGCTTTGTCCATTAATATACTGTCTATGGTCTGTACTTGTGTTCTTGTGAAACGTCATCATTTGTGGCCCAAGTACTGTCCCAATCCACAAGTTTGCATTTTGGCAAGTATATCCAGCTGCAGCCCGCAGGCCTGACAGAAGTTGAACTTCCAAATACGGTTTGTCCCAGAAGACTCACGCACAAAACGTGATGACAATAATCTTGACTCACTTACACTATAGATCCTAATGCAAACAGTTTTATTCTTTAGAAGCCAACAACAGAACTTCAAATACACTTCTGAGAATTTATTTATTTATTTATTTTTTTGGCGATAAATCAACTGTGTAGATTTCGAATATCAGCAGTTTTAAAAATCGATGGCAAATTGAAAATGTGTTCAAACTTTTCAGAGTTGAGAAGCTCCAACACAATGGAGTTAACCCTACAGCAGCGCACATCAGCCTTACGGCATCCTAGCAGATAGGGTTAATTGGTCGACGTGCATACAATCAGTACCTTTAGGCACACCCCCTGTGTAGTTAGGGTAAGAGTAATATGCTATGTTTTCAGTGGTGTGTAAAGACCTTACATAATGAACCCTTATGTTTTTATTACCTTAGAATGAGCCATTTATATCTACATAACGGCGGGCATCCCCTTCTGTGGAGGTTGCAGTATCTTGTTGCCATGTTTCTACGATAACTGACAACAGACAAACAGCGCTATAGAGCGCGTTTCGTCATCACGGCGTTCTTCTTCTCCTTGTATAATTCTGGCAGTGTAGACACCGTCACCACAATAAATGCGTCCGTAGAAGAGGAAATAATACTAATATACAGTCTGTGAGTAGTCCTCTGGTTTATTAGAAGTAAGAAGAGAGGTAAAATTTGGACAAATGAACAAGCACACGTGTTATTTAGTACAAGTGCTGACAGCCTTTGGATTTTTATACCATGAAACGAGGAGTCGGGACAGATGCAGACAGCAGAAATCATGGATATAATCTGTGGATTTTCTCAGATGGAAAACACAAAACTCCAGGGTTAAATACCTCACCCAAATGTTGGGTTAAAAAAACTTAGTGAGACAATTAGCTGATCAGTAATTGGCAATAAAACTAACATTAGCTTAGACATGGAGGCATCAGCCAGCTAAACATTTACTGCTCTAGTAGAAAAAACATGTAGTTGGATTAATTTCATGTTCTCCAGCGCTGTGCTTTGGCTTGTTGTGTAAAATATGTAGTTGGATTAATTTCATGTAGTGACTCTGTTTTGGTTTTGTTGGTTATGTTCCTGAGACAATCAGCTGATCACTTTTGGCAATAAAACTTAGCTTCCAGCATCTAAGCTCAGATCAGCCAGCTAAACTTTTACTGCCCTGGTGGAAAAAAAAAATGTTGCTGGATTGTAATTTAATGTAGTAAATCTGCAGCGCTCTGTTATGGTCATGCTACATGGACAGAAATGTGCCATTACCTTCCAGAGAC